GTATTATGAAGAAGCCTACCTTACCTTTCCACTTTGCTGTTGGTAGATTAAGATTAGGGGTCAAATGAGAGAATGATTATGAAACAGTAATAGGGACATTGCAATAGCTTTTAAATTAAGTCATATTTACTGTCTTCGATGAAGATCCATCACTCCAACCGCTATTATTCATGGAAAGGAGCATTTTGATTGGTTAAAGTACCGTCTAGGGTTTTCACTGCGTATTCATGACCAATCTTCATTCAACATGAAGTAGCTCAATCTTTGAAATTAGCTTCGAAGATCTCCCAGCTTCTCTATGCGTCGCAGCGTTATTGTTTCCATGAATTTCGTGATATTTTGTACTTATACAAAATGTAGAATATCGAAGGTAACGAATTCAACCAGAATCAATAGCCCCAAAACGTTTTTTAGTTATTACAATTATACGTCGTATTAATATTTTTCCTGAGAAATCTCAGGGTATTCACTGAATACCTTGAATACCTAGACACTACGCCACTGGCTACAATTAGATTTAAGTTTACTCAGGACCTTGAATAGCAACCACATTTCAATTTTGCGAGAGAGGCGATTCAAAGTTCAGCTCAATATCTAGATAGAGCTTATCTATCTAGATTGATTCAGCGAAAACCACCCAACCGGATAGTGACCACTTACTGCTATTTTTGCAACTTAGATGCATTAGTTATTTATAGCGTAATTTCATTTGAAACTGCTGATAATTGAAAACGTCTCAGTTGAAAACAAAAGCTGACGTTACCACTTTCATGAGTACCCGTTTTCTCGAACATTCGCAATCTCCAACGATATCCCTTTCTTCTTAGTGCAGGTTCATGCATGAATTTTTTTTCGACGTCCCAGTTATCCACCATCTTTAAAAAACCTCCTTTTTGCGTCATAATACTAGACAGCGGATATCAATTGAATTGTTTTTTAATAGCTATCTAGTGCTGGTTAAAAAAGTCTAACTAACAGACCGACCACCCCCTGCCTAATGCCTTCTTATGTAAGGTTCCTGGAGACAAGTTCCTTCTCTGTGCAAAGAAATGGGGAAAAATATATTTACAACCACAATGATATCTGGTAAAGAAATTGGGATAGGACCAGGTGAATTCAATGGTGATTTGAACGCATATCAAAAAAAACAAAATCGCAATAAGAATAAAGAATCCGCTTGAAAATTCTTAGATTACGCCGTTTTTTTATGAATGTGAAATACTTTATAAATGTTTAACTTAACGTCTTGTGAGCTAGTTCCTTTATGATCAGTGATGTGTTTTTTGACGTTTCTCTCAGGGCATACAGAAACACCAACGAACGGTCGTGACTCACGATCTTCCTTCAAAAGTACTATTACAAAGATTACTGAGAATGAAGAATCGAAAGAAGAAAAGAAAACGGAGAGCGTAGTGCTTGAAGAGGATGAAACGGGTAAAGATGAAGAAGCAAAGGCCGAAAGTATCACTGCTGCCGAACAGCAAGCTCTTGAGTCGGAAGTTGAAAGTTTTCCAGATATAACCTATTCCAGGTCAGTCTCAGACATCGAGGAGTACGAAAGTGACGTCTTCAACTTGGACAAAGACTTAGATAAGCTAAGAAGATATGCTAACAGCTATGGAGGCAACAGCAATGATTCTGATGGAGATTTCTCTATTCCACGCGCGAAAGAGTCGAGATTCGAAAGTCAGAATGACAATGAAGATGCAACAAATATGTCGGATGTTGCCGAAAGCATTGAAGATGATTCAAAGTCTGTCAAAGAGGAGGCGTTGAACGAAGAGGAAGAAGTCCATAACAATTCAACTGGGGAAGTGAACAATGAAAATGAAGAAAACCTTAGTGAACATTCAGATAAGAAGCAGGAGTGTTATATTTTAAATGAGAATAAAAACGATGAAGATAGCAATGAGCCGAACATAGAAAAAGAAGAAGGACAGAAAGATGGTGAAAATAAACACATACCCACTAACGATGAAGATGATACAATAATTGAAGATAAGGAGACCATACCGAATGAAGATGACAACAAGAAGTATGAAGGGAGCTCTTTAAGTGATGAAGATACAAATCCAGTCGAACGCATTACTATACATGATGTTACTACTTATCAAAAAACGCGCAAAAAAGAGAAGAAAATGTTTAAAAGAAAAGAGAGAATGGAACTTTTCAAACGGGCTCATAAAACATCGTTTGGGAAGAAGAAAAGGAACCAACAGACGCTGCCACCAGATTCAAGCATCCCTTCTTACAAAGCAAAATTGGCAGAAATCGAATCACAGAAAAGAGATGAAAATGTCTCTTTGTTAATTGGAGAATTGTTAGAAGGTGTTCATAAGGAGGCTGTACGAAGGAATAAAAAACGAAAAGCAATGGCTGCAGCCAAGTCGATTTTGGATGACGTAATGGACATGTGGGAAGGACAGGTAGATACAATTGATATGATTCGTGAAGAAAAAGTGTTGGAGAATCTTTCAACGTGTATGGTGATGGCAACAATGATAGTAGCAGCTCGTGACGTGGCTGGTGAAGAACCATACATCAAAATGTTACATAAAGAACCAAAATTAAAGAAGACCAAACAAGAGGAGAACAGTAGACGAAAGAAAAAGACTAGGCTACTCAGTAAGAAAGAGAGGGAAGAGTTGCGAGAAAAAAGGAGAAAGACAAGTGGGGCAAAGATGGCAGTTACCGAGGAAGATAGTGAAATACCTGATAGCAGGAAAAGTAAGCAGAATTCTGTAGACCACGAAGAAAACAAGCAACTGACAGAGACGCAAATTGACGAAAGTAGTAGGCTTGAAAAAGAACTGTTTAATGACAATGAGAAAGAGAAGAAGAGAGAAGATTTCTGTGACAAGCAGAACTTTTCCAGTGTTTCTAAAGAAGAACATGCAAAGAATTATCATGTAGTAAACGAAGAGGAGCTCGACTACATTCATGGTGATGATAGCATTAGTATAGGAAAAAGTACAGTTGCGACTGTTAAAAGAGGAGAGGGAGAGAGACAGATAAAGTATGAAGAAGAAGTCGATGAAGAGTTGGCGGATGTGCTGAGTCTTGGGTCCCGATCCATTCCCTGCAAAGATAAAGGTGGCTTGATTACAAAAGAATTTCCAAGAATAAAATTGCAGCAAATGGAGAACAATGAAGCAAATGATTCAGAGTCTATTCTGACAACACTCCCAAAAGCTGACAAAAATGATTTCTGTTTTCAGTGGGTTATGAATAGTACCAAAGTGCCGAGTCCACCATTGCACAGTCAGAAAAATCATAACAGGGTTCGCGATGGTAGAAAAAAGAGGTTCTCTAGGCGTTTAAATCGGACGGATGAGAGACCCACGAGTAGCACAAGCATCGAAGAATACCATAAAACTATTGACATGGATGCTGTATTTAACCGTGCGCTGAAATCTCCTGGAACGGAAAGTGGTGCATCACTTGCACAATCGGGTAGAGACAGCAAGCTGTCTGTGTACAGTGAGCTATCGATAACTACGTTGAAAGAGGAGCCAGTCAAAGTCAAAGAGGAATCATTGGATAAGAGTGTTGAGGACAATATAATCGAATATTTCAATGGGATAACGAGAGAGAAAATTGAAGGCAGAAATGAAGGAATGCAAAAGGAACAGAATGAGGAGAGGACCGAACAGCAAAAAAATGATAACAAACAAGATAATGAGTCGATTGAAACAAAATCTGATGAGTCAGAGAAGGATGTAAACGAAGAGCAAGCGAGTGAGAATGGATCTGTCAAAAGTGAGGAAAGTCTGCTGGCAAGTGACTCGACATTTGTGGAGGAAGATCCGAACGAACGCTTCCCTACGCCTGAAAGTGAGCCAGAACCAGAGCCAGAGCCAGAGCTAGAGCCAGAGCCAGACCCAGTGGAAGAGATAAAGGAAACGCCTAGGAAGAAACCGCCTCCGAGCTGGACATTTTCAACGACAACTTTGATCAGGTGGAGATGTTTCAAACCAGGTAATATTTTGCTGTATCAATATTACTAAATTACTTCGGGACGTATGTTGATATCATCATTATCAGTGGGATATTAATATCATCATTTCCAGTGGAATATTAATATCATAATTACCAGTGGTAAATCGATATCATCATTACCAGTGTTATGTCGATATCATCATTACTAGTATTATATTGATATCATCATTACAAGTGCTAAATTGATATCATCATTATAAGTGGTATATCGATATAATCATTACAAGTGCTAAATTGATATCATCATTATAAGTGGTATATCGATATCATCATTACAAGTGCTAAATTGATATCATCATTATCAGTGGTATATTAATACCACCGTTACAAATGGTAGCACTAAGATCATCTAGAAACATCTCCGTCAAACTCTTGGTACCAACAAAAGCATGTTCTCTGTTTACTCATCCAAAGCATATTTTCTAGTAACGAGAATGGTGAAATATCTGGGTAATTATTCAAGCAAGATACAAACTGTAGAGTATATAAATGAGAGATGTTATGTAATGAGTTAGTATTAATTGGTAGGATATATTTAAAATCTTTTAATTGTCTAAACTATTGAAGAAAAGAATGATAATTTTCTTATTTAAAAATCAGAGTTTAAAATAAACATCTGTTCTATTTAAGTGATTAAAGAAGGAGCTCGACTATCTGATTACAACTCAACTATGATAAAGCTACGGAGGAGCAGATTCAAGGACCTGTCATTGTCAAAACCAAGATCGTTATCAGACCTGCACAAGCCGGTGAAAATCGAGAACATTCAGGTGGCAAGAGAGGAAAAGTCGCCTTCAAGAAGACGGTCAACCACAAAAAGCAATTCACCGAGGCTTGTACTGCCACCAATAAGTCTGCAGAATGCATTGGTAAAATCTTATCAGACCAGAATCAAAGCAAGCAGCTTCTCTAGTGAAGAAAACATCTGCCTTCCTGACATTAAGGCCCACGCTCCGCGGCGACGAATGGCACAAGGGAAAGTAAGGGGAGCATGGTATTAGATGCCATTGATTCTCGAACACGGGAGTTACAGGGTTTCGAGGAAGCTAACTTTCAGGACTGTAAATATCAGGACACAAATCACAAGAAACGGAAAGTTTTTTATAGAATACTAGAATAAAGGAAACTGTTTAAAAGCAAAAGGCAATTCGCTGCATCAGAGTACTGTGGATTTTATGGATGGCAATTTCAAGAGCATCAAATTTCATTTTTTGTTGCATATAAAGAAAACAGAGTCATTAACTGAAAAAAGAGAACAATTGTATTGTCATAAAATCAAATGTATATAGTTTTGTACAAAGTGTAAATAATATGGGTAGAGGACCAGAGGTTCATTTTGAGCTATCTTAATAAAATACTGTTATTAAGTTTAGATAGAGATTGTAACAAATCGGGAGTTTTAGGAATTAATATAAAATGATTTCAGAGAATTTGAAAAACTTGTAGTTTTTGAAAAACTCTGGATATGGTACCGTGAAAGGCCATTATTTCCATTAGCACGGAAATATCAAATCGGCGGCAGTTCAAAAACCAACATGTTATTTTGTTGTATTCAAGTTATTCAATATGGAACAGTTTACCAGCTAATATAGATGAAAAACAAGCTCATACACATTCTTCAGTTTATGCAAATCATTTTTCTCTGCGAATGGATGTTGCTGGAATTTGTAGACATTTGTATCGATATTTGAGTCCCTAAATAAATTTCTCCTTGATGATGATGATGATGATGGAGCATTAAAATATAACTTTGCATCAGTTTTTCGCAGTACTATGAACAACCTGTCACACTGGAGGAAATTTATCCATTAAGATAATTTTTTCCGTTAAAAAAGTACCAGCTTCGTTTTCAAAATCAAACTTAATTGATTGGCGATTCCCCTCGTGTTGTTATTTCAACATAGCAGGTAGAAATGCTAGTGTAGTACATAAGACTTTAGATACGAGATTCAATGTATCTAGACAGTATTAATAGAGAAAAGCTTTTCATCGCTGTAGTACCTTATTACCGACAGCTTCTTCAAAAAGTTGGTGTTACCATGCCTCACTCTGCACATTCAATACCCCTCGTTCCGCAAGAAAAGAGAATCGGTTTCGCAAGATTATAAAATAAGACAAACTTTAACTCAATTTTCTCGATATCCAGATTAAAACCTTCTCACAACTAGCCTAAAATATAACATGCCATATATAGGCTGGAATCCCACATTTATCATAGATAAAAGGGGGCATAAAATGCTGAATGTTTTGTGAAAATGACAACAAATTTGCCTCTATCATTTCATAAAACCTTTCAAGTTTTTATTTCAGGACAAGCATCACACCACTTTGGCAACTAATTTAACAAACTTTAATTTGAAAACGTTTTGAAAGGATACTAGCACAGCCATCTAAATAATGTGATTCATATGATGAGAAAGGTGTTTAATTGAACGAAGCATTCTTGTATCTTGCTCATGAATGCCCCCACCTGTCAATCATGTGGGTCCAAGCAAACAGATCTCACAGGCTGTAATAAACTATTCATAACTAATTGAAATCTGTAATACTTCCAGCAAGGCTATGTACGTTGCCTTAGTAATTAGCAAATAAGCTTGTTGCGTTCAATAAGCATGTAAACCCGTAGTCTTGATAAACAAGTGACGAAAAGGCATTTCAGTTGTGTGGGATCAAACAGGAACAGGATCTCAAATTGGAATCTAAGACGTGTTTATGGGTCTCCTCCAAGATCATTCAACGTTTCAACTCCAAGATTTCAACCTAAAGGAAAACATTCAAGAATGAAAGAAAATGATTGTAAGTATCCACTTAGAAAGCTCCTTGCTTCGAATTAGACACTGCTGTTTATTTACAATCATTTAAACAAATATAAAAAGGCTATTGAAAAATTGTAGATATGTTTAAAAAACAAGCTGATTAAATATTGAGCAGTGGTCACGATAATTATACAAAATATTTTCAGATTGTAGCAAATTTAACTGATCAGAAAATTCTCTTACATCTGTAGGCCGAAATGTTTCGCAATAATTTGAGGACATGCAGAAACAAAATTATTTGTTGATTCACTGCAAAGCTTCAAACAGAGACATTGTCACTTACAAAAATATATATACAACCACATCCAAGCAGTGAATGTAAGAAACGCTCAAAATGACTCGAAAGGAAGATAAAATTCACAAATTAGCAACAATATATGGTAGCAAATCACCACATGTCAAAAAAAGGAAGAAAAAGGTCGAAAACAAAACACCAAAGCCATCCCCAATTACTCCACCAATGGTAGAATCAAAGCCATCTCCAATTAATATTCCACCAATAACAGAACTTGAATACAAAGCACCAAAGTCATCCCCGATTAATACTCCGCCAATAATACAAGGTGAAGAATCCGAAAAGCTTGAGCCTGATAGTCACCCTGTTGAGGAGGTAAGCGGGAAAAGAAAATTAACTGGTATGAAAATGATCTCATTACCTCCCATTTCCGAAGACCGGCCGTTAAGCCAGTCTGAGACAAGGGTACCCTTAAAGGAAAATCATCGAAGATTGTCCTTACCGATAATCAACTCAAAAAATTGTGTTGTGTCACAAGTTTTGAAACTTGACGAAGAAGGTAGTGAAGAGAAGATAGATGTCTACCAAAAGCCAGATGGAAATAAGGCATGGGAACCAGTGACGTCACCTGGGAATATAAGCAACAACAATTCACGACTGAGACGAAGAAAAAGCAGTGTATTTCATGCACAAGTATACACACCGGCAAGTAGAGGAGCCAGACGACGGACAATCCATTCTAAGGATGTAGCAGAACTTATAGAGGCATACGAAAAGAAGGATACAATTGAAGACCTTACTACAGAAGACACCATGAAAGATGGAAACAGATTTCGTCGCGTTGCAAACTTGGTTGGGAAAGCAGCAGTGTTAAGCAAACTTTTAGTGGATGACTTGAATTTGCGGTACATTAAAGCAGAGCTTTTTGAACCTGATTATAACGACAAATACAAAAGATTAGCCACTCCAGACATCGATACTGACGAAGAAAATGAAGAGGCTATTTTGACAGAAATGTATAGTCAGATGAAATATGAATCTGGATCTCAAAGTGAGGCAAAAGCAACAGCTGGGAGTTCTGACGACGAAGAAGAAACAGACAGTGGCAGTGATGATTTGGACAGCGATCGCTTCTCCACACCAAAAAGTGACAGACCAAACAAGACGGAAACTGCGAATCTGGAAAGCAATGAGGAAGAAAAGGAGAGTGATGAAAGTGGCTCTGTGACGTCAGATCTGGTAGGTAGTGAGGTCTTCTGTATTTTCTTTGCTATGCAGCATAGGTTGAAAATATACAGGACTTTCAGAAAAATATTTACACTAAGCTCGGGACCCAAATATTGTTTTGATAAATGAATACGAACTTCATTACGAGTTGCGACTAAAAGCTCCAAAAATTTAAGTTCATAAGTTTTTGTTTTATATTTACAGTTAAATACAATGATAACTTTTTATCACTGAGCTTTCACCGAGCTACTTATCTATACTCTGAAGTATTTTTTAAGATATTAACTTTGAAAATTCGGTTGAAAACTCAGATTTTTTTATTTAAGTGTAAAATAATTGAGAGAAATCGAGAGCGAGTGCACGATCAGAAGTAAAAAACATTAGCTAAGAAATAATTTAACTTCCTCAATTTGATATAAACCGTGACAAAATACAGTATTGAAGTTTAAGACAAAATTTTGGAATGCAGCAACTTTTAAATTCATGTCTTTAATCAGGCTATTTGTATAGTTTATACCGGGATGCAAATACTAAGTAAGATTCCTGTTTATTACCAGGATAGTTTATATCGGGATAGCTTATACCGGGATAGTTTTTACCGGGATGCAAATACAAGTAAGATGCCTGTTTTATACCGGGATTGTTTATACCGGGATAGTTTATACCGAGCTGCCTGTTTAAAGTTACTTGATTAGAATTCTGCAATAGTATTCCCTTTTCCACCTTTAGAAACATTTACTTAGAACAATCGTTGGGGCTCCAATATAAACCTTAAAGCTGTCCAAACGACAATGAATAGGTTTAATGGGAGATATATCTCTATTTGCTTTAAGTTTGTGCATAATAGGCTAGTCAGAGTACGCACCAAGTAAATTCTAAGAAAGGTGAATAGCTTATAAGATAGCAAAGATGATATGGTTCCACTTAATCAAATGTGGTTTACTTCTTAGATACATGTTTTTTAAACTCTGTTCTGTCGAATTCCATTTCAGATACCAGATGACGTCAAAGAATTGATAAAGACTGAGGCCATGAGACATGATAACGAGCATCTGTTTGAGTTGGGGATTTGGAAACCTGATGCCTTTGTAGACAATGCCCAGGAGGCGGACGATGAAGAAAGCGAAGATGACTGGAGCTTGAAAAGCGATGCGGAGGAGGACGATGACAAAAGCATTTCAAATGCACCTCAGACACCTGAGCCCGAAGCACCAGAACCAGAGGTAATTGCTAAAGTGACACCCGAGCCAGAGGCATCTACACCAGAAGTAATAGATGAAGAAATGCCTGTGCTGCCAAAAGATGTCGCGTTACCGACTGGAGACACACCAGACATATTATCATTTTCAAGTGAAACCGAATCGAGCTGCGTACCTACAATTTATGCCTCGTACTTTGATGAATATGAAAGTGACGTGTTTTCAAAAAGACTTCTGGAGAATATTTTCTTCTTGCCTTCTTCTGTTCATAGTGATGGAGATTCGGATATGTTTTATTGCGTTCCAGTATCAAACGCTTCTAACACACAAACGCCTGATTATTTTTGCAATCGAAAACAGAAAGTACATAATGATAATCATGGCGTAAGACGGTCGAAGAAAAGAAGGCGAAAGGACCTAGATGATCAGTATGTGAGATCTTCAATTAAAAAATACGCAGTGCACGATGCTACTATCGTCCAGTACGGAGGAGCAACGAAAGCTTTTAGGCTACGAATGGCTAAACTAGGGAAAGATCCGAAGGAGACTGATGATAAGATTAATACTAAGCTGGAAAGAAAAATTCTTAGAAGATTAAAGAGACGTAAGAAAGCAAAAAAACTGACCGCTGAAAATTTGAAAAAGCTGCCTAATATTGGCAAAACAGCAAAGGTATTGAGGTGGGTGACAATTCATAAACGTAACATGAAGATGAATGTGGTATACCAGAATAGCTGGACTGGGAACGAGAATCTAAGCTCGTCGATGCGACTAAGGGGGGCAGGTGGGGGAGCAGCAATCAAGGAAGAAAGGACAGTCAAGCGAAAGGTATCTCTTGGTGTGAGAAGTGTCGGCGAAGGAGAAAATTTTGAAGGGGTAGAACAACGGGAGGGAGAAGAAGCAAACGAACAAGGATCCTCCATTGAAGAAAGGGAACGCGCTTCAGGTGTCAAAGAACAAAATACAACTGTAGGGGTGAAAGAGGGAGAAAGAAGGAAAAAGAAATTTCGGAAAAGGAGAAAGAAGAGAAGATGTGATGATCAGGAAAAAGACGAAGGCATTGCATCTGAAGATTCTTTAGTCATCATCAAGAATTGGCAAGTTCATCAGAAGAGAAAAGGAGAAGTTGACAGCTCGGACGAGCAAGACAAAAACAATGGCAACGAGAGCCCAAGAAGTGAGCATTCAAGTAACCAAAAGTATAAGATACGCAGCAGTGACGCCGAATCTGGCTTGTCGGTTTATCCTCCCGAATCTCCTGGGCTGGAATCAGCTTCAAATAGAGTGCAAACACCGGAAACAGAGCATGAACCAGAAATAGAAGAAGACTGCAAAGACAACAAGGAAAGAAACAGAAGCACAGCAACTTCGCATTGGAAATTGTTGCAGCCAAGTATGTGTTGCTATTTATTGTGGTCATTCCTTAGATTAGTGGGCTTGATGAGTAGGGTATTCATACTCAAGAAATTTTTGAAACTAGCTCCATAGAAAGGGAATAATTATTTGCGGGGTGGAGGGTGGGGGGTAACCTTTTTTAAAACAAAAGGAACAAAGGAGATTGTTCATTGGAAACAAAGGATTCATATAGCTTGAAGGTTCTTACAATGTGATCCTTAAATTTATCATTCTTATCTCGACCATATCATTCTTAATGGGCTTGATGAGTAGTAGCTACGGTACTGGGAACAAAAGGGTAAAAGGAGAAAAACCAAAAACGTTAGAGGAACCAGGATTCTTTATCCAGCCATATAAACAACTCTGGGTTACTACAAAATGACGTTATCCTTTATGATAATTAGGGAGAATAGTCGAATTGATTATTTCACGTTTGGCATTCGATGGGCGTTAGAAGGTTTAAGTTTTCAATCAGTGGACACTGCTTTAACAAAAATAACTTTTTTTAAATTCTTCAAAATGATTGTTCGTAGGAGATTTAATCATAGAAAGATTGGTGCTAAATTTCATCAAATTCAAAAATTAAATTTGGTTGGACGCTATGGGAGTGGCTGGGAGAGGGGAAAAGGACAACGTCCATTAGACGCAAAGCGTAAAATATCGGTTTATGTGTCTTTCCATACAAAAAGTCAGTGGCGGCTCTTGCTAATGGGCATCTGGGGCAATGCCCCCTTTAAAAAGATTCAAAGGAAATCTATGCTATTCATATTTAATTTTAAAGATAGTCTTACTGTGGTTAATTATATAAGTTTGTATCTCTTCTAGAAAAAGCTCCTTGCTATCCCGTCTCGTCCTTAGCCTCGCTTCTGGCCCGCTAGTGCCTTGAGCGATGATGTCATTTTACGGGCAAAGTTTTTTTTGCCCCTATCCGACATGCGCACAAGCTAATTTTCGACCTCGAGCATTGCGAAACGCGGCCTGTGATTGGCTTATTTGGAGGAATTCGGGGCAAGAAAAATTTTGCCCATAAAATGACATCATCGCCAAACAACAACTACATCTATATATGTTTTTTCTTCTGCGCTCCATGACAATCAACATCGAACCATGAATACAGTGAAAAATTTGCAAACTCGACCTTTCTATCGATTATCGCAATATTGATGGTCTGCCCTCCCAACTGTGAAAGTCACGAGCCGCCACTGCAAAAAGTAATCATCATGTTAGAATGGAAGGGAAGTGGTGTATACAAAAGACAAGTACAAACAAACAGAGCGTAGTTTTAAGGAATTTTTGTCGATATTATCTCACGCTTTCTTGAGAAACTAATCAATTATTCACATACTTCTATGAAAATAGATTGACATACAGGCACCAGTCTGATTTTCGGTCTCTTTATTCAGTAGTATAAAATCCTTTTTTCAATACTGATGATTGGTGTCTGAATCATGGTGAAAATTTTTGTATGGTGAAAGGCGTTTGGTAAAGTAGACCACAAAATTCAGCTGAAAGTACTCAGCCTAAAGGAATGAAACAGAAAGTGCAGAAGAGATTCCGTCTTATTCAAATAACAAACGAGAATGCCATACAATCAAATAGAAATCATTGAACGTGTTATCCCATAAGGTTCATATATAGGGCCCATTTTTCTTTCTGTAATACTGATAGCCAACAGTCGCTGCAGTGCTCTAAAGCATGCTGACTACTTTGAAATATATTGCTAGAAACATCAGGATATAACTGCGAATATAACTGCGTAAGAGAGTCTTTGAGGTGATTGAATGATAAAGGGACCGAGAGTGAGCTTGCAAAAGCTATATCTATACTGAAAGACAAAATTGATAAATAACTGCTAGAGTTATAGCACGAGTGGGAATCGTTTAATTGAACACCCCCGAAGACTGCAGGGCTATATTCTTATGGCTTCGGGCTTTCTACAACAGATCAATTAACAGTGTTCTTCAATGTAAATTTTCTATTCCAATTGCAGAGTTACAAAAGGCCCAACGCAGACGCGCAATCAATACGCAATTTGTGGAGATGACAAGGCAGCTTTTCGCCCAACTTTCACTTCGAACGAAAGAATACACCAAGCTGCCTCCAATCAAACACAGAAACAGAGCTTTTTCAATGGCAACCAGTCGATTTAGCAACTTTTCTCAGAAAAAATCGCCACGATCGACCAGTGAAAGGAGTAAGAACACAAACACCCCCGTATCTAGTAACCAATAAAATCGATGAAAGGTTGCTGCCCAAAGAAGGTCGTTGTATGTTTGAATAATGACATTTTAGTGCGTAGCTGGCAGCATCGTTTGGGATCATTGAGGCGATATTGAAGCGACGTACAACGTGCCTTGATTCTATTATATTGAAAATATCATTATTGCCGTTCCGTTTTGATAAAACAGCGTTTTCTTCAGTGAAAAGATTTCGTTCCCGCACTACACCTTGCCGATTGGCGCTGCCACTTGAGACTTGAGATTTTCTGACGATTACTGTAATTGTAATATATTTTTCTTCAGTGACAATTAATGACGAAGTGTAAATAATTAAATAAACACTGAAGCATTGTTTTTAATGCATACAAAGCATATTGTTCAGCATAGACGCAGGTAGTTATTTCAAAAGTGGGGGGGGGGTGAGAGTCAAAAAGGGGAACTCTTGTTAGCTGCAAATAGGTCATTTACATGTTTCTGAAAAAAGTGGGGGGGGGGGGCACGTGCCCCGTGTACCCCCTTAGTCCCGATGGCTATGTCGACAGGTACCCTGGGTACCAGACTCACTATATATGAAATAAAATAGAGAGTCTGGTATTTTATATAGTGAGTCTGGTACCCAGAGTATGTCGAAAGGTAGGTTTTACTGAGATTGTCAAGTGTAAAGTATCCATGGGAAAGGGAGGTCTTGGTCTAAAGCAGTTCTGTTGGCTAGACTAAAATTGAATCATTGGCTAGATCAAGTTCTCCGAAAATTGTTTCATTTACTAGGTTATTATCAACAGAAATGGGTTGTCAAGATGAACTCCCGACTTTCGACTAAACATTGTCTTTACCTCGGCCCAACCAAAACTGCAAAAATATATAACAAAAAAATGTAAGACCAGACGTCCAAAAAAAGTATACCCTTGCTTGTGCTATTAGCCATTATTCATCCTAGGGCTTGGTGTGAAATCCCCCCGAAGAAATTTTCTCGGTTTGAAGGAAAGATCGAAATTTATAGAGAGATTGAAATCTATAATTTGATTTGGCCCTCAATCAATTTCTCACTTTGATAGATAGCAAATTCACACTACTATTTCTCGCCGACAGCCTTACTGATTGTGTTCTGTTTTGTTAAAACATAATTGGCATCAAGTCTAACTTAAGGTTTAGATAAAATTGTAAAATTTTTCAGAATCAAGCGAGGATCATCATCACTAAAGATAAACATCAAGGGCTTGCTTCTCTTCTTAGGGCTTTTCCTGACGATAAATATCAAAAGAATTCAAAAACTCTCTATTAAAATATTCTTACATTAAAGCAAAATTCAAGTTTTAGATAATTTGAATTATTTTCTTCTCTAATTATTTCTAACAAACTTTGGCAGTTTTAGATAAAAGTAAATAGCCACTACTTTACACTTCTTTTCTCTTTTCCTAATGCAAAAACCAAATAGCATCAGCTTGAAAACTGACAAAAATAAATACGAAACTTGAAATAAGTAGCCTGCGCTCCAGGCCCCTTACTAGAAACTAGCTGTGGAGAAGCATACCCTCTGACAACGAAACCAACTTGCACATGCTATAATAACCCTTCATATTTACACTGGCTAATTTGTTCGGTAAATAAAATAACTGGTATCAATCAAAGACCTGTACTTTACATCATAAAATTTTAAAATTATAAGAATCAAAGTTAAAAAATAGCAAGAATTAAAGTTAAAAAATCTACCAGAATAGAAGTTAAAAATTTAAAAGAAAAAATATAAAATACACAAGAATTAAATGATATTTGATACATTGTTAAAAATCTAGGTTTACCTAATTTTTTCCTTACTGGATGCTTGAATTTCAAAAGTGACGTTCGAGTCTACTAGTCTTATATATTTCAATATGCACCGGGGTCATATGGTTTATTATGAAAGGGTGAAGTCTCCCTTTTTGAAAATTGAAAACCTCTTTTATGACTGCCTGAAGAAATTTATTGATTAGCCCCTCAACTTATTGTGACGTTATAAGCCTCGTATTTATGTTATGTTGGGCATGCGCCCGGTTTGTTATGTATTGTTATGCGTGAGAATACAAAATGGAGTACTGAAGTTCGAGTTGGGGTGTTCTTTCGTTGTTACATACCGGATAATCTTACACTTATAGAGACATTTTGCCCTCTCCATCAATTCTTCTGTCCCTTCTGTGCATTGCTGCCTACCTTTGAAAACATCCATCAGAATCCTCTGAGAGACGAGGCCCTCCCCTTTCCTCTTCGCCCGTTCTTCATCCTTTGACTCTCTGAGGCTCTGGCACCCAGGGCACCAAGCCTTTTACATTCTTTTGGAGTTAAAAATCACATCAATTGTGAGTTATTAGACTAGCTATCGAGTGTTGCATTGCGTAATTTCGAGTGTTTCATTTTCCTTCTTGATTTAATTTCCACTATATCTCAAGTCTTTCTAGTCTCTTTTTCCCTCTTACCTTGTTTTTTAGCTAAAGTTCAAAATCTAGCGACACAAATACACAATTTTAATGGATTATGTGCAATTTTCATGGCTCCAAATGTGAAATTAAGAACTATTAAGGAATTTTTAGTACTACAATTTGATCAAAAGTGGTAGAAAAATAAGGAACTTCTAGAAATAGGCCTCGAGCTAAGTTCCTAATAAATAAAAAGCATGTACATGGATGAGTATGCTTTAGCCTGGGAAAGCCCCTATTCTCGACCTTAAAACTTAAAATAGCCTTCAAATTAGCGCCCATCGCAGGCAAACTTTCTCAAGTAACGATATAATTAAAATTCGACGAAAGTTTGTACCTGCAAACGAACGTCTTTTTGATAGTAATTGAAAGTTTTTCGTATTTTGGATGATTCTAGACCAAAAGAACCCCAATAAATCCCAGGGTTGAAAATTTGAGTGTTGTCTAAATCTAGGGAAGTTTTTTACCTGAAGGATAGTTGGCATGCTGAGTCGGAAAATTGACATCATTTTGTTCAAATATGATTAAAAATTATAAACACGTTTCTTAGTACAAAACCTGGTAATACATCTACCAATATACTTAGTCACTGCTCTGTAGGGCAGTTCTAGTTTTAACCCAAATATTTGGGACATATCAGAGATAATTTGTAGAGCACAAGGCAGCACAAAAAGTCTAGGTAGACCTTACATTGAGTCTAAATTCATCAACCCCAGACTGGACAGTTGTACCAGCAAAAACGTTGATCCAGCAAAAAGAGGTACCTTTTAAGAAATGAGGGGGGCTAAAACTATCGGGCATGGGTCTATACTTCCTAATAATGCCCATTCATCGGCACCATTCGTATTGAAAAGTGCTGAAAACTGTGCCCATTTTATTTTTCCTCACAAGCATCGTAGTTTTAACTTGCAAATAACCAAAGGGCAGACAAACACAACATTTTTTGCAATATTGAAAAAAGCTACTTCAGAATAAAGATAAGAGACTACAATTGTTGCCAGGCTACTTTGTCTCGCTCTTATCACACTTTAAGAAGGGTATTGTCAACAAAAACCACAGGAAATAGATCTGGTGTGTGGGCGGCTGAGAAGGCGAACTCTGTTCTCGGAAAGACGCATGGACTGAGTAATCACTGAGACTAGATTGAGAGCGACCTGGCAATTCGAACTGCTGTTCTTTCACAAAATGGTAAGTCATACAGAGCGAATTTTGATATAGAATCATAATTACAATACGAGTTTGTCTCATGATCATTTCTGAGATCGATAGAACAAATGCAAGAGGCCGGTTGAATGTAAAGAATTTGCTATCCTTCTTGTGACCAATCAAGCAAAGCCTTCAAAACCTGCGCAATCAAAATCTAAACAGGGCTATGTTTGGGTGCGGTAGCCTGTACCCCTGTCCACAAATGCTGCCACGTCAATGGCAGCATTGTATACTGGAGCGCAGGATAGGATGCGGTAGCTTACATTTTTATCACCATTTCTCGGGTAAGCTCAGCCCCTTACTAAAATTAAAAAAGAGATTTTGGGGACCCCTTCAACAAACCATTTTATGTTTATGGTTGGCAAATTCCTTATTTGGCAATGTGAACCAGGGCCACTGAGAGGTTTCGGAGGCCAGAGGGAAAAACTGAAAGACGAGGCAGCGAGCAGAACATTTTTGTGACCACTTTTTGTGCTTATTCGTTTCTACTCAAGACATTCTGGTGGGAAGGACCTCATATTGTGAATATAGGCCACATAGTTATATTTTTCAACATTTTTAGTTGGTGGTGTTCCTCTTGTTTTTTAAATTTAAAAAAATGTGCCGTGGATAAAAAAAGATAAACGAACGGTGACATATGAAAACCATATTTTTTGTTTACGTTGCAAATGGTGCTAACTCATTGGTACCAGCCATCATACGCGTAGAGTTAAAGGGGGCCATGAAACGATGACCTGCCCAGGGGTGCCTGCCCAGGGGTGCCTGCCCAGGGATGCCTGCCCAGGGGTGCCTGCCCAGGGTAACCTGCCCATTTGAACCTTGTTTCAGCTTCTACAGTTGGTTGTTGATGTTGAACTTTTGATAACCATAACATTAGATAATACTATGGTTTGACAGAATCATATTTTCGCTTAAAATCTTAAATTTATAACGACAATCAAAATTCCTTTCTAAAAGAGGGCGTGGTCAAAATAATTTTCTTTATAGTTGTTAAGTTGTCTTTGCTTCCCCTTGCCAAGACAGTACACCCATGTCAGCATATCCTAAAAGAGTCTTCTCCATTCCACGTTCCATAAAAAGACTTTATTAAAATCTAGGCGTACGAAAGTTTTTAATGCAGAGCAATCGTAATATTGAAAGTGATGGGTAGAAAAATATGATTCTTTTCAAAGGACGTTTATTCCGGGCTCGAAGGAATATGGCTGTATGTTGAAACGAAATTTTTTTGCTGGGGTAGGATAATTTTTGCACAAAACAATGAAAAACAATAAAAATTGGAATGCTACAGCAACAAAAAAGATTTTGAAATTGTTTAGGCCCTCCTGCTGTACGACCAATAAATCGACATGTCGGAGAGAGAATTCATCTTATCTAGTTGATAAGATCATCAAAGATACAACATCCTGAAACTATCTCTACTTATTCACAATCTTCTCTTTATTCATATCTTTTAATTTTTCCTTTATCCTTTAAACAACCATTTTTTAGTTACTTTCTTCTCCAGATTGATTTTTGACAATCACTTGTTATGGAGAAGGCTCACTAGATTTATCAAGAGAATGATATGGCCAGTTTTCAAACCAATTTCATCCGTAGATTTTTGAATTTGCATTGGTTTCAATATGTAGCAAGCGTCTGCATCAAGGTGGGCAATAGGGAAACGCCTAGGCGCATGACGTAAAACTTCTAATCAGTGAGAACCCTCAAAACCTAAATAACAAAACCCGAAGACGAAAAACGAAAGGCTTTCCATCCAGTCATCCCATTTGTATTATCCAAATAAGCTATCACGCCCCTCGCCCACCAATTAACAATTATTCCCTTTGAATTATCCAAATTACCCAGTCATCACCCAGCCCGTCGCTAGCTATTGTGCTCAAAGGGGGTTTCCAAGTGTGTGAGCCTTTGAGCCATACTTATTTGCCGACAAGTTTGGAAATTTGCAGACTTAGCCCCCCTCGATGGCAATAAACTCAATGGAGTTTTGCATTGAAATTATTCTTCAAGGGGGTGTCACACCCTATGCCCCCTCTCTATAGCGACGGGCCTGCATTTAATGATGAATTTCACAGAGCCTTTGACAGACCATTCAACGAAGTAAGTGCACTAAGAGGTCAGGGAACTAGCCATTGTTTAAAGCCACTGGTAACACTTTGCTTGTAATTGTGGCGGAATTGATCACCTGCCCCGCACTTGCTTTCCCATTCAATTTTCGTGAGTAAATTCGGATGTGTGAAACACAAAGCCTGATCATGTGTACCTACGCGATATAGAATGTCCGGACAAACATTTAAATATGAAACAATGACGACTAGGTTTTAGCGGTTCTAAAATTACAGTGTCTTTCCAACCGAAGGTCTGATGTGCAGAGCTTGCTGTGTGGAAAATGGCAAAGTTGTTCATCGACAAAAATGACATCGCTTCAAGGGCTGCATGGTTTTATGTGCTAATGGTGAGTAAAGAATCAGATTAATCCTATTTCAAGGGATTGCTACAACAATAATTGCACTGTCAATCTGCAAAGTTGATCTTTCCTTCTTCTATATATTCCAAACTCAATGTGTTCATTTCAACCTGGAGGATTAATAGGCTTTCTAGCAGGTACAGTAAACCGTTATAATATATGTTGCAAAACTACGTTCTCCTGCCCAAAATCACTGACGACATGCAGCTGACAATTTCAATTATCGAAAAGAAAACACAGCTAATTTAAAGGGAAACAACTTCATTTTGCGGAAAGAAATTGCAAAACGATGGATTAAAAATTAATGATCATAAGCGTGTTATTACATTTTTCTATGGAAGGTGGTACATGCATCAATTTTAGCTTCTCAAGTTAAGCTACAGAAATGCAGCAGTTGGTTCCATTGACAAAACAAACCTAAAGGTTTAACTGGGATGGTGCTGCTTTAAGAGGGGTAGTAGTGGAAATCCAGGCTTTCATTTACGGGCTTCAGGGCCGGGAAGTTCCGGCATGAAATCTATGATGGACTTTCAGCGTGTTCAACGTTCATCACATATTCGCCCAAATTACCCGACAAGAACCTATCTGAAAATGTCCCCAATAACCTCCGTTGGTGGGTTGTGGTGGGGTAATGTCCCTAAATATGTTGATGGAAGAAACTGCTTATGATCACAGAGAGAACCACTGAATTGCAAAGCTTTCGTTGAAGTCTGAACTGAAATTGGTTCCGCGAAATCCGTCTTCAGATTTGGCTGCTCCTCAGAAATTTGACTTCTATTCTCAGCTTTCGGGTATTAATTCTAAGTTTTCATGAACTGTTTTACAGTCATATTTTGTAATCCCTTTTTAAAGCTCTTGTAACACTGCTTTGCCGATAAAGTACTAATTGGGATATACAAGGACAAAGAAAAACAAATTTGTAGAGCTTATTTTAATTCGCCGATCCACTTCGGATTTCTAACATATTTCTGACGTTGATAGGTTAGGACACGCTCAAATGTGCCAGATCTATTCGGCCGACATGTTCTAGAGGAATTCGCGCTTAATCTATGAACCAAACTTCGTTTCCTTTCACAAAATTTAAAGAAGAACGAATATTACTAAGATGTCATAAATGAAAGGAAGGAAGACGGCGATGTAAGATGATTTCACAGAAAGTTTCACTTAAGGGAGCATGTTTTGGTGCGATTTATGTCGCAAAATGATAAAATAAGCGAGTTTATGTTTGTCGGCAATACAAAATACACTTTTTCTGATCATGTCGAGATAAATTATGTTGCTTACTCTCTATAGAATAAGAATCTTTATCATGTTTCGACTTTTATTGTCGACGATGATGTAGATAACGCAATTTAAGATCTCGTTGACCTCCTTGATAGTGGGCTTTAGGGTTCAATTTGACCAGTTTGACCTACAGACAGAGTTTTAACTTCCGGTTTTCAATTGCAGTTACAATACAGTTAGTAATCTCTTCAAATTAGTGCGAAGTGAGTACAATATAAGGGGCATTACAGAGAATATCGAACCAGATTACAGATCCTATGACGATGCAGTTAGAAACAGATGTTATGACAGGAGCAGCTTATGAAAACGGAGGTTTTAAAGCCTTCTTTTCCATATATTTTACTCTAGGTTTAGCCCTACAGTTTTGAGTGCGAGGATTGCTCAGTTGTTAGAGGCGTTGACTACAAGGGCTCGTAGTTCGAGTCCCTGGCGTTACCAAACCTTCATCAGAGTGAGGAGAGTCGCCAGCTCTATCCACTCCTTGCGTAGGAATCACGAGGTGTGGTCACATCGAGAGTTAGGTCCAGGACACTGCACGATAAGCATAAGCTTCTCAGTGTCCTAAAAACTACCTTCGGATGGTAGGTAGAAACAAATACAAATACACCTCTACGGACCCTTTCGAATATGCAACAACACGTGATTTTCTTACAACTAAAATTTCTTGCTTCTTGTGATAGACCAAGAAGGTATCGATCTTTGGAACTGAGGGACATCATCACTGGCACTTGCCCAAATTTTAAAGTATAGCCATTTTGGCTTAAATGGTTTGAGCCATTATAACCTCTTCCTTTTGTCCTTCCCCGCCTTTCAACGCTTACAACAGTCCTGATCACATGGACAAAGAAATCTTGCCAATAAGAAACCGTCTGAGGAGGGTATCTGGGGGTAGCCACGATCCTCCTCCAAGCCACATCGGTTTCCTTTGAAAAATGCAAAAAACCGTGAATACTTCTACTCGATGGCAACTCGTCATAAATTTCTTGGTAAAAGCTGTATGGCTTTTGTTATCATGGCTTTTGAATGGCAGAAATTTAATGAGATAGCATGAAAGTAGCGAATGAGCAAAACTGAAGAAAGATTTAGATGAATTGTACTTACATGCGTTAATTTGGTTCAGACTATGACAGGATTCACAAAAAAATCAAATATCCTAAAATCAGGTTTATAGCTAATTGGCTCGATAGGTTAACCGCTTACAAGTTAGAATAAATGTCAAAATATGGCACAAGGATTGCTTCTAAGTCAGTTTAGAAAAAAGAGATTGGCGTCGGTTTACAAGCATTTAGTCGTCCTAATATTCTCTTACATTTATTTTTTATAATAAAAAAACCAGTTTTAGAAGCAGTTTAATTTCTTTGATGAAAAGACTGTTCGGCTGCTACGCTGCAAATTATTGAATGGGCCTTGCTGGCTTTGTGGTTTATAATCTGAGAGTACTAAGTTATGAGATTAAACGACTTTGACGAGGGTTATGATAATGACAATAATGATGATAACGATAGCTATTATAATGATGGCGACAATGAAGATTATGAGGACGATAATGATAATTATGACGATTATCATTACGATTATACTGACGATTATGATAAATGACGATTATCATGACAATAAAAATAGCACGGCTTTTGCAATGTACGAAGAATGTGGAGGAATGGTACTTCGATATTATGAATTGGCGATGTGGACAAAACTGATGATGATGATTATGATGATGATTGATGATGATTGATGATGATGATGATGATTGATGATGATGATTGATGATTGATGATGATGATGATTGATGATGATTGATGATGTTTATGATTATGATTATGATTATGATGACAACAATGACAATGATGACGACAACAAAGATTCCTAATGTATTAAAGTCTGAATTTTTCTAGATGCACTTACAGTTTGTTTCCAAGACAACAAAGAGCGTTTTATGCTTTATGAGAACGGATTTACAGACTTAAAATACCTAAAAAACGGCGGCACAAGCTATGACGCAGCAAGTTGACAGAACTCATATATTGGGGCTCTGTGAGTGGGACCTAACTGGGATTTTGTTTTTCTGATATGACGAAGGACATTTTTCGTTTGAAAGCATAACACGAATAATTATTCTTATTCGGTTGCTTCTCAAAATGCGTTTCGCATATTTACAGTTTCTTGATAAACGGCGGGAACTGCTATGACGCAGTAAGTTTACAAACCCAGATCTTTGGATTCCACTATCAACCTTTGCAGAAGGAGAAATCGATGCGTGCCTAACGATACCTAACGACCCGCGCTGACAAAACGGTTCCAGCATAATGATCTCACGGCAGTGCAATTACTTGATTACGAAGGGGAATCTTTCGTACGTAATTGTGAGCAGCCAAACTTTTAATTTTGTAAACTTCCTAGTTGCGAGTGCAAAGATTTCTTCAAGTCGGCAATTCAACTATTTGATGAAGAAATGTAGTCACAGACCCCAAGATTATTAATTGATTATTCTCGTAACTGTTGGTCTGACCTCACACGTTCCAAATTTCTATTTTTTACGTTATTCCTGCACCAAACTATCTTATCAAATGGGGTCTGAAGAATTTTGAATGAATTTTGGATCAACCCCAGAGAAAATTGAAAAGTCCCTGCAAGCATTTCGCGACAATTTCACAAAGCCTTCGAATAACTTTCACCGACTTTGCAAAACTTGCGAAAAACTAAACAGATTTGAAACACTTACAGTATATTTTCCACGACTCATGCATGAAAGTTAATTCTTGCAGAAACTCGTGAAATCGCATATTCCCGCACTTTCTTTTGTATCCTACATAGCAAATTGGAAATACGTCTAATTATGTTGACGCTTGACAGGATGAAAGCACCATTCTCGATTACGAGAAGTTTCTGATCTATTCTGGCTACCGTTCAACATGCACGTGCAGAACCAATTTTAACTGCACAACGTCACGAGCAAAACTAAAGGCGATTGGTCGAATCGAAGAGGATGACCACAAAGGGGATCTCAGGCTAGCAGCCGAACCCAATTTAATAGCACGATTATAGACCTAAGTGTCGATTAGCGAACCTCAATTGCCCACTCAATCGGGAAAGTCACGATTCTCGATTGTTCGTTTGGGAAAATTGGGAAAATCCTTTGATTTTGGCATTCTATGCCTGCATTGTTTCGATTGTCTCTCGCCTTTGAATTCGGCTTCTATGTTTCCATTGTTGAACTCATCAAAATGCCGATCCATTGTTACACAATTGGCAACAATTCTACATATATATATATATATATATATGGATGCCCATCGAGTTGAGCAAAATCCCCCCTTCATGTACTCATTCTTCGTACATAAAAACGACAACGATGATACGGAGAATTATGATAATTATGATGATTATAATGATGAGTAAATGAAAATGACAACAACCATGATTGTGATAATGATGACAACTAATAATTTATGAGGAAAAATAACAACTCTTTGGAGGGAAATTTATCCACGATTTCCTCTCAAGATATTTTACATTCTTATTGTTTACTTATAAATAAGTCATACCCATTGAATGCCAAAAAATAAGACTTTTTGAAATTGTGCAGTGTTCATGCTAGTTTGATGAATACTAATACAATCATTCCTACCAAAACACAGCAACGACCCCCCATTTAGTCACAGAGGGAATTATAAAGAGTGGATGGTAGGCAATTCTGTTCTTGTCTAGTTTAATGACACATCCATAGTCATAAGAGACTTTGGGGTTGGGAGAGCTGCAGCCCCTTATCAGGCAAAATTCATCACATTTAAGGCCCCATCTCATCCATACTAAGCCCTCTAAATTATAGGCATATGGCACACCAATGGACACTGAAAGCTGCCAACAAGAAACATTAATAGGAAAGATAACATTAAGATAACTTAACTTTATAGGAAGGAGTTTGAATAAATGTTGTTTCCCATTTCAGCATGAAGCACCCATTGAAATATATGAATTCAATCCAAACAATGAGGAACTAGAAGAGGAAAACCCCTTGAAAATGGTGCCTTTCTTGATTGATGGTCATGTGAAGGTATGGGGAAGGTATGTATGTAAAGACGAAATTGAACTAATGCACATTGCTTTCTGTTTGAGGGCTCTTGTTACTCCCACTCAAGCTAGTTACATTTTATGTTACATATAGTAACACAATATACCTGATCAATTCTTCTTGCACAGTTGGTGATCAAACGCAATGCCTTCTGCTAGAAGGTTTTTCTTTGAATATTCTATTCTGCAACCAATTGACATTTCAACTGAAAGGAAAAACCGTAAACACTTTTGTATTTTATTCCACTGTAATTTGCATGTATAACTGAAAACTACAGCAAAATATGAGTGTCACTGTGCCATGATGTTCCACATTTAGAGGCTGCCTTTAGAAGGTCTTGACCAGATAAAAAATTTGGGGACAGGGATGTTTTGTAATAGAAAATTAAGTAGAAACATAAATTTGATGTGATTTATTACTTATTGCAGAATGTGTTTTCCTTTTTATGACATAATTTGATATTTAAAAACTTGTTTGCTTTTGATTAAAGTACCCTTGTTGATTAAGGGTTGTTAAAATTGGCCCAATATGATTTCAGAACTCCAATAGAGATAATGTAGAGAATCATGTTCAATAAAAGCTACCAAAGCCACTGATGCTATAAAAAGCAAAGTCAATTCAATACCATGTATCAAACAAGGACCATCTTGAATTGAAGAAATGGCAACAGCTGTTGTTATTTAGAAATATACAACAAATCATTATAAATCTCAAGAAACCTTGCCCAAAGTACAAGGATTAAATTTCAATTGCTGTCATTTTTTATTACAACACACTAAAGTATTTTTCCAACACTCCTTCAAATGTAAATTCTATATAATGACCAAAAGATAAATGGTTTGCAGAACCAAGGGGATAAAGAAAAAAACAGTCAACTGGCATTTCGCTGCCATTATGCTACCCTCTAGAAGTTGCATACTCTTTGTGTATTCTTCAAAACTGACCATTAGTTAACAATCCTGGTGGTTAAGCAATTCTAATTGCTTGTTGGAGGAAATATAAAAACATCTGAACCTTTTCTTTATTCTAGCCAAGCAACAATCTTTTACATTGCTGAGAAATATAGTGCTTTTGAGGGCCTTGGGAAGACATTTGAAGAAAGAGCTAAGACGGAATCCATTTTAGCATGGGCTAACACAACTCTTTATAGGTAATAAATTTTTGTTTGAACCTATTATAATAAAAAAATTTTAGATGTAATTACAATTCAAATTAAAAACTCACTTTTAGTAAAGAAATAAAATCAATTGTGCTTTTGAAAGACTAATCTCTTAGATATAATTTTAATAAATTCTTTTTCTTCCATGGCTTCACAAAACTTTCCAAAGATTTTAAAGCACATAAAATGTTTATAATGCTAAGAAACTAGATAGAAATAAGAAAGAACAGCTTTAAAATTTTCCCTATTTTGTTCCCCTACTCTCTGTAGCTATAATTAAATTACACTGCCTTTTTGTGCTATGATCAGCTTAAAAATTATTATCTGCAGGACTGTCATTACAGACTTTGTTGCACCACAAATATATGAAGATGAAGCACTACCAGGTGAAAGCAGCAAAATTCAGGTGGAATTTGCAAGAAAGTCTTTAACTGAGCAGCTGGATGTTCTAGAAGGGTCATATCTAAAGATAAAGAACTACATGATTCAGGATAGTGTCCATTTTGTTGACTATTATGTTGGTATGATTTTGTCACTTTTAGATAAAGTGAACTTTGATCTAGCAAAGTGGCCAAAAACGAAGAAATGGTGCAATGAAATAAAGAAGAAAATGTCTAAAAATATAGAATTGTTTCATGAACAATAATAGATTTGCATTAGCAATAAGAGGAGAAAATTATATTTATTACAAAGGAAAAAAATAATACTTTATAGAACCTTTGGTAGTATTATGGTTCATATAAAAAACAATATGTCTTTTATTGATAATCAAACTAAAGCCTCTTCGTCAGATGCAGCACTCCAAATGCTGAGCAAAATGTGATGAAATCAGCCCTGTCCACAATAAAAGATTTGATGTCACCTTTTGTATTCCTAAAAAGCCTAGTCCAATTGCAAAGGGATAAACTGAAAATATTCTAACTGGCACTATTTTTCATGAATAAATACATTTTTCATGATTGGTTTATAATTTTACCACCTAGAGTTTCCAATACACCTATTAAACAACAAGACAGCTCTGTGCCTTACAACAATAGAAAATGCAAGGAGGAATACATTTCGGAAGAGCTTCTTAGCAAGTTGTTTGAATCTAACAACACAATCTTAAAAGAACTTTTTTACCTATCTTTTACAAAATAATTTATTAAAGCAGCAATAGCTAATTATCTATTTTATAGCAAGCATTTTGTTGCCCTGCTTAAAAATATGTGGGTGATTTTTAACTTCGTAAAAAAGGAAATTACACCCTAGACCAAGACAAGGTATACTGAGGGGCAAATCACTCCAAGAAAATCTCATACACCTTTAGTGAAAATTCTATTGTTTTATCTGAAAATCCCCAGAAATCCTTTTGTTTTAGGTAAAATCTCATACGCTATTTGCAAGAGTGAACTGCCCCTCGAGCTATACAATGTCCTATTAAAAACTTCAAAAAGGGAAGAATTTAAAAAGTAAAGCATGAAATTAGGTTTTTCAACTGTGTTGTAGCAAATGGTATTATTCTCAAAACATCGCCTGAATGTCATATTTCCTAAAACACCTTAATAACCTTCACTCAGCCCTACAGTTTTATTTTGAAAAGAAATAAATGGATTCCTTGCCATTTCTTGATGTTTATTTTAAAGTCTTGCACTTGATTTCTTAACAGTGATTATTGTAAACTTTCAATGTTACACATACACTTGATAGAATTATATTTGCTCAAAACAAAAGAAAATCAGCCTTATCAAAACATTGACTCAAAGGCTGCTAGTGTTTAAATCCAAGTCAAAACTTGGCTCAAAATTAAATAAGGATACTATAAAAGGTACTAAAAAAAGATAAGGGTTGTCCGATAGGGCCCCGGTACAGAGTTTATCTAAAACTACCTTGGATGGGTAAAATTCCCTTGTGATTGAAGAGGCAATTTCAAAATTAATATTTTGCTGTTAATACTTGTATAATTTTTCAGTACAAAAGGGTCCTTCTATCCATTCAAAGAGATTGTGCTCTTACCATCCAAAAAATAATTCATGAGTTTTTATGCCACGTGATTCTTGCTACGTAGGTAGAACAACACAGAGTTTCAGTTCATTTTCAGTTCATTTTCAATGAAGATTGGATGATAGATTAAAACTGCCCTACTTACCTCTTCTATGAATGCTAAAGGCACTCCTGCTGCAACTGACACAAACAGCTGGGTGATTCGATATAAAATTGCATACAAATTGGCATTTGTGCACCCCATGATCTCAGATTTTACTGATTTCACTCAAGGTTTCATGGCTTGAGTTTGTTACTGGGTGAAATAATTCTCGACAAACAGTGTGCTAACGTTTTTTACACCGAAGGAATTTAGGAAATTACTTCATTCGTTCTGGAGATATCGACGGCTTTTTCGAATCTCATTCTGGCCTCATTCTGGTCATCGATCACAGGGCTACCGTTGGTGAATATGCGTTTTTAAAAAGAAACATTTCCAGCCCGTTGTCGCAAAAATTTACAATTTTTCATTAAATTTGGCATATTTTGTTGTAATTGTGAGGATTTTATGAAAAACTCCTGGTTTTCAGCATCAATTCGTTGATATGCAGTGGTGTTGTTTACGTCTAGAGGGCCTAAAGGATTGAATCTCATTCTGAGGAAAATCGAGTGAGTTCTGCCAGATAAAAAGAGCTTTCGTTGTCAAATAAAATCATTTCGGATAATTTACTTATTGTACTTTTTTACGCAGAAAAGATTTTGAGAATTGCTTCTTGTTTTTGGAAGATATCGTTGATTGTTTCGTGCCCGGCAAAATACCCTTTTTTCGACCATAGGGACCCCATATGTAGACAGGAAACAACGCGAAAATTTCGCCCGCAATTCTCAGTTTTTTTGTGTAAAAAGGTGCTAAAAGAATCATTTAGACAAGATGGCTTAGAAATGATTAAATCAAACATCAGAAATACATTTTAGACAGTTTTAGTCTTTCGTGGTTCGGATTGAATCTCATTCTGTATGTCATTCTGATGTCGAATCTCATTCTGAATCTCATTCTCATTCTCTGTCTGAATAGCATGCGGTCTTTACTTTTCAACTGAGCTTCAAATCTGTTTGACCCATGGCCTTTGTCCTTATTTACATCCTCTTCCAAAGATTGTCCTCTTCGGAACGAAACATTAACGAGGCTTTTATAATTGCAAACGAGGTAAGCCGGTGTCATGCAATCATGTAGAGAAGATAGAAGGTAGAAGTACTCTTCGGGATAAAAGTGTCTGAGGCTGCGCGCAGGCTATGCAATCACTGATCTTTAAAAAATCAGTGCATGCAATGAGGTAAAATACCTTATTGGTGTCATGCGTTTCGGTACACAAACGCATGACAATTTGGTAATGCAAAAACTTACCCAAGCACTTAAACAATACGATACCAAAACGAATGGTGGAATTTAGCATGCAAAACCTGACAGAGAAAAGCATTAGGAAATTTAAAAAGCTTTGTTGCCCTTTTTGTATTATGATTATCTTAACAATTATTTTCTGCGGAATCTGCAGGAATGTTGTTACAAACTCTGCTGCACCACAACTACATGAAATTGAAGACCTAGCTCTTAGCAGACCGGCTTGATTCTTTGATGAAAAGATGATGATGATGATGATGATGATGATGATTATGATGATGATGATGATGATGATGATGATGATGATGATGATTATGATAATGATGATGATGATGATGATGATTGTTGATCATGGTTTTCCATTGAAAATATGAAAAATTGCTATTATTAGCAAATGGCTTGCTTCTTCAAGAAAATGGTTTTTAAAATGATATTCAAATCTTTTAAGCAGGCTTAATACATGCAAACTATAGGATGCTAATGCTATTTAATTATGCTTATTTTAATAAGTCTCGGTGATTAGAATTGAATCATTTTTAACAAATCAAAAAATTAACGAGAACATGAATAATGATTATGAAAACCTTATCCTAATTAAAACTGATTAGCATAAGAACAATCAGAAAGCTGTTGGTTTATCTAGAGTAATTAACATCACTTATAATCCTTATCCTGCAAAGATAAATGTCTTCTTTCAGCTTTTTGGGATGCAGCCAATAGTTGGAGAACTTGTTCTGTCAAAATATGCAGAAGATGGAAACTTAGGGCACGTTTGTATGAGCCAGTAAATTGGGCTAGCTTGATAAACGTTCTGAATTTACTCTCGGCACATCATTGCAGAGCTGCAATCCACTTGGCGCAAATTTAGGGCACATATGTGCCTTTTGAAACAATGAGTGCGAAAAAAATTTGGAAGTTAAGATGACATTACAAAAATTACTAAATTGCAAAGATTGCGATAACTTGCAAGGAGCACAACAACTGTGTCGTTAATGACGCTACAGCTTAACGGACTTATACAGACAACTCCAGTGATAGTAAAAAAGAAGCAGGATGACCATGTCTCCCGATACCCAAGAGGGTCTCCAAACAAACGCGTTTGCAGAACAAATATTCATAGGGTATAATTTGCAATGTGCAGATGAATTGAGTTTGAGAAGTAGCACATGTTGCTTCTTAACCCTCTCTGCCATGACTGTGTTGGTTTATACATGATTGTAAGTTACCGTTGTACGTTTAACATTTAGATATAGTCATTTTTATGTGTTTATAAAAAAATTGCTTCCTCCCTCCCCCAATGTCAAAATCCTAACCACTCCCATTGATAACCAGAACCTAAAATAAGCGTGGATCTGACTCACTTTGTTGAGTTGTAAATTAAAATTGTGGAACTGTAATTGTAGAAAGCGTGAACTTGTAAACAATGCATGTTCTTAAAAGTGCAGCATAAAATACCAATCATAACGCCTAAGAAAGAAATGGGAACATTTTTTCAATTCGAAGTGAAAGCCCAATCCCAGTCTTATGTATTGCACTCATTTTTTAAAAGAAAGTTGCAATAAGAAATAAGCAATGGACAATAAAGAAGAATTAAGAAACTTCAGGGCTCGAAGCTTCAGTACATGCGGAGAAAAATCAATTGCGCTTTAGGATATTGTTGTGTGCTTTCTTAAAGCAAGATGGACTCTGTATACAGCTTTAACTTCAAGACATCATCTCAATTTAGTTTGCTTTTATGACTTGCTTCAAAAAAGACACTGAGCTTAAAGACCAAGACCGAGATTATGATTTTCTGCCCGTAATGTATTTTGGGGTTTATGTGATATCTTTCAGTAGATGTCAGAAAAAGTTATAAAGCAATTCATCTAAGGTGTTTTAAATTGGAAAAGCATTGGAAAGATTCTTCTCAAGGCTACAGCAGCTGAACGATGATAAGCCTCTCGGTGGTAGCTGGGAGGAACATTCAATTGGGAATGTTGCAAGACAGGGACTATAGTCCTCCCCAACTTTTTGCAATAATAGGTTAGAAAATGTTTTGAAAGTTGAGGCTAACGAACGCATTAGTAGCAGTTCTGCTGGAAACACGTTTTTGTTCTTTTTGATGGTGCTTAATCTTGTGTGGTCTGTTCTTGTGTGAAGGTGCTTTATTTGTAATTTATCTAACTCGGTTTTATATTTTTATGTTAATTGAAATCTTCTCTAAATCGTTATGTTTATGAATAAGGACAGAAAGAAACAAACATTTTTTGAAAAGAGTGTTTTCCGGTATTTGAAAGAGCGTGGCCGTAAAAAATTTAGAGGCAAGCCTACTAGTCCCGTTCCAACCACTCTCTTGTGGGCTGGTGCTAGTGTGATGTGATCTAGCGTAATATTAGAATAATATTTGCCAAGAATCGCCATTAAGCATAAAATCTAGCATAATTTTGAATCTAGCATAACTCTGGCATAATTCTGATATTTTTTAAAAGAATCATTGTTTTAATGGATCCATTGTCTATCGTTACCAAATGCAAACACTATACACCAGCATCTGTGGTTTCATTTTGGGAGTAAATTGTGACTTTCCACCTTCAGGATTTTGCCAGTTGTTCTGGATGGTTGGCAGCCACATATTTTGTAGTTGGCGGCCAAATGTAGCCAGCTAAACGCAGTATACAAAAAAGCTAAATTTTTGCTTATTATTGGGAGTGATACCGTTATCAAAATTTGCTTTGTTGGTTACAAAAGTTTTCACTTGCTTTGATCTAAAATTGTCTGTTATCTTTTGCTTTGTTTCATCATTCATCATTTGCAATTTTGAAACTATCTTAAAAAGTTTTGAATATTATCTGTGCAAAAAACCTTCGCATTTGTTTCCTTTGCATTTTTGTTGTTTTTTGCAACATGCTGCCAGAATTCAGCCAAGTTTTGCTTCTTCGGCTCAATCAATTTATGACGACCAAGGGGTTTTGAGAAACTGTCAAAATGGAGAAATTTGCCCACCAAACCATGGATCTAAATTGCCTTTTTGTTTATGAAGAATGAGTACACTATGTTGTCAAAAAGGCCAAATTGCAACTCTGGCCACTTCTGATATTCTGAGCATGCATTAGCCTCTTTCTCGAGCAGGGTTGCCTTGCTTTGAAATCTAGCATAATTTTTGCACAATCTAATGACAAATTTGGCGTAATTCCAAAATTGAGATCTGTTGGGTGGTTTCTGCATTACAAATAAGATAGGGGTAAAGATCATGCTTTAAAACTGGGTGAAAAGAGAATAAAAAGAAACAAGCACAATCAGTGAGAGAAGAGTTTATTTGCCATCTGTAACGAGGTTTTCGTTTATAGATTTCGTTAAACTTTATGAAGAACAGATTTGGTGGCAAAGAATTTGATGGGCTGAATGCAGTTAAGAACTTTCCATAAGTAAAAGAGACTTAAGAAAGCTTCACCCAGCTTTTGTCCGGGACAAAATATTTCATTCAATATATCATGCATCAAATTTTGAGAAATAAACGACTAAGATCGCAGAGGTCTGAGACTTGTTCTCAGAGGAATTCTACCAGACAGGACAATGGCTCGGATTCTCGCGAATCCCTAATTCTGTCAATGTGAAGAGGCTGATTTCCACCTACAACAAGATAGAAGCAGGTGGGAAAAGCAGCATAGCTCTAGAAAAACTAAACAAATAGATAAATATTTCAATGAATATGCTTGACCTCGCAAGTTTTGAGTTCCGAGAAAAGCTGCAAAGATATGGCTCCAAAAAACCAAAAAACACCAAAGTCCGAGAAGCAAGGCTGATTTAAGGAAGTTTTTGAAAGTGAAAGGAAATAAAACAACTATGACAGAGATCCGAACAAACCATGTAAAATAAGACATCGCTATATGTAGCTAATTTTCTTATTAATCCATATATTGTGAAGAATCAGCTTTTGCTACTTATACTACATTAATTAAAGAATTTGCCCAATTAAGACATGCTATTTGCACTATGATGGCAGTTTCTTTATTTGCCACCCCCATGATGCCAATCCCAGGAAAGTACCACTTCCAATTTTTATAAAAAATGTGGATCTGTAAAAATTTCTTATTTTAGGCTCTGTTGATAACTCAAAAGCTGACAACTGTTGGATGTTAAAAAGTGACCGGAAGACAAAACTACTATCCCAGGAAGCGGAAACGTCTGAAACTAAGGTCACTTCGAAAAATAAGCGCGAAAATGGTTTCATTCAGGTCGCTATGACTTATGGTTGCAAAAAATTTAACTTGGAATTTTTTGCTGAGGATGCCCCGGAATTTTCGCATGTCCCGCAATTATTTCTTTACTCTACTAAATGGGGCAAAGTTATACTAAGTTAAATGGGGCAAAGTCTCTGATCAAACATCACCAAATTACAGGGTTTTATCTGCATGTAAAAAACAGATACATATTATAAGCAATCTCATTTTTCTTTTGTATAGACACGACGTCCTCACGCATTCTTAAAATTCATCTCTTTGCTAAAGATACTAGCATCTTCTTTACCCATAGCAACCCAATCGAACGTTAAAAAAACTGTAAATTTATTTTAACAGTTTCAACATGGCTTTCTGCAAAGAGGCTATCCCCAAATGTCGCAAAATCAAACTTCATGATCAAGTCTTATGGTAAAAATTCAGAATCTAAAATTCGCATCAAAATAGATGATACTCCAGTCACAGAAAAACTAAAAAAATATTTAGATGTATTGATTGGCAATAAGGCAGCAACATATTTGGGAAATTAATGTAAAAGTCTCAAAAAGTATTGGCATTCTGACAAAAATGAGACATTTTGATTCATTAAATACTCCAAAAAATCTCCACTATGCTTTCACTTCTAATCATTTTACCTTAGACACTTGGCTTACTCGATGAAAGGAGTGTTAAAACGGTTTTACAAAGAGGCAAAGCCAAGGAGAAACCACGCAAAAGTATTTTAAGACGCCACCAAAGTAAACCCTTGGATGCAGCCCTATAAAATGTTCTCTTTCATACAAAATGTTTCTGCAGTGTACAATGATAAAAGAGTTGGTTATGCTACTTGATATGCTTAGTAAAGTCAACTTGTTATTGCTGAATGTTTTCCTTAGAAGCTGATTTCATAGACGTCTGTCTGAGAATTTCCATACAAACCCAAACTCGATTGAGCAGCAGATTTTAAAACTGGTTCAGACTATGACAGGATTCAGAAAAAATCAAATATCCTAAAATCATGTTTATAACTAATTGGCTCGATGGGTTATCCGCTTTTAGTTAAAATAAATGTCAAAATATTAAGCTAAGCCTTCAATTACAACCTCAATTAAATTGACTTTGACTTTTTAATATTAACTCGCAAATAACAGCAGTTAAAAAATGGCACAAGGATTGCTTCCAAGTCGGTTTGAAAAAGAAATTAGTGTTGGTAGAAGTAAGTCGTCTTAATATTCTCTTTCAATATTTTTTATAATAAAAAATCCAGTTTTAGAAGCAGTTTAATTCCTTTGATGAAAAGACTGTTCGGCTACTATGCTGCAAATGATTGAATTGGCCTCTCTGGCTCCGTGGTTTTTAACTTCAAAATACCAAGTTAAGAAATTAGATCATGAAGATGATTATGACGCTGATGTTGATGATGACAACGATGATTATAATGTTGATGACGATGTTGATGACAGGACCAGGTCGAAAATGACAACTGTGATGGTAATACTAACGAATGATAACTGATGACGAATTAGAAGACTTTAGAGAGAGATTTATTGATGATTTCCTTTCAAGATATATTTTTATTCTAATTGTTTACTCATAAATAAGTCGTACCCATTGAATGACAAAAACCTAGATTAATTAAAACTCGTAGATTCTTTACGCTAGTTCAATGAATGCTGATAAAATCATTCCTACAAAAATACAACAACAATTTCCTGTTAGTCTGGGAAGAAATTCTAAACAGGGAATGGTAAGCAACTCCGTTTTGATCTAGCTTAATAACACATCAACTAAAATCTGACATAAAATAATGTTTAAAACATAACTCAACTATATAAAAACAAGTTTGAATGACTGCTGCTTTCAATTTCAGTTTTAAGTACCCACCAAAATACATGAATTCGATTCTTGAAGAGAAAAGCCCTATGAAAACTCTCTGTCTTTCCTGAACGACGGTCAAGTGGAAGTATAGAGAGCATATGTACGCAAACGAAAACCAAAATGAAGCATAATTTACCCAAGACAATTAAATATTATGCTGATTTAGAACTGCAGGCGAATGCTTGAGCATAATTCGAGACTTAGTCTTTACTAAATTTCAATACCTTATCCAAGCTGTTGGCACAGTTAGTGATCAAACGTCATGCAATCTGCTACAAGGCCTTTCTCTGAATATTTCATTTCGCAACCAATTGATATTTTAACTGAAAAGACAAGGTATAAACAAATTGATGTCTACAACTGCATTGGAAGTTGCATATATAAATGAGACCTATGGGACTTTGGGACAAAATAAGTCACTATACCAAGGTATAAATTTTGGGACACATGTTTCAAAATGCCACAATAAGTAGAAACATAAAATCAAAATACTATATTTGATACGAAAGTTATCTAGCACAGTGGATTGTGTTGACTATTTCACGAAATTTTAAATGGGTATAGTATTTTGAGTTGTTCATTGTCGCCAGGTGTCACTTATTTAGATGTACTACTGCTTTTGAACAAAGGACCCTTGTTGATGGAGGGTAAGTTGTGAAAGTTGGCGAGGAATCAGATTCAATAAAAGCTACTAAAACCACAGATGCTATAAAAAGAAAAGTGAATTGATACAAAGTATCAAATAAGGACCATCTCAAATTGATGTAGTGGTAACAGTTATTCTCATTTAGAAATTTCAAACAAACTATAAATCAATCTCAAGAATCCGTACAAGGATTGAACCAATTTCGTGTCAAGTACAAACTAAAATTCCTCAACGTGTTTCTAATTCATTCGTCATTAGGAATCACCCTGCTCCCTATTGGTGTTCTAACATTATCTACAAATTTACGTGAAGAGGCTGCGCCATTTACAATGGAGAAACATCTGGCAATCTTTTGATTCGCTGTATAGAGCACTTTGGAATTAAACAACACGGGCAAAATTACCTAGCTCCTCTTCCATTCAAGAACACATTGGTAAAACTAGACATATAGCCAGTTCCAAAATTTTCTCTATTCTTTCGAAAACAGACAACTCTTTAGATTTACTCATTCACAAAACCTTCTTGTACACAGGGATAGATATTGGCTAAATTCCCAGCAGTCATCTATTCCCACGAAATTGTTCTGACTCTCTTTCCCTTCTTTCCTTCCTTTGTTCTCCCTTTGCTCCTTGCTTATTTTCTTTAGGTTGTTTACTACTACTCTTCTCAGTCTTCTTCAACGTCCTGATTGCTTCTTTCACATTCTATTACATGACCTACGATTCCTATTGTTGAATTCTTTCCTACTTATAGTGAAATTGTTGCTCTTTTTAAATACTTTACTGAAGATGACTCTAGCTAGAGATGAAACGTTAAAATGATTTTTTACAACTGATTTTATCTAAATGACTTGCGTCCATTGACTATGCCCTACGGATTATGGTCTAACCTGGATTGTAACTGATCACGGAATGTTTCACCAATTTCGCCAGCTTTTAACAATGGATTAGTCGTTCAATTAGATTAAAAGAGTCGAAATAGAAATTCAAAAATGTGTCTCGCTGTGCTTGTTATCTACTTTTCTTTAATTTAGCCAAGCAACAATCTTTAACATGGCTAAGAAGCAAGGCTTACTAAACTCTCTAAAGGTAAAAAAATTTTTGTTTGACCCTACTATAATGAAAAGCATATTTGATAAAATATTTGTAATTATTATCGAAACGTTCTTTTCGATCCACATCTGGATATAATTTTTCTGCTTATTTTTTGTCACTATTCGATAATTATACTCTGAAGGGTGTTTGATAAAAATGGGCTTGAATATGTCATGTTTTCGTTATTTTGTGCCATCTTAAAATTGTGCTGACTAGAATTTATAATACAAATATGAATTAAACAATGAGACAACTCAACTCTAGTGTCTGACAACCAGTGAAAATGCAACAAGCAAAACATTTTCGAAAAATATGAAACCATAAAGCTGGATTCCTGATGACTATCTACTGATATGTCCATAACAATAAGAGTGTAAGGCTACCTTTCCAGCCCCCTCAATTAATTCTGATGTGCCACATGGTTTTGTGTTAACTCCTGTTTTATTCATCTTTGACCTTCTATCTTCCACCGCTTACTCTTATCTGAGCTCGCTCTTCTTTCTCCTTCAATTCACAACATAATTCTGCTATCAACAACCCCATTCAAATAAACATATAAGCTGAATTTCTTACTAATGACCTGGCAATAATTGAGAATCTTGTTTGGTTTAATCACACCAGAACCATGCAGGTTATCTTTCCTTCGAAGTATGGTATTGATTTGGATATTTCTACTTCCTTTTCACAACTAGGCCTTTCTGTTTTATTCAACTTAGATTGGAAATCTCACATTTCTTCTCTTGCTAGACATTCATTTCAAACAACTCCTAACAATTTATAAGCCCAAATCCATCTTTTCTTAGAATACAGCTCTATATATGAGGTGTTGCACCTTAATCTTCCCTGTGTCTACTTGACAAACCCAATCCAAAGTCATTTGCTTCGTCATCAAATGCAACCTTACAAAGTCCCTTCAGCCTCTTTACAGATTCTCCAATAGACATTGCTTACATGAGATCAGAAATATGATCCCTGGTCCCCTGAGACATGCACATTAAACCTATTGCAACATCTTAAGATGACTCTAGTACATACCTTCATTAAAAAGAAATGCAATTTTATCCACATTCTGTTGTATTACTTTGATTTTGGATTCATTTCTTTGTTTCTTAAAAAAGCAGCTTCAACTGCAGACATAAAACTTCCTCTCATGCCATCCCTCTCAAGGCTATGAATACCTACAATTGTTGACCCAGCTGGTGATGTAACTTCATCTTTGAGCTGTTGGCAAATAAAAAGCAAAATAATTACTATGAATAACTTATGAATCAGCTGATATATGACATAGAAGCTGATGGGTTAAGGATAAAGAAAATGGCACTTGGCATTTGATTAAGATGCTTAGGTGTTCGAATCACTACGAATCTCACAAAACTGAAAAAAATGTCTACACCTCTTACAATTATATTAAAAATTTGTTAACTTGTATGCAAGTTATCACAAGAAAGAGGAATCTAGTACTGTGAAAACTTTCCATTGTTTGGCTATAGAAAGTTTTAGGACATGCTGACTCACAAATGACAATAGAACAGCCCTTTACAGTACTGGATGAATGACACTTAGCATCGTGGTCTACATAGAAGGCTTATTCAATGCCAGTAATTCAAAGAGAATTAAGATGAGGAGGGTTCACTGCTCTTTTTTCTATTTGTTCAAAACATTCTAGTTTTTTGCATCTTTAAAAAAAGCCAAATCGTACCAATGAAAAACATTTCAAACTTTCAAAAATTGAACTAGACTGGTACCACCAGTACTGCTGCAAGCCATCACTGTTTGTAATTATTATTTGATTGAGCTTATACTTAACAAACTGAATTTGCCAATGATTTTGAGCCTCACCTCTCCTGGGTGCTTTCCTGTTTTCAAAACCATATTTCCAGCACCAACCATTGCTCTCGCAGCCAACTCAGTAGCAAGTTTTCTTGGTAAACCAACCTTCACAGCCCCATCTGATGCTCCCTCAATCATCATATAGAACCAGGCAACACTACTTCCACACAGAGATGAGATTATATCTATCTGCGGCTCCGGCACATTTTCAGCTGAGGCTGGATGAAAAGAAAAGAAATATAAATAATTTTTTATTTTAAGAATTATAATTTTATTCTGTATGCAAATATTCAAATAAGTGTATCTGCAAAATTTCAAAAAACATTCTGTCATGGTTTTGAGCTTAAACTTGCAATAACTCAAATTCACTTGCAACTTTCTAGAAAACATGAGAACAACTTGCATATCTGATTAAATATTCAAGAAAGGTAATAGGTAATAAAAAGAAATTAAATTGAATCTGAAAATTGGTCTTATTTGTCTAAATTCATATTTGAAAATTTTCTTAAAACTATCATTGCTATTGAAGGATTAATGTCTCATGTAAAGATCATTTCCTTACCAACAGAACTGAGAAGGTGATGCACAACTTTAACATCTGTGGAAGTACAACAGCCACCTGGAGTGTAAGCAATTACACCAGATTGGACAAGACATGGTGTGTTAGGAATGGTCCTGACAATTCTTGAACCTTTGGGTAAAGCCTGAAAAGATAAGATAAGAATTAATAGATGATAAATTTAAATCTTGTTAGCCTCTAAAAATATATAAAAATCTGTTTGAAAGATATGATGGGCTGGAAATAATCAACCTAGCTGAGACACTTAGCTTGAGAAATCATTTTTATGGAAAATTTTATGAAAATAATTATAATGTAATAATTTTATCACCATCAGATTACAGCAACAAAAAGCTACAGCTTTAGTGTAGCAAGAATTTCATTTGCCTTCTTGAAAGTGGTATGTTGATGATTTTTAACTTGCTAAAACCCTGAAAAGACATCCTTGACTGACAAGTTGAGTTTTAAGTATAAATAAATCTCATCTCAGAATCACTAATTTGTGAGAAATCTAATATAATCTGAAATATGATAGAAAGTAAAACAAGCTTGTTGCAAATGAATCAATCTGTTTAGTATTGATCAATAATGTCAGTTCCAACTATAGTCTGTGTTCAATGGATACCTTTTCATAAAAATTTAGGAATCATAAATTTTATTTTTTAGAGTATGTTTTGAACAAGTACACATTGTAATTTTCCTTAAATTTGATACTTTTGGCTTTGCTTTTAACCAAATATTCCAAGAAAAACCCTGCTTTGATATCTTCAAATGTTCCAGTGTAACAGTTGACACTGCTACATTTGACTACCCATCTTGAGCAGCAATGCCTGATCACCAAAGTTACTAAGAATTGAAATACAAAAAACTGCCACTTTTCCTCTTCAATTTTACATATTAGCATATCTAAAACTGTGAGATATAAAAGTATGAGCTGAGATTTCAAAATTGACTATTGCAAGTCTGTGGCAATATTTGAAATCCTTGAAATTCAACATTCAAAGATCCCATCTCATATCCAATTATTGTAGTAAGATAGCTTTACAAAAAGAAACCTAGGATAAGTGTAACAGTCAAAGGAATAAAATCAGCAAATCTAACATATGATAAAAATGTCATTTTGCATTTTTTAGTACTCAGCAAGGATAGATATATATATCATCATATCAAATGGGCTTTCACATTCAGAAATTAACTCATGCAACCAAAAACTTGTGTGATAAGAGGTGGGATGTGCGAATCAAATTCATTTGATAACACAGAATAATTAAATTCTTTCTTTTGAAACATTAAACTTGACAAAACTTAAAAAATGAAAATGAAATAAAACTTTTTCTACATATCAAAGCATGAAGAGAGGTTTTTGCACTACACACTGCAGTAATCAGATTAACAGTGAATTCTTGTCATGATGAGAACCTCAAGCCTATTGGTGAAAAGGCAAAAAGTAACAAAACTTGCTGCACTTGAAATTAACCTAAATTACCAAGCAAAATATAACATAGTCATACTGCATTTTGGCAAAATGAAAACAGTTCATCTGTTGCAAAATTTTTAATCAAATAGCTTTGAACTTGCAATGCTAAGATAGAGCTACTGACCTCTTCCATGAATTCTAGAGGCACCCCTGCTGCAACAGACACAAACAGCTGCTTCTCAGTTACAACATGCTTTATTTCTTCAAGTAGTTTCCCCAAAAGATACGGTTTGACACAGAGAAACACTATGTCACATTCTTGTACAACCCTGCAGTTGTCTCTTGTTCCATGAGAGCCAATATCCTAGAAACAAAATTTTGCATTTAGAGGCCTTGCTCTAAGCAAAATGAGATGCTCAATAAAAAGGGCCCCTTAGAAACTCTAGGCCCTTTATTTTGCACCTCTAAATAAAATGTCTTTGATAGCATCTTTCAAGAGCTTAGGAGGATCAAGAGCTTCATAACAAGAGCTTCGGAAGAGTGTTGAATAAGAAATTCAACAATGATACAAAAAAGCACCATGATATGAAATAACAAAACATGCAACAAACACTATGTTAATATAAATATAGAAATATAATAAAACAAAATCTAAAAATTGTTCAGATTTTTCTAGTTATGTGAGTTGCCATCACTTGATGAGGTTTTGTCACTGTCAGTATCACCACTCTTATGTTCAGCTTCACATATTGCTTCATCAAAACGCATGGCTTTAAGTCAAACATTTGACTTTGTTTTCTTTTGTATGTTATCAATTCTAAAAGACAGGCTAGAACATCTACTACTCACGAAAGCAAATGAAAACTGAAAAGCAATGCAATAATTTGGGCAGAAATGTGATCGCTGATTTGCATAGGTGATTTTAAGTTATTAAGAAAAAAAAGAAAATATAACTTCAACAGAAGATTAACGCTTGCTTGAAAATCAAATAAATCTGCCAAAGAATACGCTTTGGCCTATGTCCTTGGTGGTTATTTGAAGGTTATTAGGTTAATATGAAAAGCAAAGATTCTACTTATCTGGTGTCAAAAACTGGAATGATTTCCCTGATAACATTTGAGAAAAAGAAGCAATAGCTTGTTTTAGAACAGGTTCTAGAGAGTATCTTTTGAACCTTTCATAGGACACAACCACCACCCCTTGGTAGAGCAGCAATTCATACTTCTATTATTTTTTCTTTTATTAGTATTATGGAAATATTGCTAATAGGTTATTTATTTGCTGAAAGGTATCTTGTGTATAAATATTGATAAATGAAATGAATGAATGAAGATTAAAAATGTTATCAAAAACCCAATGTTGAATTTGTTGAATTCTTTTCTCAAAGAGTAATCTTATGCAAATCAAAATACTGCTGTCTGTTGGGAAGATTGTTTATGATTGATCAAGTTAATTCAACAAATGTCAAAAATCATTTTTCTCTGTGGTAATATTGTTTTTACATTCTGAGGGGCTCTATAAATCACTCTCCAAGACCTTTCTTGGATGTGCTGTAAGCACACCCGGTCGACGAGTGCCTTTCCAGGCAAGGCCTGCATATAGATAAGTAATTACAACTCTTCTGGTCAATAATATTTGTCTTGATTACTAAATACTGACAACGACTATGACTAGAGGTCCTCAATTTTACTAGTGGCTATTTCATACTTTCTCAACTTTTTTGTGCCCATTTGGCTGTGATGCCCTAAGCACCTGCCTAGTTCAAGGGGCTAATTCAGCCCCGTGCAGGCTCCATCCCCTAAATAAATAATGGCCACACTGCATCCCATAACTTGCAGTTTAATGTTTAATGCCACAGTTTAATGTTTATTTTAAATACCAAAAAACTAAAATTAATTTAAATGTGCTTCTAATGCACACAACTTTCATTCCTTTCTGTCAATGTTTAAATGACTTGGTTAACCAGTCTGGATTTCATGGTAGTTTTTGACGAGATCTCTGGAGTGCACAAGATATTTGCCGGGAGTGCAGGAGTGCATTTTGGATAAATGTGCACACTTGAATGTTCACCAAATTTTCCAGTGATTCTTGAGTGTGTGCATATTTTCCCTGTACTTATCCTGTTTACATCAATTTCACATCTCAGAGAAACTCAATGATTAAAATTTGTGAGCTATGCTTAACCTACCACTACCATCAGTGGCTGTTATTCAAATTCCTAAAGGTTCCACAAATAAAGGAATGATTTTAGAGATAATGTTTATCCTAAAAGATTATCTCAAGCAGGGAGGCCAAAAAGGGTCCAAGGGCCTCGCGGTCTAGGGCGACTTATAACTAAAATTCTATCACGAATGGAATTAATCAAACGTAACAGAAGTATGCCTAAAAATATTAAAACATTTTAAACAAGTTGCAAAAAATGGCTGCAAAAAATATTCTGAAGTATATTTAAGCTAATGTTAAGAACCTGCTGGAAACAATTTTCTGCTCGCTTCACTTGCAGGGAACAGTGTTCTTTGCAGTTTCCCAGGGCCACTAAAACTTATCGACAGCCCTGATCTAAAGATCATTTATTTTGGAATAACACAGTCACTTTTTACCAATCTCAGTAACGAAAAAATTTAAAAAGTCATTTGTCATATTTGAAAAAGCTTTTAGATTTGAACCACACCCAAGGCCACACCAATATTTCGGATGTATAAGAGTGCATTGATAATTTTATAAGAACTTATGAGGAGTGCAGCTGCCATATGGAATCCATATATACTGCACTGGTTCCTTGACTTATATTTTTTGCTACTTCCCAGCTTATCAAACATTTTGTTAGAACTAATTAGTTGCTAGCAGCTGGAGACAGAAAATACTAATTACCGTCCATTTAGACAAGGTTTCTTCAGTTCTTGCACTGGCTAAAACATTCGAGGCCTTTAATATCTTTGAAGATATGAAGCCTTTCGCCATGGCTTGGGCCATTTTACCGCCACCTATGAATCCAACTTTGCATTCCAGCAATGCGTCCGCAACTTCTTGAGCCATTTTTCAGGTCTGTGGCAAGAAACTGTTCACCTTCGCTCATAAACTTGTTAGGCCCTTGCTTTTCGGAAAAATACGTGAACGAGGCTTAAATTATTGCCCATGAGGTACGCCGGTTTCAAAATGGACGACGGTGTCACAGATCAGCCTGTCTGCAAAAGAGCTAAAATTGACAGTAATGACGAGTCTCTGGAAGAAAAAAATAGTAGTAAAGATGCAAATAAAGACCTTGAAAAAGAATCAACAATAAAAAGCGAATTTGTAAAGGACATAGGCCCGCGTCTCTCCGAGAGCGATGTAGGAATTGACCAATATGTATGTGACTCTCCTGGTATAGGAGGCATTATCAAGCAAAGATATGCAGATTTCATTGTTAGGGAGATAGATAAAAGCGGGAAAATTGTGCGTTTGTCGAGTATTGAATTCCTGGAAGCTGAGAGAAAATACCAAGAGGATGCAGAAAGCTGCCATGTAGATACTGTTGACGCCAAAGATGAAACCAACGCTGAAGGTCCACTTATTCTCGAGGATCTTGGTAGATTAAATGATTTTCTCGCGGATTCGAAGCAAACTGATATAAAAGATCGTTTCTTAGTTCTAAGTGCAGACAATGACAAAGAACACAGAAAGCTGGTGCATATGTTTATAAAGAAAAACTATCAAGACCTTGGTTTGTTTACTCAGATTTTGTGCCCATCGTTTATAAAATTAGATTATGAAATTTTCAAGAGGATAAAAGGGATTCTTCTAAAAATTGGATTAGAAAAATAAGTTCCATTTAGTCTATATTGCAGTCACATGCCACACTGATCCTAGACTATGTGTGACAGTTGTACCATTTTGAATGCCATTTAAAGTTAGAGTCCAAAGTAGTTCCAAAAAACGTAGCATACCTTTTTTCTAACAGTTGCATTAAATACATTTTTACTTCAAAATTGGAAAGAAGCTAGATTCACATCATAAAATAATCATTAATTGATTATGCAGGGCTTTCATACCATCTGTTAGTCTGGTTAAGTTTGAGATGATCAACTCTAAAAAAGACAACAGATCAATTTCTTTAACCAATCTAGATTTTTTTAAGTTATAGAATATGTTATTGACTTATTTATTTAATTTATTGCTTATTTCAGATACAGAAACATTTGAGAATGAAAGTGGAGAGAAGATGGTCAAAGTTTTCTTAAAGGAGAAAAATCAAAATAGACAAAGGCAGAGGAAACAGAGAGATAACAAGCAAACACAATATTGTCATTTTGTTTTATATAAAGAAAATAGAGACACAATGAGTGCTGTAAACTTAATTGCAGATTTACTTCGTGTAAAGCCATCTGTGTTTTCATATTCAGGAACAAAAGACAAAAGAGCAATAACAACCCAGCAACTTTGTGCTTGTAGAGTTGATGCCAAAAGATTGGCATCAATAAACAAGCTAGTTAGAAATATTGCAGTTGGTTCATTTGAATATAAAAGCTTTCCTTTGAAATTAGGCGATCTTAGTGGAAATCAGTTTTCAATAGTGTTAAGAAATATATCCCTAACTGCAAGTGAAGAGTTGTTGTCTAAGATTATAGAAAGCTTGAGAGGCAGTGGTTTCATTAACTATTTTGGGATGCAAAGATTTGGCAGTGGATCTGTTGCAACGTTTGAAGTTGGTAAGGATCTTAAATCTAATTTAACAGATTTATTGAAAGGGGCTACTAAACCAGAATTCAGCTGATCTTCTGTTACTAAAAAGATATCAAATTATGATTGACATCACTGAGAATGTTTATGTTATGTTTGGGTCATTCCATGTCAATTAAGCAGGTAAAATATTGGAATGACACCATACCTCTTAGATTTTGCTCAAAATCTAACAAAACACTATTCCGTATAAAGAACAAATGCCTCAATTTCAAACTTGCAGTCTGAGTTCTAGCTAAAACTTTACAGCATTAGGTTTAACAAAGAAACTAGATTTATGTACTTTGTCTCTTAACCTTTTTTGATTATTTACCACAAGTAGATTTTATGTTTTGCTATCTGTTTTATGGTAATTCAGCAATTATCACACAACATCAAACAACAATCTAGCCTTGTTTTTAACCAAAAGTTAATTTATTATTTGAATGTGAAATTGAGTATGATTTCTTATTCAGGAAAAGCAGTTCTGAGATCTGACTGGGAATCAGTGATCAAGCTCATATTGAGCCCTAGACCTGAAGAGGACAAGCTGGTGTTCAATGCTAAAATGCATTGGCTAGAAACAGGTGACAGCAAAAGTGCTTTAGAAATGATGAAGAAAAGGAGATGCATTGAAGGGAAAGTTCTTGACATCCTGGCCAAGCAAGGAGAAAAATCGTTTTATAATTCATTTCAAGGAATTCCAAGGAATACACGATTGATGTACATACACAGCTATCAAAGTTATATTTGGAATAAAATTGTGTCAAAAAGGATTAAGGTATTTGGCAGGTTTATAAGTTTGAGCAAAACTTAATGCCAAGTCCACAAGAAGGGGATAGGGGGAACTTGCTTTGGGGCCTGATGGATGCATCAAAATGCCTGTATAATTGTTTAATCAATTGCCTTTTTTTGTTTTGAGTTGGAGGGAAATTTTGATATACATTAAGATATGAAGATACTTATCTCAGCCTAACAAATTCCAGTAAATGAGTTGGTTACTCTTTGTGGGCCTGCTTGATGCTTTGATGATGATGATTATAATCTTATTGGTCCTTCCAAAGCAAACAGACCTGTTGCAATTATAGAAAAACATTGCTAATGGCTAGTAATGTTTTTTGAAAAAATTCGATTGGTTGCGCTCTCAGAAAATGGTTTCACAGATGATGGTCAATTATATTATGCAAATATTATTAGTAATTATGTACACCTTATTCTAATTAAAACTGGTTAGATTAGAATGACACTGCTATTCTTTATCATACTTTTTTCAATAGGTCTGGGTGATTAAAATTGAATCACTTTTAAGAAAACAAAAGTTTTATTTGAACATTAATTATACAAATCTCATCCTAATTAAAACTGATTAGAATAAGAATAATCAGAAAGCTGTTGGTTTATTTGAAATCTTTAATAGAAGTATCACATAAAAATCACTTTTAATATTTTCCTATAAAGATGAATATCTTCTTTCAGATTTTTGGGATGCAGCCAATAGCTGGAGACCTTGTTCTGTCAAAACATGCAGAAGATGGAAACGTAGGTAAGAACTTTTGCAGTTAGTGTTTAGGTAAGACTTATTGTGAAAATTTACACATAATGAAGTATTAAGATCTCCAACACATTAACCCTTAATTTTCATTTTCAAAGTTTTGATTGTTATTTTACACAATGTTCTTGTATTTTGTAGGATTACAAACAGAAAGTATGACTAGATGTCAAGTGAAGATGCTGACAGAGGCAGATTTGGCAAGCATGGCATACAAAATTACAGATATAGTGATACCACTACCCGGGTATGATGTTACGTATCCAGGCTTCGGTGCCAAAGAATGGTATTCTGAGTTGCTTGCATTGGATGGCCTGAGTTTGGAAGATATGCGGCACCAAATCAAGGAATACTCTTTGTCAGGGGCCTACAGGTGAGATGCTCTTATGTAAACATATGAAAAAATTTATAGAGAAATGTAACAACCCAAAATGTGACAGAAAAATGTAATAACCCATGGATTGTTTGCAGAAGCATCTGCAGGCTCCTTACCAAAACAAACCCATGGATGCAGTGCTTATACAATGTTCCCAAATGTTTGTGCATTGTGCAGCATAGATTTTGTTGATTTGCTGCTTGGTCCAATCAATTTAGTAAAATCAATTTGTTATTGTGGAATCTTGTAGCTGATTGCATAAATTCCTGGATGTATTTTCATGCTAATTGATTTCAGTTGAACAGCAGAACAATCATAGGCCTAAGTTTGCAGACTTGTATCTTTCCTCACCTCAAAGTTTTAGTTATAGCTTCAGTTCCAACCCTGAACTTTCTTTATTAATTGCTTGTTCTGACTGTATTTTCAAGATTCATGATCGCCCGACCAAGCAACATCAGTTGGTCAATTGCTGCATATGATGACTACAGAGTGCCTCTCTGGCAAACTGACTTGGATGTTATTCATGGACAAGAGATTCCAAGTGGGAATGAGTCTGGGAATCTCAAAGCATTGAAGTTGGAGTTTAGTTTACCAACATCCTCTTATGCGACAATGGTCATACGAGAAATCACAAAAATGGACACATCCACACACAGTAACATAGAACTTAATGTGTAAAAGGGGAATTTTACATTTTGATATCTCTTCATGCTAATCCAAGATTTGTGTCCTTTACAATGTTGCCTCCTTCGGATCTAAACAAATGCTCGTTCAGTATACGTTTGAATAGAAGGGGTTTAATTTGTGAATAACAACTTTCAGTAAATCGCTTAAAGTCGTTCAAAAATACCAATGTGTGTTATTAATATCCTTGTGAATGGCTTCACAAAGGTGCATTACAGCTAACTGAGTCCTATTCTTTTAAATTGCCATTGCAAAAGAAGCATCTTTATGGAATACATGAATTTCTTTCCTATACTTTTTTTTACACAAAACGAGAACTAAATGTTTTTAAGCAGGATGTTTTAAGGCAGTTGAATTTGAAGGAGAATGCTTGAGAAGATGGTGAATTGAAATTATGATATTAGAGACGATGAATGAGAGCTATGATAATTGGTGAATGTCTGTCTACTTAAACGGTGTATTTGTTGGTGTTTTATGGCGTTAAGTGCAAGTCATACTACAGGCAGAGTTCATGAGGGTTTTCGTCATTCTCTGGACAATACCCTTAGATTAACAATGAAAACCGTTTCTGGTTCCGCTTCCTTACCTAAAAGACCAGTTACGGGTATCTATGTAATTTCGGTTCCTTAGATTAACAATGAAAACCGTTTCTGGTTCCGGTTCCTTACCTAAAAGACCAGTTACGGGTATCTATGTAATTTCGGTTCCTTAGATTAACAATGAAAACCGTTTCTGGTTCCGCTTCCTTACCTAAAAGACCAGTTACGGGTATCTATGTAATTTCGGTTCCTTAGATTAACAATGAAAACCGTTTCTGGTTCCGCTTCCTTACCTAAAAGACCAGTTACGGGTTCCGGTTTCTTGTTACCGGTATCTATACAATACCAGTTCCTTAGATTAGCTATGAAAATAAGGTGGGGTCTGGGTGGAGTTTCTTAGTTTTGTTTTTATTAGCTTCCTTGCTGTCTTTGATCCTGGAATATGATGACAGGTTAAGCAACCTTTTGGCACATGGGCGCAAAGATATTCTCTGAGTTCCGAAACAAGCAAACGTTTCCAAATGCTTCAGAAGGGTCCATGACACTAAATAAAAATCAATTTTGAATCATATGCATTGATGTTTTCCTCACTCGCTATACGATTCAAGTTAGCAACTTGCTTTACAATAATTCATTAATATACACTACTGAAATTTCAATGTTGCGTAGGTCTGTTATTTCAGAAGAGACCTAAACGAAGAAAAATGTTTTTCAAAACTCGGACAAGGCCTGAGTTAGAAATACAGCAAAGCTGAACAGTTTTCCCGTAGACATTACATCTGAAAAAGCATTTTTAGTGAGAGCCATTTTCAGTGGTTTCTCTGTCTTTACAAATTATTCCATTACGCTGAATTTCACACCAAAGAAAACGTCAGTTAACTTCAACCAAAACGCTTTTTGTATCTGCATAAAGGTGCTGTCTCTATGAAAACGAAAGATAGCGTGCTGGGCGTCTTCGTACGTAGCAATAATGAACATTGGACCCAATGCCAATGCGGGTAAGATCCACTTCAGTAATAATCAGCCCGTTGCATCAAGACCTGATCGTTTCATGGATGCATTTGACATTCAATGTTAAATTTTACATGGAGCAAACCACACATCTCAACGTTTTTGTGCCACTGTTCGTAGCACATTTATTAGCAAAGCAGTTAGGCCATTTGGCGTTGACGTACACGAGTGTCCCAATATGCAGATCTGTAGAAAGACTACTGCCTCCACCCTCCGCACTTTCATCTACGCAGATAAAATCAGTCCTCTTTTCAGAATCTGCCATTAAAAAGCCTCGATACTCGAACGTCCAGTCTTTGGGACAAGTACTGTTGCCTGGGATCATTAAGGAGGTTGTCTTTCGAAAGCGTTGACACACTGAGCACAGCGCAAGCCTATCTAGGGTATGCACTAACTTTGTTTTAAAGAGATGCTTATTGCCATACTTTACACCGTCAATAGATGACGTCACCAAGCTTGAAAGCGGATCCAGATTGAAATTCGAGTACGTTATGTTTGTGGATGGCAAACAAACATAGTTTGTACCACCACCAGTGCGACGAGGCCTGGTTTTTGAAGACGCCATATAACCTAAAAGTAGAATAATAAAAGTAGAATAATCTTGATGAACATAGGATTCGTTTCACAGTTCTTGAGAACGACAGCATGAGGGAGGCAAAATGCGACACAAGAACACAATTGCATCACCCAATTTTAATCCTTTGAATTTTCGATCATTGGAACCAAATTTCTTCCCCATGAAATTCAAGTTGTCGAGCAATTACTCTAATAGAGCGAATAGATATTGGTTTAAAGAACTTTTCTTAAGCCCCCCTGGTTTTTCCTTACAAAAAATCGAATTGTCAAAATCTTCAAAATAGATCAAATGGATTAGATAGGTTACCTTTTGCTACGAGTGAATTTTGATAACGAAAAAAACAAATTATTCTACCTCCAAACACTGTGACGGCACTCTTTGGGCACGCTTTTCGACCCCATCTGAAATAGGTTGTTGATATTTTGATTTCATCCAGTGTTTTCAATTTGCATGTTCCATTTACACCTTGTATGCAAAATGATTTTGATTACAAATTCTACATTAGGACATGAATGGTGGTATGATAGGGGCTGGTACTAGGTCATGACAGCTTCATAATAAGAAAAATTTAAAGCGCATAATAACTTAAAATTCATTTTAAACAATTGGAAAAATTATATTGCTGTAAACTTCAGTTTACTGTACGGTTGTATAATGCACGATGCTGTATAGGTAGACTGGTTTGTGTAAAACAGCTTGGCTTTTACAACCTAGAACTGTACGGTACAAGGTAGAATTTTCCTGTAAAACGTAGAACCGTCCTATGCAATGCTGTACAGTCTTGTTCAATGTACTACCATCCTGTGCAACGCAAAACCGCTCTGTACAACACAAAACCGTCCTTGCAGCAAAGCATTTTTTATGAAAATATCGTATCCGATCAATTCGGTTCTCGTTTAGAATCTCGATCACAGTGGGAAAAACGAAAAAGAAGCTTGATTGCCAACAAAAGCTGGAAGACTGATTTGCCTATATCGACAAATCAATGGCAAGGGCTGAGTTTTGGATTCAATTGTGGAATAAAACAAGCGAAATATCAGAAGATTATTGCACAAAAGACGCTGCCGTATAGGGTAGATTCTCGTGAACACAATGCTGTTCTCTTACTTCTAAGTTTTGCTGTAGCTAAAGATAGTTCCAGTGAGGGAAACAACAAGCATTTCGCTACTTCTGCTTATTTAACACTTTGTCATTTAAAGCAATAGATATTAAGAAAGTCTAGGAGCAAATGTTGTTATGCTGCTTTTCTTCCTTTTTAAGTCTAGAGAAATTGCAGTTGTCTCGAGCTTACCTAATAATGTTTTAACATTTTCATAAAGAATGTTGTTATGCTCCTTTCTAACACCAACCAAATAAAAATACTAGATTCAAATACGAGAAACTCTAAGCTGAGAGGCTAATATGTTAAGAGTATAATATGTTCATGAAGCTTGAGGTAAAGAGGTTACAGTTGAATAATTCCTAATGCCAAGTATTCAAAGTGCTCAAAAATACTTTCTCCAACTAGGATGTACTAACATTCAATACGAAATTTTCGAAGTGCTCAGTTTGAAACCTTCACCAATTTCTCTCGTTACCAAGTATGACGCAAATTAAACACTCAGTAAATACATTAAATGAGGTACAGGTAAAACAAGAAGAATTATTTTTGGAAGGTCAATTTCGGAAGGAGTTTCATACCTGGCTTTCCAGATGGTCCACGAGGCCCTTTTGTGCCAGTGTCTCCCTGTGGTCCTCGATCACCTGGTGGTCCACGTGGACCCCTCTTCTTCAATAAATGAGAATCAAGAATAAAACAGTGGCACAATTAAAATTCTTCAGAGATTAATAACTGGTGTATTTACATGATGAATCCTTGTATGAAACTCCATTAAATTTGAATGATGGAGGATTACGTCTGATTTGGGTGATTTGGGCAAGATATAAATAAAGTAAAAAGAGAGCAAAGGTTTAATTTAGAGTTAAAAAGCAGATTGTCTACACAATGAAAATATACTTAAGGGTAAGCCACGATAGCTAGTAATTTTTCAGAGCTACGATGGAGTTTGGCACCTACTAATGACTCCTTGCATAGCATTAAAACTACAGATTTCTGCGTAAGCAAATGTTTTTTCAGCCAACTTTGTATCTATTTCAAGACCTGAAATTTCATATTAAAACCAGGAATTGTTACCAATTCTTAGAATGAGACTACAATCAAGGCGAGCAGTACCTTTGAATCGCCATGGGCCTCCTCGACAGCTGCTTCACACGTGCAAACTAAAAGAGAATGAGTAACATAATTGTATGAAGTTATAATGCATGGAAAAAGAGAAGTTTATACTAGATTCAAGGGACTATACAAAAAAGGAATAATAGGAAAAAATCACAAGCCAGTCGAAAAAATGTGAGTTTAGTAGTGATTTGAAACTTTATAGGGTGTGTTGTAGAATACGTCTAGAAGCCACACCCAAGCCCATAACCATAGTCCAGCCCTACATACTTGCATCTGTGCAAACGATTGACTGTTGTGCATATGAAATCATTAAAACGATTCACTGAGTCTAAAAGGCTAACAGAAATTGCTCATTTTTTGAAAATCATTAGCATCATAAAGGGTTAATCCACATTGGCAAGTGAAAAACTTGCCAAAACAAACATATACCGGCTTGCTAAGAAGGAGCGTAGCCCCCCTCTACGGTATGATTGATATCCATGAACGTAGAACAAATTCACATCTTAGGGAGGGACATGACTTTTGGAAGGGAACTTATCGTGACCTTCAGTCACCAAGTTGTTCCGGCAAATAGGACACTATTATGACAGTAAAAATTCAACCTTAGAGGAAGATTTTCTTATCCTAAATGGGCACTTGCAAAAATGTAGAGGCACATTTCTTCTCTTGTCCCTGATACCTATGTCTATGTCAGGGACGCCGGAGCACGGAGATGGTTGCCCAAATAGTCCCAAGTGGTTGTTTGGTTGCAAAAATGCTTGATTTATTCGTTACGATAACCCAGAAAGCCTTCTTGGAAGTATGCTATCGGAAGCTTATCGTAGGTTTCGCCTCCAGGTCTGGAATAGTCTTAAGATTTAGAGGATTTCTACGCCTTCCAGCAAAAATCTTTCGATAAAGTCGGAGGAAAAGCATAAGAAGGCATAGAGGCTGCAAAGATTTGACAGTAATGCGGATAGATTACTTTGGCAATGAACTTACCAGGAGCTGCTAATAGTTGCTTGCATAAACAGACTGTACTATTTGTTCCAGCTTTTATTAGTCTTTGTATTCTACGAAGGAAAATGCTTTTGATTCAAGTAATCAGTGAAGTGCAGATAAATATAATTTTAGAAAAAACATGACATTGAAATGTAAAAATTACCTTGAAGTAGGCCGGAAGGGGGGGGGATTAAAGCTCAGCAAAAAGGCTTCGAATCATAGGCACACCTAACCCGTGTCAATAATTCAAAATAAAAAAACAAAATAACAACTTTTTCCGAAAATTTGACTAACAACTGAACTGTTAAAATGTTCGCTTAATTCATTGAAAGTCTTGCATAACAAGCATTCATATGCCTAAAGTTATGTCAGTCTGAGAAAAGTAGACCAGTAATCCGGTAGTCCTCATGATATCGTTACCCCATTCCATCACCTTTTCCTTCTGAACAGTAGCAAAAACGGCAACCCTACATTCAACCCCCATAAATTCTGTCATTGAGGCTGGATGATTTTTATATCAGAGTATCCGTCCAGTTCTTTAGACTCTCTACTCAAAATCAATTTAGCCATTCCATGAATTTGTGACTAAGCATCACGTGACTGCGTGATCGAGTGTGCAGCGAGATCAAAACGAAGGATGAATGAAGCAGTGAATAGCACTGAAGCCGTGGTGAATTATCGTTGACTCACCATAGGAAGATTTTGCCTTGGGGATTTCAACCTTTAGATTTCCAACAATAAAAAACATCTGCGACAGAGTCCGTTTTTTAAATGATTCTCAGCTTGAAATCAATAAATATATCAAAGTTTATTCAAAACATGTCTTAAAACTGAGGGAATTATTTACGAACCTAGCAGCTGGAAATTATGTTTACAAAGTGATCGTGGAGAAATTGGCTTGTTGGGCCACTTTTAAGAACGATTCTTAGATCCTTTGATCTTAAGACGATTCCGGGTTAATCGCAGGCTTGCCTTTATCAAATCAAATTATATTTTCAAAAAAAATTCTGCGTCAAATACCATCACAATATGAATGTTGTGTCTCCGCTTTTGAGTATAAATAGCTTGTGTCTTGAAGCGTTGGAAGAACGGGTCGACAAAAGGATGAGAACGCTTTTGAATTCTCTTTTATCGAGATGCAAACGGTGGGGGAGTTGTCAGATAACACAATTGTGGAAAAAAGTTCAATGCAAGAGTGCAAAACTGAGTCTAAAATGTTTGTGAATGAAATTGTTTCAGAGATATGCAACTGAGAATGATTAAAAATCTCAAAATTCCATCTTTCTGTTTATTGTGGCATAAATTTAATTCGAATATTCGTTTAAGCCTGAAAAATCAAACTCAAATTCCTGAAAAACCATACTCTGTGTTTGTCTAAAGAAACCTAAAATATCACGACAAATCTTTCAATGCACTTCACATCTACAGGCTAAAGGCTTTTCCTGCAAACATTATTGCAGTGATACCGCGTCTTCGAGGCACTTCGTTTTCGTACAAACATTATTGTAATGAAACAGGATCCTTGAGGTACCACTTACGTTCATTTCTAGCAGACGACCTTCTTGATTAATGCAAAAATCTGTGGCTTTCACTTGCTTGAGCATCATGTCGTTCATCAAACTAAGCCTATGACACGCAGGTGATAAGCACAAATGGCGTTATTTCAGTAACCACAAAGATGCCATTCGTAGATAAGTCTAACATGTGTCTACGGCAACAAAGCTTTTAGAAGTTGAAACTAAGAACCTGACTTTTGAAGCCAAGCAACTGAAGGAAATTTTTCTAATCCCCATCAATAATCGCTCGTTTTTATCATTGAAGGATTAAATGTTTCACGAGGATTTGCTGTATCGTTGATTGCGAATCTAATTTTTCACGAGTTCGTTCAATTTGAGGTTCTACGCTAAATTTGTTTGTATGAGGTGGTTTTGACATAAGATACCGGATTTAGCAAATCACCACATGCGAATTTAGGATGCTGTTGCACAAAACATTTACAAAAACATTTTTGAACTGGAAAGATTAAATTGAAGTTACTGTGATTAGTAAACGATAACACTGTTTCTGTTAGCGGTTATCTGAATTTATGTAAAATTACTTTTATCATCAGCGAAGTCTTCTTTTGATAAATTAACGAAACCAGTTGAGCTACACCGATAGGAATCATTATACGGCATATACAAAGCAAAATAAAAAGCCTACTAAATTTTAGACATCGATATTCCATTGTGATTATTGTTACATAGTTCATCAATGCAGTCGATCAATTCGTCCATCTAGGCAGATAAATTATATTATCTTCCTGCTTTGGCGATACATGTACAACGTCCTTTTTACTGGCCAATCTAACATTATTTGAAAAAACCCATCCTTTCGATGTTGTGATACAATGTTAAAACTGTACAAGTTATTGCAAATCGAGTGCAACTTTTAAACTCTAAATTAAATTGAGTGAAGTCTAAAGAGTTTTGACCCAACGATTAGTTAAAAAGTATATAACTTAAAAATCTTCTGTTTCCAATGAATTACCCCTTTGTACTTTTTGTTCTCCAACAATAGTATACCTCAAATTCTATCCTTCCTATGCTACTGCAAGAAAACTGTTTCGCTTCTTTAGGCACAAAGTGATCACATTGGGGAACGTTCTCGTTAAATCGAAGCTTGACTTTCTGACGTAGTTTTTTTTCTAGATGCAACCAGATTAAGTGATTAATGGATCGCCTATTTGAAATAAACAACATTTAAATTGCGTGGGCCCAAGAATCTGACTGCGGCCTTTCGTAGACATAAAGTGTTGTCGAAAGAATTAACCTTTTCTCTCAGTTAGACAGAAACCACAGACCCTTATACATTTTTCGCTGTCTATAACAGGCGTTTCCTTGGAAAACAGCCAATTGTCCTCGGACAAGGATATTTATTCTGACACACAAACAATAGGCATGAAAAGTAAAATCTGCTAGCAAGGCAATATCTTTCTGTATTTGTAACACATCTAAAACAATGTTTTCAACGTTCATCAATCTTCTGACAAATTTCCTTATCATCCAGATCAACAATCAATGCTACCAGCAAGAATTTCTGAAGAACGGGTTGGGTGTGCCACACCCTTCTATCTTTCTTAATTTATCTATTATCCTGCGTGCCAATCTAAAGCTGGTCGGCAAAATCGTTGGTTGGTGGGACTGTCGCAAAAAAGCTTCTGTAAAAATGCAGGTCGATTCGATAGTTAGGTTTCTATCACGTAACGGTCTATTGGATAAGGATAGCAAACACTGTTGGATAAGGATAGCAAACACTGTTATATGGGAAAGGAATTTTGGAAACCAAAACTGATAGACAGGCATGAAGGTTACATGTCTTCGACGTACAAACAATGGCCAAGCCGAAACAACAGTACGAAAGCAGCTCATGACAGTTGGCTTCTCTATGTTAGCTACAAAATTGTCGTATATAGATAATAGCTGACCCTCGAGGGACCTTCTCTCGCCTGTATACGGCTCCGTTTCATTTTCTCTCAATGTCATTTTGACAAGGACACAATAGGTACATAACGGAATCGAACACAGATGACTTAACACGTCACTTTAAGAATCTTATTCATACTTAAACCTAAATATAATCGAGAACAATGAATTGGGACTAAAAGGCAAATGATAAAGAAAACGAGTTAAGATCAATCTTGAATCGATTTCGAAAACGAATTGGTCCTTTACAGGTGAAGAACACAACTCTAATGCTGGTTTTTAAGCAAAAATGTTTGCATGTTTCTTCAACTTGTTTTGCCATACATACATGTCGAGGAAATAGGAAATCCTCAAGTGGTTCGCCGAGATTCCTAAGTCAATTCTTCGATACAAATGCATAATGCAGGTGATGAGATGTGAAGCGTAAGAAGGAAATAAGCGACCTTTTCTCGTGCCTTAACCCAAATCAGAGCTAATGCCATTTTAAAATTAATCCTTCATCATTTCGCAAAGGTCGAAAACACGAGAAATTTGCTTGGTTTGAATAGAAAATACCAGAACAATTGCGTCTATATTTGTGAGACCATGTAGGAATTCGACTTAAGATAAGACTGCTGGTTTGTTGTTCATCTCGGTATCCAAACGGTTTGCAAAGCGAATAAGATTTCTTTAACGAAATTCGCTTTCTTAAACACACAACAAAATCGGCTTACGGTTCAAGAGATCAACTTTGGCTCCGTGTTTTCTTAACTTCACTGCCTGACTACTGACGCAGGCTTTGGGATGAAAACAATTCAAAAGCGTTCTAAACAACTGGTTTTGGATTTGCCGCTGCACAAAGCGACATGTATAAAATCCGAAGTTGAAAATAACGGGTTCGAGTATAGGCAAGTGCCAACTTAATCGACCGTCAAACTATAGGTGGTGGTTGAGATAGCAATCAATACTTAAATGGCAAATAACTGGTTTATGTAACCCGTACTTAGAAGCTAGCAAAGAAACAGCAAAATCGCCCATCTGCTGGTTTGCTGCCTGCCACAATCTAGTTTAGATCTTGCAATTTGGAATTTTAATTGGTCATACATCGCTTAATATTAAAGAATGAATTAGTATTTATTTACTGTTTTGAATTAGTAATCAGAGAATGAATTCCGCTATCTTTGACCTCAGTATGTTGTCTGAAGCCTGCAAGGTTTATTAAATAAAGAAGGTATTCACGGGTTCGACTCAAAGCTAAAAAACGTTTAAAAATCTTTTATGACATCTGTAAGAATGGACAGTTTGTTTAACGCTTCACAAATTAGCTAGAATGTTGACTAGACAACAAACCTTTTTTGATGAGCTTTCAACTTAAGCTCTGTAAAGTGAAATTTTCTTTTGAATTCTTGGATAGTGGCAGAACAGTTTCTATGGACATTAAAAGCTTCTCTCATTGCTTTCGCTGCGTTTCGCTTGGGTCTATTCTTTTCCTGTGTCGACTCTTGGTCAATGTGCAACTTCCATCGTTCTTGTAAACTGTCCAACCGCTGTATGCTTTCTGAATAGTCTCGAAATAAAATCATAACTAATACCGGCAAAACAACAACGTAAGCAAGCAAAATAAGCGTCCAGACGACTTTTAAAACGCGTTTCAATTTGGGTGCACAATAAATAAGTCCTATTGGTTGCGACCGCACTTGTGCATCAGTTTTATCCGAGATACGAGCTTCCTGCTTCACAGATGAATATTCCACTCTCAGATCACGGTTCGGTTTGGGATTTTTTATCGAGTTATTGCTTAAAGATTGATTTCGCGGTAAAATATCTCTGTCTAGAGCCATTGTGTCAGCGAATCCACGGCCTAGCCGTATCTGCTGCTCCTAATGTGGGCTATGTCGTCAATGGTGCTAGCCTTCGAATGGAATTCAAGGATAATCTTGCGCGATACAAGCTTTGTTTCTGTGTTAATTGAACAGCACGGATGTTCAAATACGTCTTGCCAGAAGCAGAACAAAGACCAACAAAGATTAGAAGATTGACTTAGCCTCTTTCAAAAGACTCGGAAGCATGACATCTGGTTTCAACCGACTCCTTGATGAGCTGCATTAAGGGTGTCCTTAAAATACTCTCTCTTGCATTATCAGCTTAAACCTGTTTCTGTAGATATCTGCAAACGCGCACTACAAAAATGCATACGTTTTTACGTGGATGAGTGCAGCACGACACCATCTGTACTGAACTGCAATCCCAGCTGAATAATAACACTGGCTTGTTGTCTTTTGTTGTCTTTTGGGTACTATGTTCTGATCAGTGATAGACTTTATTAATTCGCAAACAATTGGATCACAAAGGAGTCTTTGTCCTCTGCAACCTCAATTTGATAGCGGGTTTTTTCGATATTCACTAAAATTCTTCAGTTATGGGATCACCTAAAAATAAAAATTAACCGGAAACATATAATAATTCGAGATTTAGTTTTAACTTGACGTAACAAAATACAAAACAAACAATTTGAAGATTACTATTAGAACGCAATGGTAAAATTACAGTACAGATTATTGAATGTAACACTCCTCAAATTAAAAAAAAGAATTACACTATAAGAGAAGAGAATACTTATTTGTGCGCATTCCAATCATTACATTACATCTTCTTGGAAAATTTCTCAAACAATCTTGGTATCTTTAGCCACAAAGCAAGAAGAACAAAACGTTATCATAAAGATAAAATTAAATGGATTATCGGGGTATCTGTTTCACCTATATAAAAATAACTCGTGCATAGTTCTTCCTTATCTACACAATGCGATGAAAAAATTTATAGTAAACAATAGTAAAGGTGAGAATTTTTTATAAGTTATAGTATAAAATTAAGTCATGGAAACTGTTAGGGGGCTCGAAAAGCTCCTACTCTGATTTTGGAAATCGCACCTTAATGATAATTAGTACAGCGACAAATGGAGACATCTTGCTAAAAGTATTTTAAAATTTCTTCTATTCTTCTATTTCAATTGACGACTAAATGAGATTTCAATTGACGACTAAACAATAAAATTTTTGACTCCAGCTAAAGTCGTCTTCAGTAAATAAAACAAAACGCACTCTAATGATTCTACTCTCTAATGATTGTATACTTGATATATGACAAGTATGGGCTTAAATGAAAGTAAATTTTTCAAATTTCAAAATCAGTTGTTGCTTATTTAGAGAAAGTTTATTATAAGAAGTGACTGTAAACAAACTGATTATGTCTCTACTAGCTATTGTATTAGAAAACACGACATAAGGTACAATAAAGGAGGGTAGTCGCCAATTGGTAGGAAGTTCTGCATGAAAGACAGAATTTCTGGTAAGTGCAATGTAATACTTGTTTCAAATAGCTTTTCTGCAGGCTCTCAGAATCTTGTATGAAAAGTTATTTTACTTATCAAAATTTGCAAACAGCTATTGTTATATTATTGAAATTTTTGTTCATATTCTAAAAATAAAGGTACATGGTAAACAGTTTTATCGAGAAAATGTTGACGCAGTGGGGAAAGGCCTTCGGAGGAAAGGCGCGTGGCATTATGTACCCAATATTTAGATGTTTGCTAGAGTTTGAAGAAATTTTAAATTCAATATAAATCCTGAACCCAAATGATTCCGTTACTTGCTTCTTCAAACAAGGCTCAGTGCCAAAATGGTGTGAGAGCTTGGCTGCGGTAATGAAGGCTGCTAGTTGACCTCTAGGTTCTACCCATGACAAATAAATAAATGAATAAATAAATAAATAGATAAATAAATAATTAAAAAAACAGCTATTAAATGAAAAAATAAAGAAATAAACAAACAACAAATAATAAGAAAATGTTAGGTAAGTTACCCTGCTCTGAAATGGAAATGGGTGGAAGGACTAGGGATCTACTTTGAATATTCTCTAAATTTGATAAGAAAATGTTAGGGGAGGGCTTGTTTTTTGGCAACCTTATCTTCGTAATGTGAATCGATGATTTTAAAACTGCCGTTACATGACGAAAGTTGGTCATGGGCATTTCCTGGTGTGTAAAATGGGCGTTTCCTTTTGCTAAAAGGGCGTCTTCTTACAGTGAGAGGGGCGTGGCCTAGACGTTTTTGTTCTGTCCCCAACAGACTAGTGGCTGGCGCTGCCACCGACTCACCCCATACCCCCCAGCAGCAAAGGGAAGCGTGCAAAAGATACTGGCAACGTTACCTCATCATGCTAGGTCCTCTCTAGCAGGCCTGTGCCCTATGTATGGGCATACGGGGGTCACCTTCCAATTTTAAAGTGTTTCCCACTTGCAGTTGGTGGTCAATTACACAAAAATTGCTTTATCTGGATTTGCAAGTTAAATTTAGCAGGCTTAACAAGATATACGCCCACATTATAAAATCAATTTGAATTGCTTTATCACTGTTTGTGTTCGGATTTGCATCATTAAATACTCTAACCCAACTAAAAGCGGAAAATCGTTCCAGAACCTCTTTTTCGTGTGCATCATCCGTGTGGTCCAAATAGTTCAACAGGAAATAACTCCCAAACCAACCTAGACTTGGTTTTCTTAATTCTCATTAATTGCCTGATTGTAAATGAGTATCAACACAGTTCATTCTACTATTTTTGTTAAATCTTTTTATTACCCAAGGCGCCCTTGACAAAGCCTCTACTTTTGGTAACTAATAGAAGAAACGATGACTGTGTGATACAATCCAAAATAAATTTCAGATATTAAGTAGCAAGAGAAAAAACTGACTGCAAGATGTTTTGTTTGCAATTCAGTTATTTTCTAGTAAGGTTATTTTTTATTTTAACGTTTTGAACTGAGAATTACTTCAAGAGCAAATCTTGCTTGAAGCGCAGAACTGTTATCAAGGCGAAATTTGAGGGACACTTATGGGTGGACATGACGTCAATTTACCGCCTCCACGGGCTATTTCAGCTCAGTCAGGCCTTAAAACTGCAAAAAGGGTTGAATGAAACAGAGGTTCAGTTCATCTGTTTCGACAAACTTGCGAAGCTCGTTATTTTCTTCAGGCAAAACGTGATAAGGTTAACAGGCTTGGAGCGATCAAGTCCTCTGCGTAGGTTTGGGAAACTTGACTTGGTATGGTCGTGTTGCAGGGAAGGAGGTCTAATTAAGATGAAGTCTATCTCAATAGTGATAAAAGAGGACAGATACAAATGACAGATTCAACAATTACGAAACAGCCATGTTTTCTTTCAAATATTCAGCCGAACTTCACAATCACGCGTAACCTTTGGTGAGATGTGTGTGTGAGGCGGACGTGAGTGCGAGGCGCATTGCTGATGATACGAATCTTCAAATGACAGACAAATGATTGAAGATGGCGTCTGTCAAAATATGAAGATTGAATTAGCAAACATTCTCAAATGTCTTCCTTTAAAGAAAGAGTTGATAAGATGGTTTGCAGGGAAATGAAATAGTTGAGAAGATGAGATACGAAACAGGATAAAAGTAACAAGTTAAATTGAATAATAGAAGCACCTGTTTTGCGTCGAAAGAAGTTGAAAAGACTTTGTTCGAGATTTAGTTGCCAAAACAAAAGAATTACACTGGCAGGCTTGACTTCTAGATAAGATTGGACTGTTTAAATCGCAGGAAATAAAAGTTCTCTGACAAAAAAACCTGACCAATGATCATGAAAAAAGATATCTTAGATCTAGGTAGGCAAAAATTTTCAACAAAAAAATGATTGTTAAATGCTTGAGATAAACAACGAAACAGTTGATTCTATGATATTTGAACATTTGTCAATCTGGATTAATCAAAGCAATTTATTCATTAATATAAAAAACATAGGCTATTCAGGTTTTGCATAATGGTTTAAATCAAAGTAACAAACTTAGCAACGAGGTGTTATTACATGCTTTTCTGGGCGACTTATGATTTGATGTGCTACAATAATGAGTTTTGTTCCCGTTTCGTTTGAACAAGAACCAAGTTGACATTAATAAGGTCATTTTCTCTTGCTGCTAAGAACCAAGATCCCTAGGTTTAATCCTCTTCTTCGGCATCAGTGCCTTTCCATGAATGCACTACAGGCAAGGTCGAAAAACAACGATTTCATTTTGTCACATGATGTCAAATACTAAGCAGATTACAGGATATTATTGCGTAATCCAAATTAAATTTTATTGAATTATTTTCTTTCTAACAAAATGAATCCATAGGAGAACCAAGTTTAAAGAATTTTTTCCATGGACCGATTACATGAAAGAAAACAGGGAGAAAGGACAGAAGCAGCTAGAAATCGTGCTTTCGTTGTAGGTGTGTGAAAAAGAAAGGAATAAAAATGAAGGCAAAACACACAATTCCTTCAGAGCAGCATGAAAACAATGGGACAGTATTTCTTAAAGGCGAAACGTTAGCATACGTAAACGTTTCAAAACAAATCAAATAAATAATGGACTAGGATTCATAATATGGCAGCTCGAACTGAACTGAAATAATTCATCACAAGAACATCACATCTTATAGTCTTCATTTTTCTTCATCGTTTCTACAGTATTTTAAAAATATATTTAAGCCCCAGACAATGAACATTTACAAATTGCTTCTTAAACAATCTGTTAAGATAATATGATAATGTAGCTTTGCTCACACTCAAAATCTAGCTAAGTTTCTAAATTACAGATAATAAAACATTGATGATTTCAAAATTATATATTCCATTCTTTGGAATTACTTATATAAGAGGAACGAAATATCAGCGTAATTCCATGACCGACTATGTTTATAAAAGGTGCAGAAATTAATGTTCGTGAACCACGGTGCTTGGAGGGCTAGGATAAAACCCTAACTTTGTTTTCGAGAAGCTCTGGAACTTATAGTCAAGCGGAAGATCTAAAAATCAAAAGTAAAAAGGCATTAAATTTTAATTTTTTCAATAGGTGATTTTCAACTTGAGTTATTTCCCAACAAGCAGAATTATTCCTAACATATGAAAATGGTTTTTTATAGAATAAGACTAGTAAACTTGAGTTAGAAAAGAAATTATTGGAAAAAGAGGACAAATCTGAATATTGGCCTGCAACATTTACTTGTATCTTGAAAGATCTAACGTAAAAAGGTTTGGAAAAAAAGCAGAAAAAAGTTTCGAAGACAACAAAAAAATTAACAAAAACATTAGCAACAACAAACTAAAACAGTTAATGGAGCAGTGATATGGAATACAACAAGAACCCTTTGAAACACCAGGTTTCAAACACTTGAAAAGTACAGAAAAAAGGCACAATCGTCGCTAGCCAAACACTTAAAGAAGGCAAACAAAGACCAAAAGAACATCAAAGACGTTCCCGTCCACAAACTCTGCCTGGAATGCATGATCAAGGATCAAGATGGGGATTCCAGACAGGGCGCTGTCAATCACAAAGCAAAGAGATCTTCCAACAAACATAACATTGATACTAAAGACTTAAAAGAGGGCAAGCCGTTAATGGAACGGGGCTACAAAAAGGAAAACTTAACTGTAGGTTGGCAAACCAATAGAAAATAGTTTGGAAAAATCAGTTGGAAGGACTCGTTTATAATACCTTCTTAGCTTTAAAGATGTACTACAATTTGAAGATTGACAAGCACATTTCGCGTCTAATTATTGTTTGCAATCAACTGTTGTACACAAAGCGATTCCTACACGTAAAACCTTACAAAAATATTCAAGCATTCTAGTGTGGGACATGTGATATGCCGTAAGATAAATCACAGATTTGCGGGTCAAATTATATCTACAAAATCAGAGCTGACGCCTACTCATGAATTAACAAGGAAATAGCCCACGCAGAGGCCCACGTCTTCGAGTTTACTATCAAAAGATTGCTTGTAAAATTTTGATTTCAATTCTGCTTTCCAGACATGTTGTCAATCAGAGTCTGTAAGCATTATCGTTGTAGGCAAAGGTAAACATAATCATCAATAAAAAACCAAGTAAACAAACCTGTTATGTAGTCTAAGAGAGGTATCGCTAACTTGCAATGGCTTCGGATGACATCTGCCCAGAAGGTATTTACAATAGCCTCGTGACAATTTGAAGCATCGTTTTCATCTTGTTTGTCGTCTCGAAAGAAAGATCCCCATTGTTTAGAAGCTACGATAATCTTTTCTTCCTTTGCTAAATGCTAGAACACAAAGTGATGCTTGCTTAGCAGGATGATGCTGAAAATTAAGTAAACAAGAGGCAAGCGCGAATCTGCCTGCAATTACACGAAAAAGTTTTTGCTGTTTGGACAATTCTGCCAAGTAATATTTGAAACGTGAATTTCTCTTAATAAAGAAGATAATGCCGCAACGCAGGAGCTTAAGCGTGAACAAATGATTTTTTGTTCAAAGAAGCAAACGCAGACACATTGCGGAGTAAACAGCCGTAGAAAGCTTATTAATTGCTAAGCCCTCTAAATATTAGCAACAAAATAAAAGCTACCACCACTGAGTCTTTAAGCCTTCCTGTGATCGATAGAGGCAACTTTGAGCTGCCATCACATAAGTGGTTAGATTTTGAGTATGGCTCTTAGATCTGACAATATGCAATAACGGTATTGCCACAATTTGTTCTAGAGTTCTTGTGCAGTAGCCAGCTGTTTAATTTCAGCGAGTATAAGGCCCGAGTTACACGACGTCGGATTGGGTTCACTTCGGATAGCTTTTCACTTAAGATAGGGGTTTCAGCTACACGACGCTGAGGCAATCCGAAGTACTTCGGTAGGCGTAACCGGAGTGAAAATCACTCTGCTTTGGAGGTGAAGTGAAAATCAATCCGAAGTACTTCGCTTCGCATTCCTTCTCGTGTAAACACTGAATCTGAATTGATTTTCACTCCGAAACCTCGTTCCAGATCACGTTGCCTCTGTGTAAAATGTGCGCGCTTTTTGAAGAAAAAAATACCCAGCATAAACATGGCTGACATCAAATTGTTAATCAAAATTTTTCTTGCGGGTTTCACCACTTTATTTCAGCAGAACAGCATGTTATTTGAGTTCATTGCTCACAACTATCTGGCAGGAAGAAAATTGTTAAAGAAACAAATAGCTGCTTGTATAGCTATAGCATCAGTAAAAGAGAAAAATCAAGGCCCAGCGTCGCTTCTGGCCTAAGCCCGATCGCTGCAGCGGCTGGTGGTCAAACCTAAAGAACCGGCAATCTGAAGCGTAAACCAATCCGACGTCGTGTAACACGAGCCTAAGTTAACTGGACGCATGGCTGACGATCATGAAGAAAGTCGGTAAAAACAGAAGAATATCGGCTTTCCCATCCAGACTAGATTTCGCTGTATGGTGTCTCCAGTATATATGTTGTCTGCCGCTGAAAATTTGGGTAAGAAGGAAATCTCAAAACAAAGGACAGATAAATCTAAAACGCTACGAAAAAGCCATTTCAAAACATCGTTCTAAGTTTTCTTATCATCAATACATTGTAACCTCTAGACAGCAACACCTCCCTATAACTGATACCTCCTTTCAACGGAAACCTTCTTACAATGAACATTCCCAAACAGCAAGCACCTCCCTTTAAAGGACACCTCCCAACAACAACAACTCCCTTCGACGAACACCTCTATACACCACCCTACAACGGACACTTCTCCACAATTGACACCTCGCTACAACGGACACCTTACACCTGATACCTCCCTTCAACGGACACCTTCCTTTAACGGACACCTCCCCACGACGGACACTTCTCCACAATCGACACCTCGCTACAACGGAAACCTTACACCCGATACCTCCCTTCAACGGACACCTCCCTTTAACGGACCCTTCAACGGACTCCACACGACGGACACCTCTTTACACCGGACACCTCTTTTCAACGGACACCTCCCTACAAAGGACACCTCCGCACAATGGACAGCAACTTTTGCCCAAAAGGTTTTCGCTTACTCCAGAATGGTTGCTATTTTTTTTACATAACGCTATTAAACACATACACAGTCAACTGGATCTGAGCCCTTTAAATCAGTCATAAAAAGAAATTTCTCTAAGTCGACCCAATCTTGTTTTCCTTGTAGGTTGCTACAGGTGTGTTGCTACTAAAAATATTCTCACTTTGAGACAATTAATACATTATTCTGATGGGCAAAAGAGTGCTCGCTTGATCTTGATTTGAACAAAATGAAAACCAACATAGTTACTTGGCTACTCGTAGTACGAAAATAAAGTCTGACTATAATCTTCTTATTAGCGTAGGAAACCGTAAAAAGTGGAGCTTAGTAGCACCAATGGTCACTGTTCTTAGCAAACAACTGCGGGTCTAAACTAATTCTGATTCAAACACTCTGAAAACATACCATGGTGACTTTTTGTCTCTTTGCAGGAATTTCGGCTTGATAACAACTCTAAATTTAGAAAGAAACATTAAAATCATTCGTTGTTAAATGAACAAATTGGATAAATCAGCTTTATTTTATTTCATCAAATGAACTTATAGAGCTTAGCATGTAAAAATACATCAAAGCAACATAAGCTTCTGGGTGAGTTCTACCCAAGTTCTAAGCCTTGATCAAACTTATTGAACTGTTGACTGAGCAGTTCTCAAATTGATCTCAACTTTGTTGAGTAGTGTTACCAGTTGCTCAGTGGCAAGTGGCTAAAAGAATTCATCATTTCACTTATCAACTCTCAACACACACAGAAATATCGTCTCCATCAAGTAATATTGGAAAATTGAGCAACGTTCAAATATCTTTTTGCAAAACTAATGGGATGGCCAAACCGATCCAACCAGCTGGGGAGGGGCGAGGGGGGCGACCTCCTCTCCAATACTTTAGAGGACAATGGTCTTTTGTTCCAAAACAATGGGAAATGTGACATCATCTTATTAAAACAATAGGCTTGCTCACCACCCCCCCCCCCAATATTTGACCAAGTGTCCGCCCCTGGATCCAACACTAAACTGACTGCGCAAGCAAGCTGTATGCTGCTCAATCTAAAGTTGAATTCGTTATCAACTAAAAATTTGTTAACTTATTTCGTTAGGTTATCTCATAGTGTGCAGAATTTGTAAACTTCGGTTTAAGAATGAAGTTAGAGGATAAGTCGATATTTCAAGCAAATAAAGACACTTCATTTGGATAAAGAAAAGGGCACTCACTGAATGCTTCTGAAAATGCACTTCTTCGGCCTCCATCTCCTCAAGAATACCAACAGTATCCCAACCCCGGTACTTGAATGGCGGATACATGTCGGATTTTGGGCTATCGCCAAAAAATACAATCTGTGGAAAATATTAAACTTAAATGGAAGAGGTTGGCAAAACCATTATTGCTATCAAAATGATTTCATCAGATTCCCTGAACTTAAATGAGCAGCGTACACGAAAATTAAACTTTAGTTTAATAGAAAAATAAAAATGGCGTTAAAAATCAATTCATCGATTCTTGAAAAAGTATCAATAAATTATCCCCATTTAAGACACGTTCATCTATAAAGACCCGTATCCTAAAAAACACTTGGATTCGGCAGATTTAACAGTTAAAAGGCAAACATAAAGAGCTTGCTAGTCTTGTCTGAAAAAGGTTAACAAATATGATTGACTTACGTAGCAAAGTAAAGAACTTGTTATCCTGGCCCCTGGGTACCAGAGACACAAAATTTCGAGCTCGTAGACAGAATGCCAAGCAGAGAGGCGGAGGAGCGGCTAGCTGAGAAGGAAAAGTGGATAGACGCTCCTCCGCTTCTCCACTCCTATTATCAGTTTCCGCTCTCGAATTTATGTGGCTCTGGTACCCAGGGTAAGAACTTGTCTAAACTATTACAGGTTCCAACGGTGTGTCTCAAAATGTTATATTGTAACATGCACTTTATCAGACAACTGTTTCAAAAAGTAGTCAAAATAAGAGTAACACATACTTTCAAGTTGTCTTTGTTTAATAATCTCTTAACAGTGTTTTCAAGCGATATTGCTGTCCCTTGGCTGTAGCAGTGATGTCTCTCTAGGCTTTTGCAAATAGTGCCTTCGTTTTCACCATCTAGGTTTATGAGAAGATTATTGAGATATAAGGGTTGTGGTGCTAATGCAGTTTCGCATCTCTTCGACACTGATCCTTACCTTAACACTATCCTTATGTATGGAACCACACGCTGAGAGGTCCGAAACTGCAATAGCCCCGAAAATGCAGCTACCCCCACCCCCCACCCCTCCTTTGAACAATGTTGGTTTACTACAAAACAATTTTTAGGGGATTAGGAAGGTGTTTCTTCTGCGACTTGCATGATACATAATTCTCTAAATTAACAACATTGTTTTGGGGGGAGGGGTGTGACAGTATTCGGGAAAAGAATTGAAAAATATAAAAACAACGCACATTGCTGGGTGTCAAAGTACTTTTGGCAATGATTGAACTTTAATTGATTTTATCAAAAAATCTACTGTATATCAATGATAAATATCTTTCTAGATTTCATTTCTTTGTTATTTCAAATGGATAAATGTCGAGGTGGAAAATAAATGTCTGCAAAGAACTGTTTCTTTTAGATGGTTATCATTTGCAGGGTTTATCAGTGATAAATGGCATAAAAACTGGTCTCGCCCGGGCTCGAACCGGGGACCTTTCGCGTGTAAAGCGAACGTGATAACCACTACACTACGAGACCGTGAAAAACCAAATGGTGGGCAAGAATAGCTTCCTTCATTCTAACTCTGATTCACGTTCATGTGAACGGAGGAGCGAGTTTAGACCCAAAGTGTTCCGAAATTTCGATAATAAGGAAGCTCACTCTTCATTCGATTTAGCGGATGAATTTGAGTTGCAATAGCTTCCAGGGCATTTTTTAAGAATTTTCCACTGGTGGGGCATTTGAGAAAAGGGCATATAGATAAAGGCAGAATTTACAGATAAACGGGCTTTCAAAAATATTCTAGGGGAACCGCCTATAGAAGCAGCAGTTCCAGGGAAAAATGAATTGAGATTTGAAACCTGTTCAATGAAAATTTCATCCACCATTATCTCAAATAAAGTAAAAAGTAAAAAAGTCACCGAATCATAAGGGCACTTAAATGGTGGGGCAAACATGTTCCACTGGTGGGGCAATGAAAGGGGCTAGTGGGGAATTTCCCCACCACTTTATATGTTAAAAAATGCCATGATAGCTTTTTGTAATCTTCCGTTTTCGGATGTACGTTTCAAAAGCTTCAAACCATTCTTGGTAGAGAAACACTGTTTAAGGAAAATTTGAGATTGTTTTCTGGAAAATTAGGAAAGTTTTTCAAACCCCAGCCTGTATGGACCATCTAATTGTGAATATCAGAGCCATATATTAGATTAACAATCGCCATTTTTGGTATTACGACGTTCTGAAATATTCGTTATTACAAAACTTGTAATACACCTTAAAAATGCAAAATGTACGATATGTTCTTGTGAAGAATGAAGATTTGAGAAAGCATGATAACTACATTTTCATGTCCGAGATTTATCGAAAAATAACAATCAAAGACCTTCCAACAAAGCCATTAGAATGAAAAAGTATGTATTAACAGACAAAAAAAAAATTATCTTCACACACTCTCTTATGAGTCTTATTGCACGACAATAAAAAATTAAACTAAAATTAACAAAGTGGGCACTATTAAAAATACAAATGAACAGGGTAACATTGAGCAAGTAAAAAGACCAAGTATGACAAACCTGCAATCTTGAACGGTCTTTCTTCTGGCTTTGCGAAGAAGAAATCTAAAAGCAGAGAAAGAAAAGTAAAAAAATCTTATTGATCCAAGAAAGTTTACTTAAGACATCGTAGAGCGCCAGAGCTCTGTTCGTTGATTGCAGCAACATTAGGTCCTGCTTCATTTTGTATTTGAAGCCCTTGCTCTCGACTAGTGCATATGAATACCAGGAAATGGTACCCGAGTAACATGGGCTGCGGTATTGTTATTGCTTTGAAATAACTACATATGTCAAAAATGAGGTTAAGGCCTACCTCACAACCCTAAATAAATGCAACTGTGCAAAATGCATGAATTAACAGGGACCGCATCTTGCACTTGTGGAGGGGCCATAAGCAAAATTGTTACCTTTATTAAACTATTAATTGTCGTGCGATCTTGATGAATAAAATGTCTCTAACATAAAAAGGTAAGCTCGTGATGTATCTGAAAGAATGTCGGGTTTCCGTAGAAAAATTATTATATACTTATTTATCAAACTTTAAGTTTCTCTATTCTGCGAACTTTCTATACAGCACATCAACCTAGACTTTGATTGATGTGAAAAGTTCACTTTTTGTAAAAATACATCCATTCTATTCCCACTTTCGAGAATATAAACGCACATTTACTCAATTTTTCAATACTTTTATAACAAAACAGAGGTAAAGAAAAGTAATTCAAAATTATGTTTCCATTCAATGCAATGCAGTTATCAAAAAAAGAGCGAGTAATAACATTATATATGTAAAATGCGTCCTTGTTAAAGTAGTATAATTCAAAACTTATGGTTGCTTCAATAATTTAAGCTAAAAATTAATTGAACAAAATAATTTTCCTCTTAATCAAACTACGAGTCTACAGGATTAATGAACCTTGCAACATGGAGGGTTGGCAAAATTTCAAATACAGATTGGCGTTGCAAAACTCTTTGTTTTGGGATAAACTGTTTAAATCTAAGGTAAATATTATTTGAATTTCTGCAATAAGATATAAAATTCTTTGCATGACATCTTCTCAGTTATTGAAAGTTTTGAGCAGCCGTGTTTCGTCTTTTCCATAAAGAGATTCCTCCATTTCTCCTGCTCGTTTACATTGCAAGACAAAGAACATAATAGAAAACCAGATGCTCTTGCATACATATCTTAGTCAAGTTTGGCCTAACTCCTGTCAAAACAATTATTTTATTAAACGCACTGATTTCGGCCTTTAGAAAAGCAAACATGATAGATACTAACATTTGATCACATGACTCAAAATGGCAATTAGGCGATCTGGCTCACTTATCTGATTAAGATTGATCAAAATTCTGCAAGACAACTGCATTTAATGAATAAAGATTATCTTCTGTAGCGTCCAATTTACAAACTTATAATTAATCCCTAACTCAACAAGAGAGCGTCCTTTTCAACCATTTTGTTTTTCACTCAATATACCCAGATTGCTTACGCTTCGGACTCTTTGACGGGTTCAGGCACTGTTAACGCCCAAAAGAATCGTTGTTTAAAGTATTTGTGCCTTGGATGTTACAACTGCTTTCTTGATCCTTATGAAAAATTCCCCGCATAAAAAGCTCAGATGATTGCGGACAGCATTCATTAGGAACCGGATATCTATTCGCAGAAAAATCTTGAACGGTTTTCTTTTAAAGCTAATCGTTACAAAAAATTTAGTGGGAGTGGGATGTTCAAAGTAATGATAGAAATCAGTGGACCTTTTCTTAATTTCTGTCAAGTACCATTACCTTTCATTAATTTCTGTACAGTGGTAGACAATATTTTTCTTTCATACAGTGTGCAGCAAACTTGGAAGTCTCAAGACTCGACACATGCCCATAGCGTAACCTCTAAGGTAAATTGAGTCTTTGCCTCCAAATAGGAAAGCAGTGGACCCAGGGAAAGCGATGTTGAAGTCACAGACTTTCACATCCTCTCTATTTTCATTAGCTTCATTAGAGAATTATTGGTAAAGTTTCGAGGAGATATAATTTAAAGATCGTTCATGACATATTTTTCAAGGGACGTGAGTGTGTAATCGCTAATAATTTGTGGTTTCCGTCCAGCCTGGCTTATTTCGAGAGTATTATTTTCTGCTTGTTTATTCAAATTCTTCTTAATAACTAGGAAGGTCTAAACTGGCAACAGATTTGAATTCGTTTTCGTTTGTACCTATTTTAACAGCGAGAAACTCGTTCAAAGAAATAGTCGGGCAAGTACGCAAAGGGCAGTTATTTCCACAGCATTTGAATTTCCAAACAACAAGAAGAGATAAAAGATCGTATAATCTTCTTAAACAAACAGTAAAGGAAAAGAAAGACATGAAAAGGCAGAGAATTAAACCACAAATATTTAGCAAAAAATCCTTCAGTGCGTCGAAAATTCGGCTCTTATATGTAAACAATTTTGATAAAGTCCGCTTGAAAATGACGACAGAGTTTTTAAGATAATAAACACTTTCACAGCTTTGTTCAAGCAATTCACACGAATGGATTTTGTTTGAAAAAAATTTCCACAGAAATGTAAAATTTAGAATAAAAAAGAAATGTTTAAATGTATCTATTCATTCGTATCTATGAAGGAACCATTCATATGATAGCCATTATCAGCCTCATAGCAATTTGGAATAGACTGTCGGAATATGACCTCTCAAAACAAAGTACAAATAATGGAAATTGCCACATTTAAGAAACGCTGAAACTTCTTCTCCGAAAATCAACTAGACAATTTTTTTAAAGGCATTGAGTCATGGTAAATATGCCTTCTCTTTAGGGGGTCATTTGGTTTCGGCGTGATCGCTGCTGTTTCATATGGTATTTGCTATTGATGAAAGTTGTTTTGTCAATCAGTACGAGGTGAGTTCATGTGACCAGTTTAAGGTCATGAAAATCATGACTAAGCGGATTTTGGCACTTAAGGTATATCCAATCCATTATATCATGACTCAATGCCTTTAACATGATTCGGTTCGTTCGATAGGCACAGAAAACTTCCATTATAATTCCAAACCGGCTGTTAACGATGGTGCCTTACTCTCCATATTCAGACCATACTATCAATGTAAAATTTTTGATCAACAAATCTACTCAACAAGCAGAGTTCAAACTTTGCAAGATAATAGTGAATTGTTGAAGACTTGTGTGTGAATGGTAGATGAAACGTTTTCTGTCAAATTCTTGAACACTGATTGGTGAAAATGGTATGGAGAATTTGAATGTAATCAGAACTCTCAGCCAATCAAAGTTTCGAAACCTATGCTGATGAGAATATTTTGAAAATTCATGAGTTTATCTAAACAAAGGAAAACAGACGGTGGCCTTATTATCATTGCGTTGCTCCAACTTCTGCAATTGTGTTTATTAGACACAACAGAAGGCAAGTGAAAAGTTTGTGGGTAAGAGATTTTATTTTCAAGAGGAAGAAGATGGGTGCATACAGCAGCCTTATGCAGGAGTTGTAAATGTTATAGCAAGATATTCGAATTTTTTTGTTTCAAAGAGTCCAGCAGTGTCGAGTTGCATTGGCTCTAAAACTGTATTTGCAATTATGATTTAAGTTTATGATTCATGCTGTCATGCTGAATTTTACATATCGTAACCTGCGTATCGTTTCCATGGAGATTTAGGCTTTGACCATGCCAATCAGACATATATTTTTTGCAATAATGGCTTTGAAAAAAGCAAACATCTTAGTGTACTTAAGCTTTTCGTCTGATACTCTTCAGAGTATAAAACGTCCGAATATAGACCGAAAACTCTACGCTAGGAAATATATATACCCAGTTGTGGATCGAAATAGGCCAATCAGAAACGCGAGCAAATGACTGTTGAGGTTGACCAATCAGTACCGCTTGCCTATTGAAAATGTTACAAATGGAGTCCTAGGGTGAAAACGAACTCCTTCTGTCCACACAATAGCGGACTTTTCATGCTTATAAAGATAGATTCCAAAACTGCTAGCTTGAACGACGATCCGGCTCTACTAATAATCCGAAAAATGTCGCAATTATATTCGGCGGCAAAATTCTTAAAACCGCTATTTGTAGTAAACTGCATTGAGGAGATTTCATGAAAAGCTCTTTGCAATTAGCCATACATAACTCAATTTGAAATACCTGGTTTCTTGGCATCTGTCACCACTAAATCAAATAAATCCAGCCAGTCTTTGCTGAGGGAGGAAAAAGATTCACAAGTTATCAAAATAAACACAGTTTAGCCTAATAAACTGCGTAAATAAAATTGTACTTTTGAACAATAAAACGACCACAGAATGTGTTCAGGGCTAAGCAGTGATACGGATAATTCTACTTAGCTGGCAAAAAGTTAAATAAAAATTCGATAAAAATATGCAATGTTGTTAGTGGGAATTTGAAAAAGATCAGGAGATCAAAAAGTGATGCTGTGAATTTCCAAATCACTAGCTACTCTTCTGTCCATGTGTTTTCAGTTAGGCATTAAGCCTTTAACAACAAAGTATCACTAAAGAAACTTTATCGTTGTCTATTGTCAAACTAGCTATCAATCGTCAAGGAATCAATCAACCTTACTGGATACTGTTGACTATGTTAACAACATCGTTCAATCAGAAACATAAATTCAGGCCAGCCTATATTACCAAACTATCAGGCCCCAAAAGGATGCCTGTACTTTCTTTTACGTTTGTCTACATTGCGAACAGGCAATGTTGTTTTTGATGTTGTTTTTATCAGTCAATTAAGTTTTTTGGGGGTTTACGAATGGGCTGAGAGCTTTTCTGTCGGGAGCATCCAATAAAGTTTAGAAAAACTGACCAAAGTAGACATGATTCATTTATTTACTTATTCTTTTTATTTTATTATTAGTCATTCTTTTGCTCATTCATTCATTCATTCATTCATTCATTCATTCATTCATTCATTCATTCATTCATTCATTCATTCATTCATTCATTCATTCATTCATTCATTCATTCATTCATTCATTCATTCATTTATTCATTCCAAATCTCAGGGCCAGAAATATAAAATCACTGTATATTCTTCTATCTTCATCTTTCCTTTTCTTCCACTCCTAATTTTTTTCATATTTCCTTTTCTTTTCTGCCCCTGTCTCTTTTTGTTTCACTGTTGGTTGAAAAAGTTAAACACAAAAAGAGCTACCTAATTGAGAGCTTTAGTATAACGGTTTCTCCATATATGCGAATTCATACGCAGTAGGATCTTTACAAATACGGCAACCGTGTACATTCGATCTTGTTTAACTAAGTAGTTCAATACATACCCTAGTGCCCATTCCATGAGAAATCGTGTATATTCTATGTAAGACTGTGTCACTAGAAATAAAATTTTTCCTGCTTTTCTAAGGTCTTTGAACCATCTGATGACGTCATCTGGACATTTTTTGATATACTTTTTTGCATTTTCTTTAATTGCCGAGAAAAAGTACCCTCGATGCTCTGCAATTGAAAGAAATAATGAATACGTGTTTGAGGCTACAAGTATTTAAATGAAGACGAACAAAGAGACGCAGTCTACAGCAGTGAGATACACTCTTGAGACACTGTTCTGAGGAAGGGACGAACAGAGGGTAGGGTGGTTGGAGATGGGGTGAAAACGAGCTTGGAGCAGAAATTTTCTTAGAAGAATCTATTGCTTAAAAGTGACTGCAAGGACACTTGAAATTTCAAAATTTTAGTCAAACGGGGTATGGCATAAGGAGCGACATGTTTTCAAAAAATCTGAAAAGTTTACAAGAGGCCTCGTTCATTCGACCCCTCGACATTTTGAAATTTCCTTAAATAGGAGATAGGGGGACGAGGGACATGAATGCTTTGCGTTTGTCAGATATTAAGTCATTTTCACATTTTAAGAAAGAATGCTTAACTTACAAAGTTGAAGCATAACACAGAAAGTGCAAAAGGCAATGTTGTTGTATTCTTTGCACTAAGTGATCAAAAATAGCTAATTAGCTAATAAAAAACAACTACTATATGCATACTTCATAGAAGCAACTCATAGCTGTGGTAAATATTTTCAAACAGCTCAGCAAAGAATTTTGAGCTAGAAGATAATAAGATATTAGCTGATACAGTTTTAAGACAAGGACAAAATCAACTAAAAGGTTTTCTTTTTCTCAAAGTAAACGCAAAGAATGTGTCAGCATGCAAGCACATCTAGACAGATAAACTTACCAGAAAAGCACTTAGGCCCAAAGCTGTTCATAAGAGTGTCAAATATGTCCGGCCAGAAAGTGTATGTTTGAGGTCGTCCTTGCTAGAAGGAACAACAAACATCTCTCAACAAAGGCCTTCAGTACAGGGAGGTAGATGGCAAAACATGATTCAGAACATAGTTTAAAATATAAAGATACCTTAATAATAAAAAAATTCTCAATAGATATAGCATTGCGAAAAACCGCAGAAAAAATTGATTGATAAGATAGTACCAAAACCAAATTAGGCTTCAAACATAGATATAACATTGGTACTGATATCACAATTTACAGCAACCAAAAATCTTTTTCAACAAAAACACCACTTTAAATCTTACTGCCAAGCATATTTGCTAGGTTTACAAAACGTTTTGTTGTATAACATTGCTGCCTAGAGGAAAACCTGTTTTTCTAGCCCATACTCCTCAGTGATGATTGAAAAGACTTATTGACACAATAATTAAAGAATTATGGATTCCTCTTGTAACTACAATCTACTACTGCTGTATACTTACTGTTTCGTCAATAATATCTACAATTCTTGCACACAATACTCCAATTGGCATATCAAAAAAATTCTCAAAGCACTTATAGTACACTGAAAGAAAGGGATAGAGATATTAAGCAGTCTGGTGAAAAATATAATTAGAGATTACAGTTTATACTTTGATTACAGATCAAAACATTTGACTATATTGTGGTATTGCAATAAAGGGTAAATCTAAAGTTGATGCTGTAGCAGGCATTTACTAGGAAGGCTAAAGGAACCATAATATAAAAGTCACTTTTAAAGCTTTCTTTGTAAGATCGATGCCATTTAGCTATGCAAGCATATTTATCATAGATTTCCTTAGGCTTGTTTTAAACTTGGTTCTGAATTTGAACTAATTGATTTGATTACATTAAATTTCTATTGTCTAAGTTTGGATGCAATATGATCACAAATTTTTACCAATATTTGTGCATTAAAAAATAATTATGTGTAGTGAACCTTAACTACATTTGTCCAGGCTTTGTGTGATTTGAGACCTACCTCCATGGTGCACTTTTGACTTTAGATCTTTAAAATATTTCCAGATTCTCTCTTTACCATAACATGCTTCAATTTCAGAATCACTCATGACAGTCATGCCATGACATGCCCTAAAATGATCAAGCCAACTACATTTATGTGTACAGACAGAAGTAAGAGATGGCCAGATAGAAACAGTAAGACCAAAACAGTGAGATAAATAACAATGATATCAAATAAATAAATAAACTTTAACTTCAGCCAGAATAATTGCTAAAGTATCAACGCATGAGATATATGAAAAAAAGTTATCCAAATTAAACTGCTAAATGGAACAACAGCAGAACTCTGCCAATAATCCAAAACAAGTTGCTGTTATAATGTTTGACAGCACTAAGGTGAAGAAACATTTTGTAATGGCCTGTTTGATCTGGCTTTGAAATGGCAGGGAAATTTGGCACTACTGCAGCTTCGCACCTGTCAGCGTGAGGTCAATAATTCCAAACTATACGCAGTGGCATAAATAAAGGGAGGATCAAACAGGGCACAAAACCCTTTCTAAAGCTGAACTGCCATGTTGTTGGAAAACTTTTGATTTTGTTGAAAAAACATGGCTGTTTATTTTTCATGTAGATGTTACATTTTAAGTGGAAAGATAAAAAGATCTTCCATTGTTCTATTTGAATTAGGTCTGGTGCTTGAAATGCCTTCGTAGAGACATGCAGTAAAATCATCAATTAGCGTGATTTATGAAACACGACTTTGATTAAACGTTAAAGTTTATCTTCTGTTTTATAGCAGTTTTAATGTGTTGTGTTGTATTCAAATTTATGAAAAGATAAAATGTTTTCTAGATTTTTGCCAAAAAATCTAAATTTTTTAAAAGAAGGCATTTTCCTATCCTCACACCTGACCATACATATGATTAGGAGTGTGTTTAGATCATAACCTAAGAGTAAAACTGCATTAGTGTTCCCAGAATTTTACAAATTAATGGAAGTTATGGATAAACTGGGCATCTCTTCCCTTAAACCATTTCTAGCATTACAGGCTGGATAAACAATAAAAATAAATCAATTGTTTGATTCATTTTACTTCCATTCTACCATGGAGCATATCCAGCTAAAATTGTTAACAGAAATAAAGTATGGCATGTATGTATACTTGATTCTTTTGCTGTCATTAATTTTTGACTGATTCGATATACAGCTGGTTACAACCTTAGTAGCCCTGTTGTCACCTCAGGCCCTTTTGTAAGAAATAACCAATGTGAGTGGGTGTAATGGCCTGCTTTTCAAAACCCTTGGTCGTCAATTAATGATTTGGCCAAAAAAGCACAATTGGGCCAAATTTTGGCACTACTGCATATAGGCACTATCCTTTATTTACATCACTGTTTAGGGTTTTGAATTATTGACAACATGCTGACATGTGCGAAACTTCAATGGTGCCAAATTTCCTTGCCAAAATTGTTGAAAGCAACAAGAATACAAAGGAAAAACAATTTTTGCACAACCAATATTCAACATTTTATTCAAGCAATCTCAAAATTGCAAATAACGCACTAAACATAGTAAAGAAAACAGACAATTGAAATGTAAGACAAGTGGGAGTTTTTGGAACAAAGCCAATTTTGATGTCACTATTACTCCACAGAATTAGCCAAAATGTAGCTTTTTGCATATTCTATCTAGCTGGCCAGATTTGGCCGTCAACTGTCAAATATTTGGCTGCCAACCATTCCAAACATCCAGCAACCCTGGCCTAGCACTCGCTTGATTTCTCTCGCAATCTGATTTCCAGGTAAAGGAAACCAACAATCGAAACATCCATCCAAAAATGAATAAATACCCCATCTAAACGTGTTTTTCCAAAAAATAATTTCATACAATCCAAATTTTGGAAAGTCTTAAGCCTAGCACACACTGCAGATTTTTACAAAAATACAAAAAGTTGCCATTATAATGCACCTTATAATGTAACCATCTTGACGCAGCTTGACAAAATTACCAGTTTTTATCTCAAATGTAAGTCCTCTGAGACTGAAAGAGAATGAAATGAATATAGATAAGGAGAAGAAGTTTCTCAAGAGTTTAATACCATATTGAGAGGGACCCAAGTTCATTCTAAATAGATTACACACATACTTAGCATGTAACCATCCAAGTGTACAACCAAAATACATAGCCAACCTTTGACCATAAAATTTAACATAGACAGGAAAAATATAGCAGGCATGCTAACCACTCCACAAATGAAAACATCCAGGCGTGTGGGGGCAAAAATTTATTGTAATCGTAATAGATCTACGCAGAAATCGCCATCATGGCAATGATGACAGCAATAACTCTTGATGAAATAAACTTCGCTGAATTCTAAGCATAACTACTTAATAGCAAATTTCTACACAAATATAAACCAAACTTATTTAATATATCAGCAAGAAAATGGCACTACAAGTGACGAAAAATGTCTGCCATGTTATGAGCAGTTCTCATGAGCTTCAATAATGAATCCTTAGTAGAGTCATTGATGCTTTGGCACTCATCTGGTTGTAATGGCAGTTTTTGTGTGTGAACCCGTGCCCCTTGAGGGCCCTCGGTTATCAATCATGGCAGCTATTTTAAGCACCTACTGGCCAGATGTCAATAATCCATTAAGATAATGCATAAAAGATAATGATGGGCCATTTTTCATGAAATGAAATGTTGCCAGAATCTATATAAATCTAAAGAAAGGGGTATAGGGAGGGGGGTAGCAAAATTTGCAAATCTGCTACTTTTTATCGCATAATTGGCAAATCTGCTACTTTTGCTATATTAGTGATAGACAATGAAAATCTTTTTCACAACATAAAATGTTCCGCTTAATATTCGGCAATAAAAATATCTGTTATAATCTGCTGTGTTTGCAAGTTCACTGAAATGCTATTGCACAAATTTCTTCTCCATTTTTTGTATCATAAAAAGTGCATGCTTGCCAATGCTTGTTTTGCTGATGAAAATAATTATTCCCAAGAGAAATAGTGCTGATTATACGCTGGGAATGAGTAGACCAAAATAACAATGAAAATTTTTAGAAAAGTCTGTCAAAACGAGGAAAATTATGATGAAGGGACCTACAATTAAGTTTGTAATAATGAGAGTTCTTTATATACAGAATATACTGGAAAACTGGAAAATTATTTAAAGCCAGGTTTCATAATATCAGGATTCCATTGTAGATTAGTCCTATGTCCTCAATCCAGACAAGCTATAAAGCATTTTTGAAGCAGCATGAAGTAAAAGTACCAAGGAAAGATTATCTTTTAAAACTGTCTCAAAACCCAACGAAACCTATCATTAATAAAGAATTTCTCTCTCAAAATAAAAGTGCCACATAATTTGTAGTACTGGAGTCACAATGTATGTATGTATAATAATCTTTAATGTGATTAACAAACTAAGTTTGAAAATTTGTTTTCAGTTTGGTTCACAAAGTAAAGTACAAATAATCTAAATGAAACCATTAAAGGAAAAAAAAGTAAAAACCTAGTACAATATTCAAATTATGAATTTAAACCTATAATGTTAGTTAAAAATGCTATATTAAAAACCATCTATACTTATTAAAAGAGTCCGAATTAAGTTTCTCCATCAAATAATTTTTACATTTATTTTTAAAAGAAGGAATATTGTCACATTGCGTCAATGAAGGCAAACAGTTCCAAATCCTTGTTCCATATTGTTTAAAACCTTATTAGAGCCTCTTGGAATATACAAGCATCCCCGACTGGCATTTCTTGTTCCATGTCAATGGGTATCTGCAACTTTCATGAACACTTTACCATTAGTCATTGGGCATTCAACCAATGTCTAAACAATGATTATTGCCTATGGTTGCGGTTATTATTTTTTACTACTGCTGACTGCTTTAGGTGTTAGTGGTTTTGTTACTCTTACTGCACTCTGGACTAGAAACTGGTACCTGGACTGGTACCAGACTGGAAACTTTGTCGCGCTTGTGATATATTGCCCGCGCACTCAAATTTTCCATCGGTGCACTTTGCATTTTGTCCCTATTTGAATACATTTCACATTAATAACAAGACATATTTCTTAAAAGTGCGTGATTTCAGGCACGCAGTCATTCAGTTAGATGTGTGAACTTGCCTGCACAAGAAACACAGTTTCCAGTCTGGGGCTGGCACACTGTCAAAACTTCTAACAGCCAAGCTATTGGTTTGAAGTGTAGCTTTTGGGGATCATTGTGGTCTTTTAATGAAATTATTGTGGTTATATTGTGGTTTGTTGTAAAAAAAGGGGCAATGTATCTTAAATTCTAGACATATATTTGTATGAATAATATAAAATGTTTGTCTGTTTACCTGAAGTCTTCAAGTCTTGAGTACTTCTCATCCAGCAGATGCTTATCATAGCCTTTCTTCTCAATGAGGTATTGTGCAAAACTTCCATATATTAGCTAAGATTATGGATCAAAATTCTTAATTCAAGAACATTATTAACGTGAAAAAATTTGCATGAACTGAATACTATTCATAACCACTTTTACTAAAGTTGTTTTCATATAAAATTCACAGGAGGCTTGCAAAATGTATTGAAACTTTAAAACTGAAAAGAGTAAAATTGTTAATATTTGATACCTTGAAAACTGCCTCTAAATGATATTGCACAACTGTGTGATCCATATCAAATCCAAAGCAATCATAATCTTCTAGACAAAAAGAATTTTCACTCCCACTTCCATTCTCTTGTGGTTCCACTTTCGCCGCCATTTTTGATCAGAAGCGATAATGTTGCTGTTGTTTTCCATCAGCCTCTTTTTCAAATACATTTTGCCGCGAAAAGTAGCAAATGCACACACGAAGGCCTAAAAAGGTTGTGTGAATTATTTAATGATTTCTGTATTGAGAAGGTAATTTGTACGCAAGCTATCGCAATGCCTAAAAGAAAGGTAAATTGTTCTGATCGCTGATATTTTTCGATTTTACACCTCTAGTGTTGGAAATGAAAGGTATCTGGATGGTTGATGTCCACGAATCATCATAGTGCAAGCATAGACTCGTGATCACTTTCGATATCTTAGCAAGGGGTTCTTCACTAATTTCAAGTTAGATGGATAAGTTGATCAGCGTATATAAAGGTCCACTTTTTCTCAAGTTTCATAAATATTTATTGTTTGGTGCTCTACAAAAAGCGCCAAAAGGTTACATTTATGGGGAGAGTAACAGCATTGCTTTTGTCTTTTTCGTCCGCAATAAACTGTTCCCAGAAAGGTTTTCCTGTAATTCGAGGCTCTTCTATCGTTGTTACCAGCAAACAAGTCAAGAAGGGAATGAAGTATCTCCGAAGAAGAAAAGTCAAGAAGGGGTAATGTAATGTTTATTAAAAATATTCACAACTAAGGAACTGCTTTTGACCTTGTTTTGGTTTTTTGGCATTATGAATGAAAAAAAAATAATTTTATTCGCAGATGTCGTCGATTATGCATCTTGCTGTCTGCAGAACTTTGTCAAAAATGGACCTCAGATTTGAAATTTGTATTGAGATCTTTATATCATTAGGGCCGTTTAGTCTCAAGTTACTACATTTTAAAGATTTGACTGGAATTTACTGCTGCAGTGAAAGTTTGGAATAGCTTCTATTTTAATATGAAATTGTTTGTTCCAGAAACCAGAGGAAAAGCAGACTGCCAACAAGACTTCTGATGTAAAACTTGATGAACTGAACACCAAGACAAATGATGGAAGGTTATAAACAATTCAATTCTTTTATTATCAAACAACAGGACGGCAAAAAAATATGACTAGAAAGGATCGATTTCTTTTAATTTATCAACTAAACATCCTTTTTGAAAAAATTATGTTAAGAACATACATAATTTTTATTTACATGCCACAACATTTCAATCTAATATACTTACAAATTTTTAAAAATCTTTTAGGTCATACAATGTGAAAATTGTTTCTTGGAATTGTGCAGGGTTGAGAGCCATGGTCAAGGTAACTGTTCAGTGTGATCAGAATTTAAAACTGTCCTAATTTTAAATTGTTTAATAAAATAAATCTGAAATTGTTAATCAGGACAAACCTAGCCATGTTATACACAGGTTTTATGCTTGTACAGTGTGACTAAATTCAATGTTTCTTAAACTCTGGAAATTTCACATATATTCCTTTTAACAAAAATATTAACAAAAATTACTGTTAACTGGTCTGCCATAAAGTGCTTGATGCTGTATAGGCAGAACAGTACACGCCATTAGTGTACAGAAATGTACATATTATGTTCTTATTGTGAACATTATTGTGAACATTAGGCAACCTTTCTCACTGGAAAAGTTACCTACTGATCTGATGTGTTGAGTATGAAACTTGGAGTAGCAGTTTAGAACTGTCCAGTTCTATACACCAAAATTGTATCTCTTTTACCATATAATAGTTATTTAAATGAGTAAAGTTATATCATACAATGAGCTATTCTAACAATGGTTGGTTTTCTTTACCTACAGAAAAATGGATTAGATTATTTGAAAAAGGAAGATGCAGACATAGTTTGTCTTCAGGAGACAAAATGCACTGAAAATGAATGTCCACCAGAGGTATTTCTTAAAAATTTCAAAATTTTTTTAAATATATGTCAAACTATCATACTTTAATTTATCTCAAAAGAAATAATTTATAATTAGGTAACACAATGCTTTGCGTTTCCATACAGTTTAGCTGGGCATTTATAGAAAGCCATATTTTTTACCTGATTATACAAATAAAGACATTATTATTTTGTCTTCTCAACTTTCTCTTTTTATTTCCATGTTAACTTTCCCTTTTTAATCAATAGGTTAATGCTTTAAAAGGTGGTGGTCTTTCATTTGCAAAAAAGTCAAACCTGCAATACAATATGTACCTTTTACCTGCAGAGAAAAAGGGTTATAGTGGTACTGCGTAAGTATCACCAAGAAGGAATTTTTTTATTACTCCACATAACTCTACCATTAAACCTTATTTCAATTTATGTGTCCTCAGATAAGATAAACCATGTGCTCTATTATAAATAAAGGAAACACCACAGTAGCTGTTGACTTTTTAAAGATAATTGAAATTAATGGGTATTCTGAATTATAAGTATCAGTAATCCCAAATCTTGATTTATCAGTTCAAATGAAACGATGACACATGGTATAGTAGTAAAGTGGCAATAGAGAGGTTAGAGTAGTGAGATGAGGCTATTCAAATCTTTGTGAAAGGTTCTATATAAATGCAAGTATTGTGCCACTCCCCTGATATGTTTTTCAGCAATTTCACTAATATAAAGAATTTTTTTGTCTTAAGGCTCCGTCTAGGTGCTTTGACCAATACCATGCTTCAAAGTTGGTCCATGTCATATTTAAAATCTTTCTGTGATCCTCTCAAAGATTAAATTATCCTCACTACAGTGATTATTTTGTTGTTTGCTTACAAATGACTTATGTGCTCATAATTTAGAAGATTTATCAGTTGTTTAAAACAATTGATTTGAATATCAAAATGTTTTTATAGATTGTGGACGAAGAAAAAACCTTTGAAAGTCACCTACGGATTAGGTAATATATCAAAATTCTTGTTATTCTTTTGCTGTTTTTAAATGTTAAATTTAGACAACAATGAGGTGAATATAATATGCGGAAGGGTTAACTTGAGACATTTTTTACCACAAGAAATGAAGCAAACCAAAATTTTATTTTCATGGCAAAAATAAAGAAATGGCATACAAAAATTGGGATGAAACAATTGTTATTAAACAAATAATGTAGGGAAATGTTTAGATTAATGATATCAAAATGAAAAGGCTGATACACCTACAGGAAACAGGAATTGGATTTAAAGCAAAACAGAATTGTTAAACATAATCATGGTCCTTAGCAGTGATGACAAAGATTGTTGTTTTGGAGGGGCAATAACCTTGCATTCACAGTTCCTAGACCTTTTTGAACAGAGAAGGTCTATTTATCTGATTTGCACTTTTATTGACTCCATTTTTAGGTATTGACAAACATGACAAAGAGGGACGCTTAATCACAGCTGAATACGAGAAGTTTTATCTTGTCACCTCCTGTGAGTACATATCTATGCTTTGGATAGTGAAGTGTTTGTTAATTGAAGTGTTATCTGTAAATTTATCTAGCAATGGCGGCAATTGGTGTACAACTCTGCCTATCTGGCATCAAGCACTTCATGACAGACTGGTCAGTGACATCAATTTTAATCACTGGGGAATGCAACATCCAAGCTTACAACTAACATTAATACTATACAGTTTTTAAAACCCTTTGCAAAGTCCAAGTGTAAAATGTCAAATCCATGTTTGTTCTGAATTTAACGAAGTATTGTTAGTAGTGTGCTAGTATTAACTTCATCGTTAAAAGTAGTAGGGTCAGAATCATAGATCACAAAGAATTGTCACATCCAAAATCTTCTCAATAAGGATAATCCTCAGTGTTCTAAGTTTTACCATTGTCAGTGAATAATGGTGATTTCAAATTACAAAAGCCTTTGTGTAATGAATATACTTGCTGAATCTAAAAAACATTTGTCAATAAAAATAAAACTTTTTTCTTCTTCAGATGTTCCAAACTCAGGAAGAGGTCTTGTAAAGTAAGCAATTTATACTGTATTATAGCTTAAATATTTAAATCCATAAATTTTAACTTAATTCAGCCCCCTGTAGTATCATTAGAAATATTAATTGTAGTCCTTTTATTAAAGATTCTGTTTGAAATGAAACTTTTCATGGGGCGATTATCTATCTAATATCACAGGAAAATTAATGTCAGAATTAATGTCTTCATGTTTTTAGTACCATTGAATAAAACCTGCTTTCATTGCTCATGCTTTTCTTAGTCACAATTGTTAACCAACAATTCTAGTTTGGAATATCGAATGGGATGGGAAAAAGACATGAAGACCTATCTGAAGAAACTTGAAGAGACAAAACCTGTTATATTTTGTGGTGATCTGAATGTTGCACATAATGAAATTGGTGAGGATAGTTATAAAAGTTATTTTAAGTTATCTATTGAATGATTTTTGCTAACATGTAAAGAGTTGGCATTCCCAAGGTTATAACAACAGAATTTAACATGTAGCACATTTTCAAAGAACCAGGAACTGCTGCTTCCTAAAAATATTTAAAAATACCACCTTTTGTTTTCTGTGCTGTGTGAAAGGGGACATTTCAGCCAAAGAATTATAACATCAACAATCATACATTTATTGAAAGCATCACTTCACATGTGATAGTTAAGTTAGGTGATTATTCTCTGTAAAAGGTCTGCATAGTGTTAACAATTATATGGATGAAATGTCCCCTTCAGAATTCTTTCTGGCTTCAGTTGAGATATAGATGGTGAAGACAATTGTCATTTTATGAGGTTTCTTGCCAGTATTAAAATGAATTTATGTTTTATAATTTTAACAAGCAAACAATAAGTTAGAACCGCATTTGCAATTCCAAAATAGCCATTTTGTGATATTATCACAAAGAACGTATTTGGCAATAACTTCACAATACCTAGGTTGATTTATTGTTTGTTTTCAACAATTAGTTTTGGAAAATGCTTGTGATTTCTCTTCAACATAGATATTGCAAACCCAAAAAGCAATGTCAAAAATCCTGGTTTTACAAAAGAAGAGAGGGAGAAGTTTACTGATTTGTTAGAGGTTGGGTTTGTTGACTCATACCGACATCTTAACCCAGATAAGACTGGGACATATACATTTTGGTCTTATATGGGGAATGCAAGAGACAAGAACATTGGTTGGTGAGTAAAAAAGTCAATTTGTTGAAACAACATAGCTGCTTTGATAAAATATTGAATCTGAACATTCTGTGTGAACAAAAACAGTAATATTGCTAGGGTTTTACTGAAATTCTACAATTTGAACAATCTTACCTGCATTAATTTTAATATTGAAGAAAGGAAATTCATCTGTTCTTAAAAAGTTGGATCCTTTTCCTTTTTTATTTTTTTTTCTCTTTTCTCTCATGAAAAAAAGGAATTTAACATTATAACTTGTCTAAGATCAATGGTATGTATTAAGTGAAATAATTGAAAATTTACCTGTTGGTACTGTAAAAGATTTTCAATTTCAATTTATTTTGCAATGTAGAAATAAATCTCTCTGTCTTCTTTCCAGGCGACTTGATTACTTTGTTTTGTCTAAGTCACTGCTTGGTGACCTTTGTGACAGCTCTACCAGATCCTCTGTTACTGGAAGTGACCATTGCCCAATCGTACTGCTCATGGCATTGTAACCAGTCAATGTACACAGTACAGAAATGACAGCATAGATGCAAACCCAACAAGATTTTTAAATATATCATCAAATGTTCTTTTCATAACCTTTTAGGCACTGTTAGAGTTCTACATATTTGAGCAAAAAAGCCTTATAAATACATGTCCACCATACAATAGTATTTCCGGAAAACACCCTTTTCAGAAGCCATCAAATTTGCTCAATTAATTAATTTTTGATGATCAGGGAAAATTTCAGACCTTAAATCAGCTTTGTACAAAATTAATTTCTTGTCTTATATCCAGGTCTTTTTCCACAAAGGTGGTGAAAACAAAAAGTTGAGCCATGAGAGAACAAATTTAATTTTTCAACAGACTGTGCAATATGGTAGTTAAAGTCCTATGTCACATAAATTTTAGCCCACCCTATTTCCCTTTTGTAGTCTCTACATTTTGGCAACAGGCCAAAACTGAAGTTTCTGAAAATACTCTAAACTTTAGCTTCTATGAAGAAAGCAATAAAAAATCTACAAGAAAGAAGTAGGTATAAAGACTTCATTGTAATTTAGTTTTTTGATGTTTTGTTAGGTCAAGAATTTAAAAGATTTCATAATCGTCTTTTTAATTAGGAAAACGAAAAAAAGGTACTACAATGTTGTTGGTATTTTGATTTTAATACCTCTAATCAACTTACTTTTACAATTGTTTTCTGAAGTTTCTTTTCATCTGCATCTGTTAGTGCATTGATACATTGTTCTAGTTTCACAACTTCATAATCTGGAGGCCTAGAGCAGATATTAGAAGTATAATAGAAATATATTTAAGATATGAACTTTAAATTAAAGTAAAAAGGGCCAAAGTCTTCAGTGTAAAAAGTGTTATATTCATATGATAAAAACAGGCAAGGTTTACTGAAGTTAGGTTATCAAACTCTCTGGCTCATCTGTTGCTTGAATAAACACATGATATGGGTCATTTGACAAACAAGCCCCATGAAGAGCCATGACAGAAACATACAACAAATTGTCATAAAGGGGAAAAGGAACCAATATGACAGACCTATTTGGTACAGGGCTGTCACCATCTATTGAGGTCAAGGGGGGAGGGGGTGTGCTCTGATCCCATTTGGAGACAAAGTTGGTGAACCATCCTTTATTCGCAGACAAATCTGAAAATTTGCCAATAATGCATCTCTAGATCGTAAAAAAATCCATGCTTTCACAACAGAATTTTTTTCCAGGGAGGTTGTCAACCCCCCTGGAAATATGTACTCTAACCATTACCCTCCAATTCAGTCAATTACTTACTCATATCACGAGTCGTTGTCTTCATTGTGTGAGTTACTCCAAAGTAGTGGACTTTCCTCTCCGTTACGCACCCCACACCCCACCCCCCCTATATAGCAAAAGCTCTGATTTGTGGTGATAAATTCAAATAGATAAAAAGGATAATTGGTCGGCTACCTCAGAATCCCTTTCCGTAAATTTTCCATTATGTCTTCAAGAATATCTGACTAAAGTCAAGGTGTGAAATTGGATTCAAAATTGTCTCAGTGGTGCAAGTTTTCAAATAGTTCTTAAAATATGCAAAAGCTTTAAAAAAGTAAAGAAAGAGTGCACATGTTATCTGATAGATTTACTGAATATTAAACTCTGACTCTTTTCAGTGAGGTAAAAACAAGTGAAGCTTTCAATATGATTAAACAAGGTAAAAGGATAAACAATTGAGATCCAAAAATTAATAAACAAAACTAGATAAAGTAAGGGGATAGAAATTTGCAAACACATCATTCAGGGTGGTAGGATCCAGTGTGTGGAATGACCTAAAACAGTAAACTTTCATTGAAACATCCCAGTAAATGTCAAATGCATTGATATTCTACAATTTTATGTAGACATTAGATAGATTTCCAGGAATGCTTATAAAATGTAACAGCATTTGAAGATAAGTATAGAAAACTTTACTATACCCTAATAAAGGCACTACGCGATAGGTACTGTTATAAGCCATTTTGCTTCTATTTGGACTGTGTTATTCATGGTCTGGTAATAACAACTCATCAACCATATGTAATGAAAAATCAATCTAAATCAATAAATTATGATCAAGAATTCCTTTGGTGGTAAAAACTTGTGTTGAACGGGGTTATCATATTTGACAGCTTCTTACATCTTCTGATATTTATAATGAGCATGAAACGTAAGAATGGTGAAGTAAGAGGATTTGTATAATAAATAATAAGATGTTGCTGCATTCATGTATCACAGCCTAAAACACAGAACTGTTGAAAAGGATACGTAAATATTTTCCTTGGGCACCTAATAAATAAGCAACATGTTAGAGAGAGTCAATAAAATTGTATACTAATTTAATGTGGCACAACTGTTACATTAGGTCTTAGCTCAAGGCAAGAAAAGTAATTCCTTTATGGGTCCAAGGCTTGAAGCCAAGATTAATGACAATTTTTCATATCACAGTGAGTTCAAGTATTAAGTCTCAAAGGTAAAACTACAAGAAAAAATTGATCGAAAAGCCCTTACAGTATGGGGGCTCATGGGAGCTAAGTGAAAAAAATAGCTCTATGTAGAAATATAGTTTTAATGCTCACTCTAAATCAAGTTTTGGAAGAATTTTTTCAAAATATCTGCAGCCATAGCTGATTTATAAACAAAAGACTCAAAATAAGGAACATGCATCTTCATAGTACTTAGTAAGAAAGAAGAAATTTACAAAGAAGGAATAGCAAAATTAGAAAAACACACAAAAATGGCTAATAACAATACAGAGATGATAAATTGTGGTTTATGACATCCAGTTTTTACTACTGAGATTGAATGTTTTCCTCAGTAATACATATTCCCAAAAGAATATCTGTGAATATCAAATACAGACGTTTAAGACATACCTAATGAAATTACTCCTCTCAAGTTTGTTAAAGGGAAATTTCGTTAAACTGGAATGAATTACCATAAATGCTCTATTAAGCCCCTGGGGGGCCTTAGAGGGGGTCTAAAAGAGACGGGGGCTCATTAGAGAGAGGGCTTATTAATAATTCAATGTAAAAATCTTTATAAAAATGCCCCTATTCATTTTTTGCTACAAATATGTCATACAAATGTTCTCAGCTTCGAAAGCTCTTTTCGTCCTCGTATTTGAAGACAGTCTGTCCCCTCAATGATTGGCTAATAAAAACAATGGATTTTTGCTATTTTGATTTGTGGCTTGATAAGGGGGCTGAATAGTGAGCTAACTTAAAAGAGAGGGGGGCTTAAAAGAGAGGGGGGCTCAATAGAGCTTTTACGGAAAAGTCACAGTAAATAATAGGCTTTTATGATTTCTTTAAACGTACTTTTTGACAGTGTCCAGGAATCTTCAAACAGAAAGTGCAATGAAGCGCACTTCAGAAAGAGAAGGTTTGAGTCAGGTGGATCAAGCTGAAAAATATTGATTCTGTGATTCAAATGGCAAACTGAATAGAAAGTGTTAGGAAGTTAGAAAAAAACTGTCAACTTTTAATAGACAGAAACAAAAGTGGCTCAAGCCATCCTTCAATCAAAACTGGCAAATCAAAAAATGTCTGAGTGGTATCGAGGCACATCTGTACCTGGCGATTGCCTATAATAGTAGTAAAGTATCGAGCTAAAGTCTACCTGAAGATCACATTGCATGGTCACCCAACGACCTCCAACAGCTAGTGATGATATTATGTCATGTTTATGTGGCTTCAGTGGAAGGTTATCTTCGAAGCTGATGAGGTCATCGTGTGATTCTTCTAGGCTGTTTCCGTACATTTCGACTATGAATAAAAATTATCACTTTAGAGAAGAACTTCTTTCGAGGAATAAAGGCAGAGCTTAAGAAAACAGATATTTCTTAAATGAACTATTGTAACATTTTTGGTACCATAATGTAAAAGGATAGGAATCACTTCAGCCTGTTAACCACGAAACGGTAAAGGCAAATGATATATGGATTCTTTGCGAACTTTTTGCTTTTAAAAGTGTGATTCCCGCGAAAAAGTGTGATCCTAAAAACACGCAGCCGCAGTTGAAACCAATGGTAAAAACTTATCAAACTTCAAACATACAAGGATTCGTGCACAATTTAAGCAACCTCTCCAAAATTGAAATTTAGGCCTACGGTAAGTACAATTAGTAAATTAAACCGCAGAATGCGTATATTTCAAAAATTGAAATAAAACGATAGATCAAATGTAGGAAACCATAAATATCCCAGCAGCTTAGGTGAAACAGTTGTACTTCGACCTTCAAAACTTATCATTAGTTTACTGGACTCTTGAATAATAGCATACGTGCAAGCTGCTCAAGCCCTTTGCATACGTGCAAGCCCTTTAATATTACATAATACACTTTTTTTAAGAACCAGTAAATTTATGATCAGGCTGACAGTTCTTAATTTGTTCGAAAATCTTAGGCTGGACTGTTCTTAATTTGTTCGTAAATGTGAAAACAGTGCAATTGCTTGCTTTTTGGCTCCAGGGAGGTGTCCAGGCCTCATTTGCCAACAAATTGACTGAGACAACCTTTATTTGCCTACAAGTTTGAATATTCACAAAAATAGCACCCACACAGGGCTAAAACTCCCTATTTTTTAGATAAAACGTTGTTAAAAATTGCACTTTACAGTAGCTCAGCCTCAGCTTGTTTTCAATTTGTTCTTAACTTTTGACCAATTTTGAGGCTCGTGTTCTTATAAAACTGTTCTTATAAAAAAGGGTGTATCTTTATGTCATGTTTCAGGTTTCATGTTTCATGTGTCATGATTACTTGGCAACAATGGGGAGGTTAACGGCAGTAGAAACAAAACTGTTGGCCCAGGACCCTTGTCCTCCTTTAAAAGTTGATCCCTCAAATTCGGATCTCCATTAATTTTCGTCTACAGCTGTGGTTCGTTCTATAAACCTTTGCAAAACACTAAATACTGGAAATTAAATGATTTTAAGAAAGCGGACCAATGATACTGATAGGGGAGGTAGGTTCTTGTTTATTCAGAAAACGAGTACTCAGGCTGTGTTACAAAATTTAAAATTAAAAAACATATTTTCGGGATATAAATGAACCGAAAGAACTACTTTTCGTGGCGTAAAAAGTCCACTAAGCTGCTCGATTTCACGAATTTTGCTGTTTTAATTCTTTTAAATCAGCTTTCCTTTTTTGCCATCTAGGCCTAGAAATCACGAACCCATTTGAGACCCAGAAAACATTTTCACCCCGATTCTTAACCCAAAAAGTAACCCAAGCATCCTCATTTCTAAATGCCATAGTACACCCCAGGGGGAAAGATGTTATATTCTGCTACCTCCATCATCAATGACGCAATCAATTCCCAGGCCTCCAGTTTCTTCCATGCAAATGTCCACAAACGTCAGTTTCTTTGATCTCATATCAACGATGACAGTACCAGATTCTAATAAGAAGGGTTAAAAGGGGGGAATCAAAAGAAAAGGTTAATATACACAACCATTTTTATAGATAAAATGCAACTTTAATTTTTGGCTACTTTCTAGGACAATGGAATGAATAACATATGGAATAAACATCGAGTCCAGTGCCCTATTTTTATCATTAAGCAGAAAAATTCTAACATGAAAAGTAATATCGCTGTGACTTGAAAAGAAAAGCACTGAAGAAATGCAATGAAGAAATGCAAACAAGAAATGCAATAAAGAAACGCAATGAAGAAATAAAGTGAAGATATAAGTGATCAAGAGACTTCATAAGATGTCATATCATTTTAATTCAAAAGGTAATATGAATATCTTCCTCGATGGACTGAATAGGCGTTCAATTGTACAAATCGATGCAGCAAGCAGGAAGGTGTATCAGTTTAAGCAAGGTGTATCAGAAAAGTAAACTTAAATTAATGCTACCATATATTCGTATAAAGCTGTGTGTAGAAAAAACCAACTTGCAGTAAAAATATTTTCAAGATATTTTTAATGTGGAAAAACTGTGATTTACTAAAAAAGGGCTTTGTTAATCGGAAAGGACTCCTTTTCTCTCTTTGACCGAAATTTTACGAGAGGGCCTAGCCATCGTTGATTGGTCAAAACAAAAACTAATCAAAGTTTTGTTTTCCTCTCGCATTACTTCCTTTTTACACCTGGATATAAGTTCTGTTAACCTTTTGGGTAACATTTGAAATTTGATACTGTTAGGAGTGTTCGACTTTAAACTGCATGACGATCACAAATATTATTGTTAAATGGCTATACAGTAATTTGAAGTTTATGCATGTTATCGCTTTTATAATAAAATTGTATCGAAAATTCAGTGATAATAAAGCCATTCCTTTCTCCGATAAACTACAGCCATATTTGAATTTTGATGAGAGAAACGTTTTGTATCCGATCTTAAAGCACCTTGCTCGCGTGTCACCTTGATTCTTAGGTTACCATGATTGAAATATATATATAAAAAACTAGTATATTTTGGTCATTAAAATGGCTAGAAAAAGAAACTCTTTTCAGATTTCTTTGATTTTCACGAGACGATTTCCGATGTAACTAAAAGTTCACTAACCGTACTGTCGTAACTGAAATTATGTCAAGTAACATAATAAGTCCAACGATTTACAACTCACCATTTCCTTTCAGGTGCCTTCTCAAGAAGTTCAAGCCCTCGTCGTTCTTTTCTGTTACTATCACCTTAAATGAATAACATCATAGAGTGACACAGTGATGACGTCACAAAAATCTACTTTAGAGCTTTTGGGTTTTGAAAACGTAGCCTTAAAAGAAATAAACGCCTCTAAATGTGAAAAATCAGTTAGGTTTGTTACAAATTGCCAGAGATATAGACACAAAAGTTTAGGTTTTTTAACTATCAAACAACTGTAGTTTAGCCTATGTTTTAACACTTATGAGGGAAGTCAAAAACAGGAATCCATTAGCAAATTTCAAAATTCATTGGCAACATCTCAGGAAATAAGATTCAGCTGATTTTACATAGGTATTTCACCGTGATCGTTTTACTCTCCTGGTCAAACTTTATAAATTCTTGAAGATAAATTTCTGTGACGTCATCACTCTATTAGAGCTATTCGATGTGCAACAACAACAACAACAGCAAAGTTTACAAAAATGGCATGAAAAATTTGGTCTGTTTTTTATGGAGAAAACGTCTACGCTTTTATATTTTTCCCCATAACAAATAGCTTAAGATTTGATCTTATCAAAAGCAATCTTCCAGATTATTGGAAAATGGAGAAACTACGGACGGTGTAGCAAATGCTTTTAAATATTAGTTTACCCATATGGTTAAAATTCTTAGTTTTCTTATTCATTATTCCGAGGTCAAGCAATATCAGCCCCAAAACATGTTTCTGCATCTTTGTATGTTATAGCAATAAATCGGTGACATATTTCGAAAATAGAAAACCACCATCAACATTAACAAAGAAGATTGCATTCACAAAAGGTATTAGAAAAACGGCTATTATTTTGCTGATTTCTACAGAAAGCTAACATTTGAAAAAATTGGACTCAGTTTTCAAAATCGTACTTAATAAATCAAAACATTTCGCCTTCCAATATGTTCCTTTTAATAATATTTTAGATGATGTCTCGAAGATGTCAAAATACGTTTTCATCAAACGCAGTATCAACTGCAAATCAGCCAATTTTCATGTTCAGTGGCTTTTCTTATAATGGCAATGCTCTTATTTGTTAACCTAAAGTTCTCATATATGTTCCAAACAACTAAACATTAACTCCATCTCACCTTTGCACCAATATTTCGTGCAAGATGAACAACAGACAAGCCAAAACCCTAAAATAAAAGGAAAATGGGGTGAGAGAATGCAGCATCGTGACAGAGAGCTTTGGGCCCCTTCGCAAGTGATGAGATTTCGCCAGCCCCCACCTGTTCTTGAGTAACATAGCTACATATGAGCGTTACGTAGCAAGCGTTCTATGCCTTTTTCGGTGATTATTTAATGATGTGTAGATCATACCATTGTTATGCCACAAATAGAGGATTAATTTGTTGGTGGTAGCAAAATGACGGACACAACAGTGTTAAATGAATGAAATCATTATTAACGTTTCGTCCTTCGTCGTATAAAATAAATTTTCAGGCAACGATAAGTAATTTTACAGAGTTTCTTATCCTTCACATTGTTTCTTTCAATTCAGGGGGTATCGCGAGTTCTAAAGACTAATCCTCTAAAACACTGACGGTTGAGAAGTTAGTCAAATGAAATCGGATCTTTTTTATCATGGATCTACTTACTGAGAGCCTTCACTATAGATAAAAAATACATTTAAGTGTCACATTAAATGTGTCACATTTAAGCTAGTACGAAACTATTTACGGCATTGAGTATGTAGCAAAAAATTAAAAACGAGAAACCTTGGAAATAATTGGTTAGAATGAATGCAACAAAGCTATCAGTAATGTAGCCTAACATTGAAGAAGCTAACTAATTCCGTGATTCTCTTTTCTCTTGCATTTTTAATCGCAAATGGCTGAGCGCATATTATAACAAATAGCAGATAAGTTCAATGACGACAAGATACAGTGTCTGTAAACTATCGCGTTGAGTGATCAGATTGCTTTAGCGTGGTCTTTCTTGTGAACAGATTTATATGTAGGCATGTTATGTTGGAAATGACCAGCTTTGTGTTGTCTTGCAGGGCCTAGGTACCGAAGCATTTGTTGTCTACCTATAGAGTCTACTTATAGAGTTAAAAATGATGGATAATAAACACCACTATGTGAAGCAGATAAAATATTTTCTTATGAACAAAATTTGACATCTGTAGGCTTGATTACTCTATGGCTATTTTATAATTGCACTTAGCTGTTATTATTATATTACATATAGTCTTATTTTTATTTCTTTCTACCTTATTTTATTCTTATTATATCTTACTGTTATCATTCAAACATTCAAATTGTCATTATAAACGCGTCAATTTGGATACATGGCTCGATAGCTTGCCCAAAGTTCTTTCCATGTGTCCATCAGCCTAAAATTGTTTAATTCTCATTGCTCAATTATAAAATATTGCGGTTGACCATTCATTGTTATTTAGCCAAATTAACTTGGATATTGTATATTTAGTATAAGTATGTTAACCAGTATATTGTAATTAATCAATTTATGTTGAAAAAAATATTTTGAGTTTGAGTCTTTGAGTTTGTTGACCGGTACGAATCACTACTTTCTGTTTTACGAATATAATTTTTTCTTGACACAATTTATTTACTCAAATATGATCATTCTCGTTTTGCAAATTTCGTTTCAGAGAATATTATATGCTTTGGCAATGGAGCTAGTAGCGAAGGTAAGTGAAATTGAGCCTATTTGTTGTTGATCTTTTACAGATGTCCTGCAATCATTCATTCAATTTATGCTATCGTTATCAACACGTTCTTCCTTCCAAACATACAAGGCTTCCCCTATCAATTTCACTTGTACCTTGTAACGATATGATACATTTTGTAAGCTAATCTGCTATGAATATTTAATTATCTACTTGATTATTAAGAGAAGTCAGCTTCAACTTACGTCACATACCAAAACGGAGGAGGAGCTACAGCCTGTGTGACGCAGGCTACAATATCAGATTCTTTCAACAGCATAACTTCCTACAGAATCTTTTACCTTTAAGGAGCTCCTAAAAGATAAGGTATATAGCTAGGTATGCTTAGGCAACATATAGATCCCAATAGGTACTTACTGATGCACCATTACAAAGCAGTATCGTGTCGCCAAATGAAATTTTTGCCAAGTAGTGCAATGCTGTGTAAGCTTTAACTGCATCCTTCAAAACAGATACCGCATCTTCGTCAGTAACGCTTACTGGCTTTGACACTGAAACGTAAAAGGAAAACAGCTTGAACACAACACTGTAGCACAGTAGCGGAGGCAGGCACGTATAACCCACGCGAAAAGTTAAGGTAGGAACACTTTCTTCAATCTTCAATCGTTTACTCCTAAAGGCTTTACAACCAATCTGGAGTATTTACTCAAGGAGCATTAAAAAAAGGAAAATTAACTCAGAAGATTAATACCATTTCTACCCAGCGCTCCAGTTTGTTCATTTATGGAGACGTTAACTGGAGCACACCTTGACCTCATCAATTTTCAAATGAATGCTTCACAAAACACAGTCATCTTTTACTTAATGGTCTTCAAATACAGTCAAAGTGAGACGCCATAAAAAATCTACTTTTATGTTCATCAAATGAAATTTTATCTTTCGATTCCAGATGTTGTAGATTTTGATTTCACTAGGGGTTCCCTTTTAGCTAAATTCCATCATTTACATTTTGGTGTTAAAGTCAATGTTTCAATTCTTGTTTTAATGTGCTGCTTTTGATGCCTTTGGAAAGAATAGGGAAGTAGGAGTTCTGAAGTTTGGGTTCTTGCACTAAAGCCCTGGATTCAGACAAGTGTATTGAAATGCACAGAGTAGTGCATATTGTCTCTTTTTGGAATTCTCTTGCCACGAAGTTTCTTCTCCGATCCCTCCCTTCCCTTTTGTATAAAGTAAAGTATATTTCTTCGAATCCGTGATGTTGCTATTAGTCTCTTAGGGGTTCAATTACATAGAGAGAGACTTTTCGCAGCTTTTCTTCCTTGACTTGGCTGCTTCTCTTCCCCTTACCTACTTTATATATCTAAGGTAGGACTGGTGCATCGGCTCTCTGGTGGAAGAAGTAAACCTTTTCTTGTCCAATTCCTGCCCAAAATTCTAAGTTCCTTCATAACTTGAATCCCTCAAGTTATATTTTAAGGTTAAGGGTTTTCTGTGGATTGGGTGGAGCGACTTGTGCAGATGCACCAACGGCCAATCGTCGTCTCCTATGAGTAGGGAATAGCCTCAAATCCTGCTTTGATGAGGAATGTGGCAATGTTTTCTAAGGGAGCTATTTTACATAAATTCAAAGACTTCCTTCGTTGATATTTCTTCGCAGAGTAATAATCTAAAGAATTCTTAACTTATGATCACTTAACCTGAACAAGCATATAACTGGTTTGCATATTAAGAGGGAACACATATGATGGTCTTTTAGGTTCTGTGAATCAAATCACAAAATTTTAAAAACAGGTTTTTCGATGTGTTCACTTTGGAAAATCTATTGACGACACCTACGATATTAACCTGATAAATGTCAATCATACAGCAAAGACAATGATGTAGTGCTGCTTAGAAAAGGGCATTAGCTTTGCTGCACAAATATCATGAAGTCCTTATCATTCAAACTCTATCATATGGCTCATCGTTAGCAATGAGACTTTAAGAGACTGAAAAACCATATTTAGACATACTAATCACATGCAAAATTGAAAGAAATCATAGCAGGGCTGGCACACATAGAACTTTTTTAAGGGAAACAAACTTCATGTCTAAATGGTAACTGAGCACAAATAATTACAAAACTACAAACACATGGAAAAATAATTTCATATACAAGCAAGAACATCTTACCAACATCAAACTGGGAAAGCACACAGACTTTGGCACATCCAGATGAATTAACATCAGGGGGAACAATTCCTTAAAAACAAATTGCTAGTTAAAGATAAATTGCAGGTGAATACTTAGTTTTCAAAAGAAGAATAATATAGTTCACATGTTTAGAAAATCTTTTAAATATAGTTGAATTATTTTCAATTTTTTAGACTGAATGCTCTCTTACCAAAATCAAAATTTAAGCACCAATGCTACTTTTAACTGAAGAGTAGAAAACATTTAAACTTTCTGGCATGATGGATATAAAAAAACTTTATCAAATGGATCAGCTAAGTTTTTCAAATCCCCTTCAAAACTTTTGGAAGATGGCTTGGGAGTCAGTTTTGAAAAATCAGTTTAGATTTTGCCAGTATTACAAAAAGAGAAAATACCAGCACAAATTCAACTCCTCAAGAGAATTGCACCTCCTCAGAAGATCAGTCATCCAAATTTCTTCCAGTGCTGCAATTTTTCAATGCTTTTTACTTGAAAACTATGATTTTTATATACATCATAATTCAAAATTTACCAAAATGTAGGAACTCAAATTGCTCATGGTACCAACTGCCATTTAAATTTATTACTAAGACTGGATTTGTTGCCTTCTCATATTACTGGAAACCTGAACTGCATAAAAATAATAAAGGAAATAGAAACATGTGTATGACGGACATGAACCTAAAATTTTGAACACACTGTAAGTTGAAGACAACAAAAGTTAAAAGTAAAATAATCTTAGGAAAGCTACGACATTTTTTGTGACAAACCTACAACTTCATCACCAACTTTAAACCTTGAGACTGATTTGCCAACTAAAATGTAAAGAAGGATTTCTGAGGATGTGAAACTTGACATTGAAAAACAAAATTAAATATGCAATAGTTTTCAACACCAAGCCAGACAGAATAGAAAATAGAACACAACACAATATCTAACACAAAGCCTTTTTTACAAAATTCTATCTAATCAACAAAAGAATATTGATTTATTTATATAGATTTGCAAAGATTTATAAATCAATTTTTCGAGTACTGAAAAATTTACTAAAATGATTAAAAAATGGAATGTCATTTGGTTTTCAAGTTGAAAAATTGATGTTTTAGCATGCTGTGCAGCCATTCATGATAAAACTTAATATTAAAACATTGAAATACTGTATCAATACTTGAAAATAAAAGCGGGGAAAGAAAATTATCCTTATTTAATATAGAAGAAAATTTAATAGAAAACTTGGCAAATACCCTCAATAATTTTGCCAGATATGTCACTTCCAACAGGAAACACTCCAACACTTGGATCTTTTTGTTGATTCAATAACTATTCATAAATCAGAAGGCATTGCAAGCTAAAACCTGATGTTTTGTATGCAAATAGATTCTAGCACACTTGTGTGTTCCCTGATTTAAGATTTGGTAAAACAACACCTCAGTGATTATTGATTCATTTCCATACTAAGTACATTATGGCACAAAAAGGTGATAGCAATTATAGTTATATTTCATTCAAAATGAAAGCAACTATAAACCATTTCAAGATTTTTAATATCAATGTATCTTTAATGGAAATCAAACAGAGGCTAAAGCGCATTCAACCCTTCCTTTTGGAGCTAATATTTTCCATAGCCATTTGAAATAAATTCCCTAGCATTTCAAAATCAAGACTGATGTTCAGGTTGAAATATCTTACTTGGTTATCATTTCTGCAAAGACAACAAGCATAAACTTGAATGGCTATATTGTCTTCTTCTAGAGCAGGGCATTGGAACTGCAAAATATATAGAATGTATCATTCATAAACCTGGTAATAAGGAAACTAAAATACTCATCCAGTAAAGCAATAGGTGAAACATATGAAGCAATCACACAGGCATTAAGCTTTTGATTAAAAACAATCTCAAATCACTGTAAACTGAGACTTTATCATAATTTGATCCAAACCCAGGGCATATTCTGTGTTAAACTTACAATGGAAGTCTAAATCTTTCAAGCACCTTATTTCCTAGCACAAGGCCATGGTTCGCTTTCTACAGCCCTGATTTGACTCTGGGTGAAATTACCATTTTATTTGGTCAATTGATATGGAAACCAAATCCACTCACATCATTCACAAGTTCATATTTTTCAGACACCTTCCCTTCATTGCTTGATTTCTTCAACACCAAGGCTGTTGTAGTTATTGATGTCATATCAGTTCATCTGGAAAATAACAACTCTGTAAAAATGCTGATTACCTTCTACACATGCTGTTACTAACAACTAGTAAACCCAGTACCCTACAGTGCAAATTTCTGAGATGCCAAGTATATGGCTGCAGAGCTACACCATAGAAAACACCAATGCTAACACATAAACAGAAATAGATCCATAAATGGCATGCATCGTTTTTTGCTGAGGTCTCAGGTGATTTATGAAGTTCTTCTTTTGTTTAAGTCAGAATTTGTTGCTTTGATGCACTTGTTGCTAACAACCTATACAGCTAGATTTCAAAAGATATTTATAGCTTTGCATCAATGCACTGGAATTTGTTTTATTCGCTTAAAGGAGAACTGACACGCAAAAATAAGTTTGGCTAAAACGGTAGTTTGTGACAAGCAAATTCCAGGATCGAAAATTTTTTTTAAATCACAGTTACTGTTTTTGAAATACAGGCGTTTCAAGTTGAGAAACGACAATTGTTCCGACAACTTGAGACTCGAGGCGAAAATCGTCACGAGTGGGCGATCATCTTTGACGTCGCAAGTGACATGTTCTCAGCACGTATTGTATTTCTCTATAGAAACCTTTAAGAAAATGCTGCGGACAAATGTTTATTTTGTGCATGTGAAAGGAGCTAATTTTGCATTTTTGACACATAATTGACTTTTTCAATGGTTTGGGACTCTGAATCGGAGTTTTATTACACTGATTTCGAAACAAATGGAAAATTTCAGCCTTCTGAGTTTTTGCTACCAACCAGCGCTGCCGCTTGGGCAGACAGTTGTCCCATGGATCAACATTGACGATGTTATGAACAAAAAACAGACTGGAAGTACAAACTGGTATGGAATTTCTATTAAAAACAATGCTATTGCTACAATCTAAATGAGATCAGGTATCCTAAATCTAGAATTCATTTCAGATTGAGGCATCTTTGGCCAGACTGCTTTGTCTGTATGGCCTAATTCGCTGAAATGCCTATGATGCCCTAAACGTAACTGCAAGTTATTCATTATCAATGTGACATTCTATTATTGTTTTTCAATGCTTCAAACGCATTAACTGTATCGTGATATTAAATAGTAAAGGCGGGTTAAAAGTCGACTTGTGCGGATTATATGCCATTTTCACCGGGCGTGAAGGGTTTCGGGAACTGATAAGTTACCTGGCAGTTAAAAAATCTGGAGTTACGAAATAGGCTCTTAGCTCTTAGTCAAAGAACTTGATTTCTTAGTCGAAGAAAATGCTGTTTAGCTGTCATAGAAATATCAACTGGCGAATTATCTTCTTTTGCAAACAATTTTGACTTGGCTGGGGGATGGTCTTTTTGCAAGACTATGTTATTCCCTAGTATCTCAACCTATGTTAAAATACAATAATCAAGTTCAGTGAAATTATTATTTAGTCACACTCGCAGCTCCCATCAACCAAGGTTTTTTCTTGAATTCATATTTCTGCACTTAAAGCAGGTTGCAGGATCGCTTTTACCGCTGTCCCCACTGGATTTCGTTTGTCTTTGGCTATTGTTTCAACCCACCCCCCACCCCCATTTTGCGATTTTATTTGTAATTATAAAAATAAAAACTTTGAAGAAACGGTATCAGTTTTCAAACAAAGTCGACTCCTTTTTTCACAAGCTTAGAGGTTCTTTCAATGTTTCAAAGCATGCTGGTTTGAAGATATCATGGCATAAAAATAAATTTTATGTGGATATTAGCGTCCTAGCAGACATGTAGCTAGGATTTTCTAGCTTCTTTATACTTATAAATGAAATGCCTGACAATTTTTTGCCTTTTCACCGCGGACTATTTTCAATAAAACACGAAACTTCATTTGTACTTTCACCGTTGCGGTGAAAGCCTTTACAACGGCATTGTTAACATGTCACTTGTGACGTCAACCGAGAATTTTAACAACTCCTGGCGATAATCTTATTTCCGCTTCGGGAAATTCCCGAGTCCTGGCTGTGACGTAATTGGCGGATAAAAGTGTAAATATCAGAAAAACGGCGAATCTAAGAAGAAAACTTTTTCCAGATTTGAAATCAGCGACAAATTCTGCATCGAATAAGCCAAAGTTATTTTTGCGTGTCAGTTCTCCTTTAAAGGCAGTCAGTCCCCTCAATGATTGGCAAATATGATTGATAGCTTACCCCACCTTAACAGATTAAGCTGCTTGTTTTGCCTGGCCTAGCTGCAGGAGTGAACAGCATTTGAAACTGCGAGAAAAAAGTTTTTCAGAAGTGGCAAAAAGACTGTAATTACTGGAATTGAATTATGATAATGGAAGCATTTCTTTTCCTTGTGGAATCAAAGTTGTCTCTGATTGTTTTAAATAATTAATTATCGATCAAGCTCAATGGGGCGTCAATTTCACTGTGTGAAAATAAGGTTGAGCACAATAGACGACTGAGACTGCATTTAATAACAGAAGCAAAAGCAACTCATCTACACGGAAGCTGCACATATATTTTGGTACTATTTATCACATCCGCGCACAATTTGTATCAGAATTTGTTTTTGCCATGCAAAACACAGATAAAACACAGTCTGGAGGATTCAGGATGGTGCAGTTGGTATTGGATTGGCAAAAGTCAGTTGATGTTCTAGTACTAGCGGTTTTGTTAATCTATTCACCACAAGCTGTTCAATCATTTATCATTCAGAACTACATAGATCACATCCACAAGATAAAGAAAATGTTCTTCTCTTTTCTGTGTTTTGACCACAAGGTAGAAACATTAAAACAGCTGCTCGTATCTTGTATCAAAACTTCAAGGATAACTCGTAGATGATTAGGATGTAAGTTGGAGAAATTAAGACACAACACAATATTTTACTGAAAAACAACATTGGGACAATTAAAGAAACCTCTGATCTAAATAATAATGCTTTGAAATGTACAAACAATAATGATGGCAAAGACTGGCTCTTGCAAAAACATTTCAAAAACTGTAGCAAGAAGTGAAAACTATCAGATCTATGGTAGTAAAACGGGGCTGATGGTAGTAAAATTGGGTAACAGAGGAACCCAATAGACGTTTTTTTACCTCAAAGACTCTACAGCATCAACCATTGAAGCTTCCTGTTTTTGCTAGGACTGTTTGCCTCGTTTCAGCTTGTGCCTCTTTTTGAATTCTCATTCCTGCAGAGCAAGCAAATCAAGAATTTGATTTGTGCTGGGGATGTTTTGTCGTTTTCCTGCTACCTTCGCGGCACAAGAGCGTGTTTAATTTTGCTAGAAATCTAGGTAGAAACGATGGACAGGATAAAGAAAACACTCGGGGTCCAGCCAGATGCAGAGGAGCAGGGCATTGTCGCTGAGGTACTTATTTCCTTGTTCAGTGAATGAGCATTAGATTTAAAATAGAGTCACAAGAAAAGATTTCATGCTAATCCCGACCCGATACTTATTGTCAAATTAAAGGGCCTACCTTTTTATTATGAATGTCTTATATAGGCCCTTTATATATAAATGCAGCCAGAGTCAGGTACCACACGATAAACCTAACAAACGGCTCTTTGCTCTTTTTGACCATCTGCAGCATGAATAGAAATGAGTGGCTGCCTGTCTGGCAGTATATAAAGTCAAGTGTACCCGTCATGGAACAGGGGATTTTAAAGGTGAAATTGAAAAATTTTAAAGGAATTTTAAAGGAAAAGCCAAGCACTTGTGTTACAACTTCTCTACACAAATTTTACAGCAACAAAGGTGTTATTCACAGGATGAAAAGAACGCAAAAGTCACAAGTAAAAGAAAATGAACTTTAAAGATAGGGTTTAATTAAAAGGATGGGCTACCACAGGCAATTCTGCTCATTTATTTTTTGTGTTTTGGGAATTTATACTTTCGGGTAAAATTTGTTGTAGACTATCCATACTGTAAGCAGTGCCAGCTGCCTCTTCCCAGGGACCATGCACCAGTCTAAATGTGGGAGGGCTGAATAGTGTGTGACCGAAAGATTTCTAGGCCATGCCCTCTAAAACACCAGAAAACGCCCCTTTCAGAAAATGCTTGCTTCTTTCTACTGAAGTTTTATCTACAGTCTGGTTTAAGAAAAGATTTCAATAGCTTCAAAAATAGATAAAATTAGTTTGGGGATAATAAAACATCAAGAAAATTACCTAGAAAATGAACAAAAATGGTTTCTAGTCAAGAAGAGCTGCTACTACTTAGGAGTATACTATCCAATGTTCCTTAAAGCACAGTTAGAGTAAACTTTTCAAAAAAAAATTTCTAACTTATTATTGCAAGCAAGTGGAGGGGCTATAACCCCTGCTAGCCCAATGGCAGCGCAGTGTCTGCCTCTTCCCCTGTGCAGTCTTTTACCCTTACTGCTGACTACTAACCCCTTTTATGAGTGAACCAATGGGGCAGGTGCTGATCACAAGAAGTAAAACTGGAAAAAATCTCATTGGCACTACAAAAATGGAGCAATGGCATACAAGCACTAGGCACTAGTGTGAAACATGGGATATTAAGCAAATAAATGAGGGAAAAATTCTGACTAGAGTAATTTAATAGCAAGATGCAACAGAGTGTCATACTAGAGGCTACTATACTCTATTCTGTGCTGAGATTTAGCTTTGCCATGCAAAGTTGAAATTGGTATGCTTCACTGTCTCCCTATAGAGTTATCCCTCTAGTGTCTATTCACCTCATTGGAGAGTTAAAAGCCATCTCAAACAAGTGGGCAAAGAAATGGACTGCTAGTCTCTTAGCTTAAGGCTGAAAAAGATTTTGCCTGATTTTATTCCTTTATATAATAAAAGAGATTCTATCAAATTTTATTTTGAGAATTTGCATTAAATTGGCCTTAAAACATTCCTATCTATGAACATTTTTGTTGAACACAGCCATCCCCATCTTCTAAGCAATTATACTTAACTCTTTAGCATGGCAGATTTCTAAATGTAAGTACTTCTAAATGAGACTTTCCAAAACACAAAAATACCTTTTTTAGGACACTCCTCTGTTTCAGATCAATGAAGCAACAACAATGAGTTGGACAACCAGACTGAAGTGCTTTGTGGCTTGTTTCTGCCTTGGTGTTTTCTTTTCTGTTATAGTGAGTATTTTTGGAGAAGCCAATCTTTGAATATTTATGTCCTGGAAGAATAGGCTACTTGAGACCACTTACTGTAATGTATTTCTCAAAATTTTAAAGGCATCTAGAATTTTCTCTCTTTTTCCATTGATTTCCAAATGCAAAACTATGGCACCAAAGCAGAAAAAAAGGAGCTAAAATATGCTAGAGGGAAGAGGAGCTGGATAGAATATGCTATTTACCTATGAGTTATATATACTATATAATATGCATTTTAGAGAAATTTTATTTATAGATTACAATAGAGGCTAACATTTAAAGGAATTTCTGCCACTAAGCTCATCTAGATAGAAAATTTCAAAACAAAATCATCAATTGTCAGCAATAAAAGAAAAAGATTGGCAGTTGATGAAAAATATCGCAATCAAATTATAAAGTTTTTCATGATATAAATTGGCTCTTCACTATATCTCAAACTCAATGTAATTTAGCAAATTGCTTACCTATATAATATTTCTTGATTATATGAAGATGAAAACAGGATCAGTATATTTTGAAAATTGATGCACAAGTTCAATTATTTATTCAGCAAAAGATAAATTTTTGAGCAAATTATTAAAAATTCTGAAGCATTCAGATAAATCATTCATTTCAATTTTATTACAGGGTACAATATTGCTGTGGAGGAATCTGAAAATGTTTGCTGTATTTTACACTCTTGGAAATGTTACATCTCTTGCAAGGTATCAGTGATATTTTAGATAAAAAGAAGATCTGTACAATGAACTTTTATAGATTTTATGGAAAGAAAAGTTGTCAAACTCCTACTTTAAATATATATATATTCTATTCAAGCAAATTATAAGGATTAATATGTCAGAAGGAAGATGCACAGGAGTAGGGTCTCTACAAGATTCTATGAATTTGCAATGAGTAATGCAAAAGTAATGAGCTGGATGTACCCCTTTATGCCAGAGCGAAGTATTACACTGATGAACCCCTTTATGCCAGAGCGAAGTAATAGTTTAAAGTCTCATTTATTGGATTCCTGTGATCATTTAGTTTTGTTTCTGTTCATTATATTTTAGAATAACAAGTTGCTTAAATATTTCTGCACTAAAACAGCCACCAATTTAAAAGTTTTTCCATTCCAAAGGATATTTGTTTAACCTCTTGTATTGATATGGTATAATTTTCCTTTTTCAGTACATGCTTTTTGCTTGGACCTGTCAAACAGTTAAAGAATATGTTTAAAGAGAAAAGATTAATTGCAACGATAATTATGCTGGTTCGTAAATATATTCTTTTACATTAGACTTATATTAAATATATACTTTAAATATTTTTATCATTGAATAACTCTTTATTAAAAAACTGATAAAAATATTTTAATATACAGGCACAAAAGGTTGCATATATTTTTTTGGTATTTTGATGAAAGCAAATGCATTTACTCAATATTAATGAAAATGAGATGACCTTTTTCTTGTTTTCTAGGTTTCTTTGGCTCTCACACTTTGTGCAGCACTATGGGTTTGTTCCCAGCAGATATTTATTTTTCATTTTGTTTTTCTATTGTTATTGCTCATTTTAGATTCATTGAGATTTCTAACACATAAATACAAAACACGAGCAAACAACTTGATAACATGTCACCTTCATGAAATATAGCGTTTTTTAATCTTGATTTCAAACTGAATCTTAATTTCAGAATTATTTAATCTGAATATTACCTTGCAGTGGAAGAAAAACGGACTAGCATTGTTATTCTGTATTATACAGTACTTGGCAATGACTTGGTGAGTAGCTTTTTAACAAGTGTAGTTTTCAGGATATGGATTAAGAAATACTTATAAATTGTTTATAAATCTGTGTTTATAGATAAATCAACTTTAAATGGAAATTTCATTGAAACAAGATGAACATACTGTATTAAAGTTCTTATCAAAATCGAATTTCTCTATAACTATGTGAGAATGAATCTCAATTTGTCAGTAATATTAAATCAATAACCTTGTTGTTCTTATCCTTATTTTATATTTCTGCAGGTATTGCCTGTCTTACATTCCATTTGCCAGGTATGATACAGCCTAATTTATTGTAAACCCAACTGTCTTCAAATTTGAGATCCATATTATTTACCCATCCTAAGCTTTGTATGTATTGTTTTATTTATTGCAGTGCAATTACCACCTTTCTATTAATAATGTATAGGGCAGGATGGTTCCAAGTTGCTGATTTAGCCTGATGATTGCATTAATTGTGAAACTTGGAGTAGCAACTTAGAACCCTCCTGCTCTTACCAATAGCCAGTGGTGGACACCTGGTGGTCACCCCCCTCCCAATCTTTTGGATGACAATGCTCTTTTGTTCTAAAACAAGGGTAAAATGTGACATCATCTTGTCAAAACAATTGGCCTGCCCCCAATATTTGACCAAGGGCCTGCCTCTGCAAATAGCACATACAGATCTACCTAAACAGCATCAAACACTTAAGACAGTAAACAGACATTTTCATTACTTTTACATATACATACATACTCTGAAGCAAAGTTATGAAGCAATAAGCCTTTTTGATAGTACACATGAGCATTTTCGTTTGAAATTACTTGAAATGCCTTTTTATTGATAATTTTTCTTTGATGTAAATAAAACGATCGCTTAAAAATCTGTTTTTTTAAGTCAGCCTAATTTTTGTCCTATTTTCAGAAATGCTGTCAAGCGGATATTTTCATCATGTTTGTCCTAAAGTAGACAAATGAACAGACTCTTATAGCTAGAAACGAGATTACCCATGCTCTCTACTTTAAGGGTAAAATTATTTCAACTTTTCCATTTTGCAATCTGGTAAGCAATCTGGTAAAGATGTTACAATTTGCTACAATATATTTAAACTTGACAATTAATTGCTGCGTAATTTAAATCCACTTTTGTTGGTTTTTCTCTTTGTTAGCATTTTGGGTTATTTTTAAGGCTCTTCTGTAAAATGCTTCAGGAAAGGCAGAGTCAAGAAAAGTGTCATTCTTCCAGTTCTTCACCATGTGACCACCAATTCTTTCTTGACTCTGCATGAATGAAACCCAATCTCTTGTTATTTATGGCCATGGTATTTTTGTATTAAGAAGCTTAAAGTCAAATGTAGCAATTTGGGTAAACCCATCATTATAACCGCCTTTAAACTACATACTTTTGATTTTTAAGTTCAGAAGCAGTGTTCTGTTTTAATAAAAAATCATAAGCTGATAGAATAAAATGATTCTCTAAAACTTTTGTCATGATTTCTTGATTAACCTGGCTGAGGATTTTAGGAAGCCTTTCTTGAAGATTAATTAGCTTGTCGCAAAAGTAATAACGCTCGTTGCAAGCGGTGTAAATAGTTGCTTTTCTTGATAAGACGTAACTTAATTGCTTACTAAACACGGAAATAGTTGACAGTTGCCTTTCTGCTTTTGAGAACGTAGAGTAAAGATATTGAAAAAGAGGGTCGTAAGTACTATTGTGTTTTAAAGGGCTTGTGTCCTTCCAAAAGTTTCCAATGGACAACCCCTTTTTTCAATTTTGCAAACAATAGTGCCCCCCCCCAATAATTCTGTTCTTCCTACGGTACTAGAATAAGTGCGTATAATTTGGCTTGTATCTAATGGAAAGGAATGCCTATCGCGACTTTTCCTCCAGTAAAAGTTTCTTCATCCTTTCTTCGAAGAAAGCTCCCCTTGTTGAAAAATCCAACAACAATTTACTGTCTGTAGGAAATAAAAACACGAAGCACAAATTCGCGCTTTATAGGTTCTGTTAATACCTTAGTTAAGGAGCCTGGCTAAAAACCCAACAAACCAGACATTCGATATTTTGTAGTCATTTATTGACATCGTGTAGAAACTTCAAAATATCTTTGCTTTTTTCATATTTCCATATAAGTGGCTATCCCGAACCTCAATTAATGCTGCAATTGGAAGAAATAGTTGTAACATATTCTATCACATGTTTTACTTGATTTGAATAATCGCTATAAATAGATCACATAGCAGTTTCAGAATTGTATTTCTCTTCCTTTTCACAACTCCTGTTCATTCTTTGTTTAAATCTCAATAGTTCTAGATTTCATATCAATTCTTTCGTGTTATCTTCTCAAATTTATTTCACGCGTTTACAGCCTTGCAACTGTCTTCGAGACGTTTTTCAATTTAAAAATACTATCTAGAAAAGTTTCGATCTCAAAAGGAATTAAGTAAGAAAAGCTTTTACTTGCATAAATATTTTGTAGCTCTTATATTTGCATATTGGGTAGTGAAATACGAATAACGGCAAAAGACGCCAAATCTAAGAAACAAATTGAATAGAAAGGGTTGTGTTTTTATGTCATTCAAACGCGGTTTTCTGGTGTTTAATGCGGTTCTGTGAAAAACAATGAAACATGGATGCACAATTTCGCAAAGTACAAAAATCGCGCATTAATCATAGAAAAATAAAATAAAGAACTAAGATAGTCTAACTAAAACCCCTCGATTTACCTCTCGACTTTTCGCATCCCGATTCTCGGCGGAACGGGCTCTGTTGTCCGAAACAAGACCACCTTTGACAAGAGCAAGTCTTGATGTGGCGAATTAGCCGTCGCTTCTACATTTTTACCTTGTTTTAGTACTGTTTCTAGCCACTTTTCAGTTACAGCGCAGCCATTTTAGCGTTTAAAATTGATGTCCATCCAGCATGAAAAGGGGTTATTCGTTTTAAGTTTTCGCAAAAACTTACTTTGATATATAAGTTCATTCGATATATTTGAGATATATAAAGTCTTCCGCAAACCCCCTACTCCTCCAGTGAAATTATGTTTTGCCTTTTTTGCTTCTATTAAGGAAAGAGATTACTTCTATTAATGCTCCAGATTGGTTGTATAGCCTTTAGGAGTTAACGATTGAAGATTGAAGATACTAAAATTTCTTGGCCAGGGGCTTTGCTGTAAGATAATAACATAATATAGCAATTATTATACAACAGTGGCCTTTAAAACGTATCCTATTATCTCTGTATTTGTCGAATAATTGTGAATTTGGGCCCTTTTCCCTAAAAAAACTGAATTTCTGCCAGTTGATGTTCAAATTTGCTTGATAATCAACGCGCTTTTGAATAAAGTGCAACCCATTCAAAAGGATAAGCTTTTATGTATTGATTCATTCACTATTAACAACTTCGCTTAATCACGGTCAATAGGAGATGATTAAAAAATTCAAATGCTGATGTATTCAATTCTCAATTTACTACATACAGACGGGTAGGTTGGGTACAAGTCACATGATAAACATGTTTGCTGCCTACGAGAATGCCCTCGTGTTGGTGAAAGGAATATTGTGTATCTGTCTATATCTGTGTAGGTTAGATTTTAATACAGAAAATGTTTTCTTCGGACTGATGACAGCTGAAGTATTAGTAATTCTCTGCCTTTTTATGGCACATAGAAGTTTGTTTAGCCTAAGGCTAAATCTTTTATGACGATTTGCCATTAAAGATTGATGAATCCGTTAATAACAAGCCGTTTGTAGTTATTAATTCGTAATTAGCAGGAAGGTTCCTATTGCGGGTTTTCCAATTGTTTCATTTTCCAGTTCTTCTGTAAAGTTGACCAAAGCTGAAGAAAACCATCTGGATTCTCAAGGAGGAAGCAAGACGTAAAGAAAGTTAAGAAGTCAGACAAAACAAGTATCGATTCGCTCACAAAAGCATCGCCACCCGTCTTCAGCACTAACGCCCTCTGATAAATTCAACAATACTAATTGCGCACATGATTCATTTAGAACGTGATGTCATGTTCAAGGAATTGGGCTTTGGTATAACAGGAGATTGTTTGAATAGCTGTTTCATAACTCTGAGAGCTTAGCAAGACGATACAACAGCCAGAAAGAAATTATCCATGTGGTATCGAGAAAACACAGAACGACGAAATGAAGAAGGGAATTCAAGGATTTCATTTAAAAGTGTTTGCGGAAGAATCTGACAGATTGTTTATTGATCCTAAAAGGCCTGTTAAAGGTGCTGTGAGGCTGAAATTGATAAGAGATCTGACCATACATTCGTTAATGATTGGATGGAGTACCACTTACCATTGCCAAGAGCTCGTCCAGTCCAAAACAAGGATCGGCAAACAGTTTTACATCGAAACCATACACAGCCTTATTGGTGAGATTGAGTCATCGAAACTTGATTCACTCAAAGCTGGTGACCATATTTTCGAGTTCAAGATTCCGAGCCAGGCCCACCAGTTTGAAAAGAACGAGAATGTTTCCAACTCTACAACATTGCTGTCTTGGCATAACCTGAAAGCAGCGCTAGTGGACAAGCAAGGGGTCATATGGTATGCTGATGTGGTCATCTGTGACCATAACAAAGATCCTTCAAACGAATTGACAGCAAATATTGCTAGCGAAAATATCAATTTAATCGACAGAAGTGTTTCACCAGGCGGGAACGAAAAGAGCTGCCCGGTACACCACGGTGGCTCGTCAGAAAGTTGGGAGCCCCCCATTAGCCAAAAAGACATGATGAATCGTAACTTAGATCTCCAATGCAGACTGTTTTGCCCTTATTACAAGCAGGGGGAGGCTGTAACCTTCACTGTGCAATGTAGGAATAGTTCAAACAAAGGATATAGACACCTTTGTGCAGTGCTTGTAGAAAGAAGTTCTGCCGATGAGAAAAACCAGCACGGTAAATCCAAAGTCATTTCGTCAATTACTGGTCCTTCAGTGGCACCAAAAGAAATCGTTATCTGGAACAGTCAACTACCGTCACCAGCCCCTTCTGAGGAAAGTGCCGGGCGGTGGTACACGTTAAAAGTGGAGCTTAAAAGCAGGTTTTCAACAAAAAAGACTTACAGGGTTCCAGTTGTTATCATGGATCACCCATTGACACCGATGTAAGACGCGGACGCCTCAAAATATAATACATAAGTGGGAAATCGAACGATAACAAAGTTAGCCAATAATACCTTTGAAGCGTAGAGTTTCGTTAGGATTAGTAAAACTCTTATCTAGATATTTGGCAGTTGGTTGGGCTGTGTTTGAAAGCCACTCCCACCACCCAGGAAAAAATTCGTGGCCTGCTTCTACGAGAAGCAAATACTCCTTTCGCAGCTTGCACGGTGGTAAGCAGATCAAGTATCGGGAAACCTCCCGTATACAAATATGCACACAGAGAAAATGTTTGGACGTTACGAGTGTTTGAAAAAGTAGAGGGGCACGGAAATATGAGAGCTCCTTGACTTTAGGGCCCCTTTATTGCACCTTTTATCAAATAAGGGGTACCCTGACCATGGTACTTCTTTCTATAAGAGACCCAATATTCACATTTGACGGCTGGTAAGATATTATAATGTTAGATACAATAATCAGCAGTTTTACTTAAGTAAAATAGCATAAAATATTTGATGAGTCAATTTTTAGGGAATGATCTAGCTCAAATGGCACCTTATCGAAGTTTTTAAAAGGTTTGACAGCACATTGTAACGGTGCCCCACCTAAACCTAGATTTTCACTACGTTTTCAGTACAGAACTTATATCGATGCAAACATAAACTTTAAGACTGTACAGAAGAGCTGATAATTAAAATTTCGACCTACAAACAGAGTTCCTGATAGGCAATACAATAAAAATGTAGAAAAATAGAACAAAAACTCGCACTCAGCTTTTTCGGAAATATATCAATTCTATTGCATCACTGTTTTGCTCCAAACAGCTGATAACAGAGAGAATGATTTTCCTTGAAAACCATTTGTGAAAGCAAGACTCTCACAGCAATATATTCTGTTGTAGTTCGTTCAAGAATGTAGATAAAAGTTTTTAGACATAAACATGTAAGCTTGCTAACTGTAAGGAGCCTGATCGATCATTTGCGGTAAAAAGTGCACTGCAATGATAATCCCTCAGGCATACGTAAAGCTTCCAATAACATACAGCACTAACATATTTTAGCGGCGAAGGTGAAGAATCCGGTTTAGATAATCCGATTAACCTCATGTCATACACGTTGAGGAGTTTTTGATTGCATCAACGAATCGTAAGTCGCCTAGGGTCAGGGAACGCTCTCCGAGAAATATGACATCAAGCAAAACATGATGCCTCTCCGGATGTTCATGTCCGCCTATTTTAGCTATGAAAGAGCCATATGGAAATTGATAAATACAGTTGATGTGAACGTGTTTTGTTTCGTTCGGCCTTTTCTCTGCGTGGTTTAGTCTGCTTTGGAGACTCATTCCCTACAATGCGACATTGCGCTGCGTAAGCATCCCATAATGCATTTTAGCCAGTCTTAAATTAATTTTGGTTGATCCGTAAAAAATTATCGCCATCGTTTGGATCGTCGCCTGGACGATTTGTTACGCGCGCAAAGGCTCATTGTTACGTTGGCATAGGCATGCGGGACGGGGGGCTGGGAAGCTTCAGCCTCCCCCCCTCCCTCTACCCTAGATTCGGGCAGCTGATTTTTCGGGCAAAATTCGGGCAGGAGCCTTCTCCAGAAACAAAAAGTATAAAACACTACATTTTTACATGTTTAAAAGATGAAAAAATCTCAGAGATGAAGAAATCAACTGGTCGTAATCGTGGGCGCTTTGGGAAGTAATTGTAAAAATCTGTTGGATGAAAAAACACAAAAGCAACAAGAGCAGCAACAGCGCAAATAGCGCTTGAAAACATTGTCGAAGAAGTAAAAGAAAGCGGCTGTAATGCTGTCATAATTGATGAAACATCTGACACGTCAGCACGAACAAATGGCAGTTTGTGTCATTTTTGCAATGAAAGGTGTCTGAAAGGAAAATTTTGCTAAATTTTACAAAACTCAGTCTTCAGCAATTGTAGAAATTGGGCTTAAAAGCGTATGTAGAAACCTGTTGGCAAATGCTTCGACAGTCTAAAATTAATGGCAAAGCCAAGAGCTTGGCAAAGCGAATGGAGGACTGTTCTTCGCTGAGAATCTATGTCCACTGCCTTGGCCATTAGTTGAATCTTGCAGAAAGTGAGTCAATGAGAAAAGGAATTGATGTTGTTCAAGGTCTCTACAATTTAACTGAGGCGAACACCAAAAGACATGCAATTTCAAGAAAAAAGTTGAACATGAACTGTCATATAGGTAATAGGGACAAAGCGCAACGCACTGGGTTTGCCAGAGGGGGAAGGCAGTGGACAGGGCACTTCCTTTCTTTCCAAGGATAAAGCCCCCGAAACCCATCTAGAAGCCTCCCCCCCCTCCTAGGATACAAACCTCTGTTCAATTGTTTCTACAATGTCATGGATAAAGTTTTGGGAGAAATCTTTGCGCGATTTAGAGATAGTGACTATCGCATTTTAAGTGCTTTGGCGTAACGGAGGCATCTGGGGCTCTAAGCAAAAACTGTTACGAGACTTCTATTCACGGAGAGCAAGAAGGTAACATTCAATGGTATAGAGCCTGTCAAACACAATAGAGAATTATAAAAATGAGAATTATTTTCTTGAAGAACTTTCAAAGTTTTCGAAAGTTATTTGATCTTGAGCAAAGCATTAAAGATCTGGACGTAAAAGCACCTTGGCCCCTTTTGTTCGGGGGCCCTTGAATGTTTTCAAGCACTGTTTCACGACACACTAGCGTGCCTTGAGGTATTGCCTTGTATGCTGTGGAAAATTATCTAATTTCACTTAATTGATCTATAAAATTGAAAAAAATTAATAACCATCCGCATGTGCCGTAGAGAGAAAGGGTTGAAAATCGCTGAATCAAGGTACCCTAAACTGCGTTACGCTACTGGCCCGTGTTTAGGGAATGCAAGCGTGAACCCTTCGACAGAAGTCATAGTTAAAGTTTAGAGTAAACTCCGTAAAAATTTGGGCGTTATCATTTTTCGGGCAAAAAATTTCAGCCCCCCCCCCCCCTACTTGAATTCACCCCGTACGCCTATGATCTTTGGACATACGTGCTGTTTTTAACTGACATGCTTTCGAAGGAATTTGATAAATTCATACGCTGTATTTCAATGATAGACAGGACATATAGCTTGACAATCTGACATTCAAGCTAATGTTTACTTTCTCAACGGATTTTGGTAGTAGGGAGTCCAGGCTTTCATAATCTGCCAAGTGACTTTTTGGAAAATGCCTTGATGTCACGTGACTGATGACGTCATTTAACGGTAAAAAATCAGACAAAATCATCGTTAGCTCCTCACTGAAGAGTTGTTTTCTAACGCAACTTACATATTTTGACTCGTCACATTGCAAGCTTTCAAATGATATATATTTAAGCAATATTTGCCGACATCAGTATTTTCATTATGATGTCATAACAAACTTTGCATGACGTCATCAAAAATCTTATTGTCATAAAATGATACGTTAGCATAATTTTGTTTTATTATGACGCTGGATGTCAGCAAAAGCTTTTCTTCCATAATTTTTTCAATCCAAATAATTAGTGTTTAGTTCATTTAAATTGAATTTGTGCCCACCGCAATAGCCAAAGTTGAATAAGGTAGTCGTTATTATCTGACGAGTGAGTCACTTCTTCCTCCGAAGTCGCAAAGTCTTGCTCCCACTTTGAACCGGAAATTGATTCCGGACAATGATTACACTAAATCGGAAGAGTTTAATGGCAATATAGGCTATCCAAGATGTCCTACCGATGGGCTGAAGTTGAATGACTTTTTTCAATAAGGCTATCTTCTGCTGCGAAATAAGGCCATCTCATAAATATAATACTCCATCTGGCATTTTTCTGATGGTGGATTTATATATGGATTTGGCTCCTTACACATGAAATTAAGAAGAACAGCTTTATCTCCTTGTCACAGTACACCTTCAGGAGTTGCAAGACTAGAGTTATGGTTTTGATGGGATATGAAAATGCCTTTTCGATAGAGGCAGCCTTGCCAATCACGAAAGCTTGGCGGTCTTCGTTCATTATTGAGACTGCTTTCGCTGTTTTCTTGGATCTTTGTGCCCCAGAATGCAGCTTAAGTATCTGACTATACTTTCGTTGCCAGCAACAACCTACAATTCGAGCAAAATATCTCATTTCTTCGAGATATTTCGTCCATGTTAGCGCTAAGAATGCAGCTTAAGTATCTGACTATACTTTCGTTGCCAGCAACAACCTACAATTCGAGCAAAATATCTCATTTCTTCGAGATATTTCGTCCATGTTAGCGCTAGTGTCATCAGTCCGTGAGAATATTTTGTAAAAACGCCACCAGAAAACGTCAGATGGAGATTTGATGATACGGCCTTATTTCGTAGCATCAAACCCAAGGAAACATTCAGTGTTTGGTTCAAAAAGATTCATGGATGTGCTAATCCTCCTTATGAGGCTAAAGCAATGAAAGTGGAAACAAAGTCATACATACATACAAATTTATTTTATAAGGAGGTTAAAATGCTGGCAGCTTTGCAAGCTGATGTGGATCTCCTATTTAAAGAAATACAAAAAAAATTATAAAACCAAAGTAAAGACATTTAACCCATTTCCGTTGTTTCTATTAAAGTTAAAAATATATAAAATCAGAATCTTTCTTTAAAAATTGCCCCGTTTCTTAAGTAAATGAAATGGCATTTATCTTCTTTCGTTCATTTTAAGGATGTTTTTTAAACGTTTCAATGGTCGAATTCTTCTTTTCCTCGCTTAATGGATTCCACAACTTAGGACCTCTAAAGGAAATTGAGTTTCTGTCAATTTCTGTTCGGTATCTAGGAATCCTGAGTGTGTGATTCTAACTGCTGCTGTGTCTTTCCGTTTTTGATTCAAAAAGCGTATCGAAGGAAGCTGGCAGGCTTTTTAGTTTGTACTTTTGCATAAATATAAGGATTCTGTTTTTTATATTGGTAGCTTAATGAGTCCCATTTTGATGCATTCAACACCTCACTGTCTTTCACATTTGGTGGAATCCTCTAAATTACTCTTGCTGCCTGTACATGGATGTTCTCTAATTCTTCAAATAGGCTTTCGCTGCATGTACCCATGAAGCTATTGCATATGTTATGGTTGGTATTACTGTTGTGAAGTAAATTTTTTTCATGGAAATTTTGGGACAAGTATTTCAGATTTTTTAACTTATTTAGATAACAAGCTAACAAGTGGAAACAAGCTAAATATTTAGAAGCAGCACACGAGCAAGCACACGGCAAAAGAGAGTCATCAAGGCAAGTGCATATAAAAAGTGGAGAGCAAAAGATACTCCAAAGTAAGAAAAGTATTTTTACATTGATAAAAACAAAGAGAATCTTATGAGACCTGCTCCCGAATTCTTTCGAAGCGCTGAGGGTCACAGGCCCCTGACAATTCAATTCATCGTAGCTTAAGAGGGAGAAGCATCGGAGACTTCAAAAAGCAAGTAGAAGTCCCTCCAAGATGCAACCACAAAAAGGCGGAAACCAGAATATTTTGCATGGTAACTCGAAAGATGCAAAAGTAGTTGCTGTTGCAAAGGATACTGATTTATGTGCTGCTTGTTCATGCAACACAGATGTGCAAACCCACAAATTAGTGGTTTATGTGCATAAATAACAAACAAATCGTCAAGATTTGAGGCAAATCGCTGAAACTTTTGGTTCCAAAATTTGCTGTGTTTTATCACAGATTAATGGAATTGTGGGCTGAGACAACTGCATATAAGCACAACATTGATAAGGTTACTGTGAAAAAAGCTAACGAGGAACCAGAAACAATTTACGCTTAAACAAGTCATCATTAAAAGTCTCTCCGAAGGAGTTATCGCAAAAGCAAAGACATTCGCGAAACACCAGAATATAGTGGAACAACATATAAAAGCTATTTAGGGACAAAGATATTTATCAAATCTGAAAAAATCATCTGCAGCAGTTCCAGCAGATCCATAATCACTCAATCGGAGAAGAATTAAATTGTATCAACAAGGTTATTTTGGCTACACTGTTTAGGTGCAACTACTACAAGACATGTCCCAAAAGCCTGCTGTTGAAATTTGGACGACATACTCGACCGTTTAAAGTCTAAATGGTTCACAGGAAAGCAGCTCCCTCATCTCCGAGAGCTTCCTTCACATCACAAAGATATGAGGGTGACGCAGGAGATGAATTTACCCATGAAGAAAATCATACACTTTCATACCCAGCGCTAAAGACCTATAGTGCGAAGACATCCTGGACAGCCTATAATAGTGCGAAGATATTTTCCGACTTAGCAACAGTCAAATGCCGATGCAG